AAGATAGGCGAGTGAGCGAAACAAGCGCGAACATTTTACATAAATATAAAATATAAAATACAACGAGGTCAACTCGCTATCAAAATATAAAGTTTTCGTTGCCCGAATATTTAAATTATTAAGGGCTGCAGCCTCTAACCCATTCCTCCTTGTACGTCCATGATCATATATAATCATGTCAGTTAAAAACAGACGAATTTTGATCTCATTCCTTTACCAATTTGTTGCCAATATGTAGTTTTCCTGTTTCAAACATTCCTTGATAGGTGCGCTTATTGAAAAGGTGTATATAAATTGTATTGCTATATAAAGTACTATAGACCTACCTTAGAATTTTCACTTCTGTAGTGAAGTTCCTGTTTTAACTGAAACTGGGATCGAGAAGACATATTTAGTGCGAAAATATCGTATATCCTCCAATGGAACCAACCCGAAGTTATCTGCAGAGAGCGAAGTAACACAATGTACGTTTATTAATTTATTTAAAATTCGGGGTTTAGGCCCTATATATATGACCGTGTAGTCTAATTGTTTTCATTAAAAAAAACCTCAACGATTACTCATTGCATCGTTTACTCCGGCAGCGGGGATTTTAAGGACAGCTGCAAATATTGACCATGTCAACTATAGGCAAACGGCCAACCAGCACCCCACGTTTCCTTATACTTTTTTTCCCTTCTTTCCCCGACTGAATCCCCGCATATTTTCATTAGATGAGAAAGCATTATTATTATTTTTCAGGGGAAATATTTGTATATTGAGCTTACAATTCCCAGCTCTGTGGTATCATTGTCACAAAGCCTATTCACATGATAATGATATACGAGGGGGAAGAAAAAAACCCATTTCGATACGCTACCTCAGTCCTCAGATTACGAGAAGTCGCAGGGGAATGGAAAGTGATCCGTTAGGGAGATCCAAAAGGAGTACTAATTTTTTTTGTAATCAACACCCACCCCCCCCCCCCCCTTGCGCCAGGGGGAGGGGCCGTCTTCTTTTTTTATTTAAAAAAGGTTAGATTTACCTGTTTTTTGGCCAGGGGAGCCCCCCCCCCCCTTTCCCCTCTCCCCTCCCCTCCCCCTCCCTAGATCCGCCACTGATTTTATATTTACATGTACGTTTATATCCCGGTTTATATATTATTTTATATTTTTACCGAGAGAATGCAAATGAACATTGCAGTCAGTGCGAAGAATTTGTGCGTTGAATTGGCCACAAAATAACTTTTCTGCTTGCTACTCTATATCTATACATACGTCAATATATCGTTGTCATCGTTGTTTTTTTTTTTAAACGTGGTTGCATTGTCAGTTACAAAACTATTTTCAACATTAGCTCTTTTATATTGAAGATTGAAATTATACACAAATTAATTGCTAAGTTCTATATACATGTACCAAATAATCATTTAAGGCAAATAAGAAGAATTTATCAGTAGGCCTACTGTAATCAGAATCAAAGACTTTCGTTGAAAATGACAACAAAATAATAATAAACACAAAACCATATGCCAAACAAATAAAAGATTTAAAAAAAAAAAAAAAAACTGAAAACTAACAAACTAAAAATTCAGTTTAGCCGCGACGAAGTTATCTCACTATATTTTTGTAAATCAGTTTTTTATATGCATGTTTACTTAATTAACCGTTGATATTACATGTTCACGTGCGTCGTGGGCAAAAGTGACTCGCATTGTTGATCATGCCAAACTTTTGAACAAAGTTTGTTTACAAAACAATTCGATTTGTTTGAACGATATTTTTTATTTCCGCATATGATATTTTTATTTCCGCATATGATAGATCCATTTCTCAGTCGATGAACTTCCATGCATGCGACATTTAAAAAAAAATCAGGTGACGTAACAGAATGGGATTTCCACGGGGACGTTAACATCAGGTGGCGGGGACTATTATTACCCCCACCCAGTGGCGTACGCAGGATTTTTTTTCAAGGAGCGTGTTTTGAAAATCGCGCCGACCGATATTTCGTTCAGTGGGTAGGGGGGGGGGGGGGAGTGGGAAATAAGAAAATCGCGTCGACTGATATTTTACTCAGCACAACCCCCTTGAGGAAACAAAAATATATATAAAAGGGAGGGTTAACCCCCCCCCCCCCAACACCCCCTGTGTACGCGCCTACCCCACCGCCACCCCCTCCTTTGAGAATAATTGTTGCCATTGGATTGGCCGGGTCGTAGCTATATAGACGCATGCCCCGTATAAGTAGGCCTTATATTGAGAGCTTTACGCCTCTGCGGTTTATGCATGTCCAATCATGATCATTTACTGAATATTTTCCTGTTTTACTTAGTATCGGAGGGAATAGAAACGAAGGGAACACACACCCGGCAAAACAAAAATATATCATGTCATTTAATATGCCATTGTACATAGCCTTGGATATAAACATGGAATATCTTCATAAGATTTTCTAATTTAAAAAAAAAAGATAACTTCCTGTTTAAGTGAATGTGTAGAAAGATCATAGCTGGAGGATTTCTTGTCCTTTTTTGCATAGTCTTCCCAATTAAAGACATGTGATGGCGCTGCCCGTCGACTAAAAAGTTATGACAGAGATTATGACGGGGTCGGAGGCGTCATAACTAATAGTCAGGATGTTGTCTTGGCAAAGAGGGCTTCGTGAAACACGGAGTGGACAAGCTTATACTAACGCTGATTTAGTCAAGAAGTTAGACTTATGACGGTTTCGAAAAACGGGCCGGGCCATTCTTGGATCTTGGATTTATTTTCCTCCTAAATACTCCGAAGAAGAGTTTTGACTGGAGGTGGTGGTGGTGGTGGTGGTCAGGCGCGCCGGAAGCAGTTTGGGATTGGGGGGGCAAACATTTCAGGGGGCTCACATTCCAGGGGCAGTGACGTAATGAGAAAAAAAATTCGAAAGGGAGGGGGGGGGGCAGACGAAAAATCTGCATCACCACCAGTCTTACACGTTACATGCAGGTCCCGCGGAACGTTTTTCAAAGTGGAGTATTATCGATCAGGTAGAGCGTAAATTGGCGTGGGGCATGAGCCTCGGCAGGGGGTCAAGGGGCTGAGCCCCCGGAAGCTCAGGGGTTTTAGGTATTTAACTACGGTCAGATGAGCATCCAGGGGCCGTCTTAGGGCCCTTGATGTGGTCCAGGGGGCAGAGCCCCCGGATGCTCAGGGGTTTTAGGTATTTAATTACGGTCAGATGAGCATCCGGGGTCCCGCTTTAGGGCCCTTGGTGGGGTCCAGGGGTCCAGACGTAATGAGAAAAAAATTCGGAAGGGGGGGGGGCAGACGTAAAACATGCATCACCACCAGTCTTACACGTTACATGCAGGTCCCGCGGAACGTTTTTTAAAGTGGAGTATTATCGACCAGGTAGAGCGTAAATTGGCGTGGGGTCCAGGGGGCAGAGCCCCCGGAAGCTCAGGGGTTTTAGGTATTTAATTACGGTGAGATGAGCATCCAAGGGGCCCGCCTTAGGGCCCTTGGTGGGGTCCAGGGGGCAGAGCCCCAGGAAGCTCAGGGGTTTTAGGTATTTAAATACGGTCAGATGAGCATCCAGGGGCCTTCTTTAGGGCCCTTGGTGGGGTCCAGGGGGCAGAGCCCCCGGAAGCTCAGGGGTTTTAGGTAATTAATTACGGTCAGATGAGCATCCAGGGGCCGTCTTAGGGCCCTTGATGTGGTCCAGGGGGCAGAGCCCCCGGATGCTCAGGGGTTTTAGGTATTTAATTACAGTCAGATGAGCATCTGGGGGCCCGCTTTAGGGCCCTTGGTGGGGTCCAGGGGGCAGAGCCCCCGGAAGCTCAGGGGTTTTAGGTAATTAATTACGGTCAGATGAGCGTCCAGGGGCCCGCCTTAGGGCCCTCGGTGGGGTCCAGGGGGCAGAGCCCCCGTAAGCTTTAGGGTATTAAGCATTTAATTACGGTCAGATGAGCATTTTTTATACCTTATTTGTGACATTGGCAGGTCACTTATTTTTTTCTCCGTCTTTCTTTCTTTTTCTCTTTAACATACTTTTTCAAAAAGGAGGGGGGGGGGGCTCGAGAAAATAAGCGTATTTCGCCTGACTGTAATTTGGGACTTTCTTATTTTCCAACGAACGCATAAAAAGTTATGACTTACAAAAAAAATGGAGAAAAAATGCCGGAAAATCATGTCACAACATCAACCTTTGTAAATCACTTGTTTCGAATAAGAAATACATCACCCCCTCCCCCATCAGTACGCCAGCGTTCATGGCCTCATGTCTTCTCACCCCTATAACAAAAAAACAGACACGTTTTCCCATTCTCGCACAATATGTCCACGATATGCGTGTATCGCTATTATAGAGACCTCCATTGATAAATACCGTTAGGTGGCATGCTCAATGTTTATGAAATTTAATTCCTGTGAACTTTCCTTTTTCTTTGAATGGAATTGTATATGTGATTTAATTCAGGTTTTTGTTATCGTTACATTCTTTTGGATTAAAAATACAAACCATGTTTACTCCTTTACTGTTTTTTTTTTTTTTTTTTTTGGAGGGGGGGGGGCGTTTTGGGGGGGCAAAAATGCGTTTTGCCCCCCCACTTTTTTGACTGGGGGGGCAACTGCCCCCCCTGCCCCCCCCCACTTCCGGCGCCTATGGTGGTGGTGGTGGTGGTGGTGGCCATTGCATTTCTTCTCTTCAAAGACCGGGTTTCAAAGTAGTTATGATTGAACATATGTGTCTAATTATCCTTTTTTCCCCTCATTCTCACAGTGTTAAAAAAAAAATCTTGCTCAGAAACGTTTCAAGTAGGCAAAATGCCTCTTTCCCCACTTCAAATACGCCAGTATCCTCCCCCTCCCCCCCCCCCCCCCCCCCCCCCCCGCCCGGACTTTCCTCGTCAAAACTTCTGAGCATTAAACAGTAGGACTATTATGTACAGCGTCTGTTTTTACTGCAAATTATTTCACGTCATGCACACCTACACTGGATCTGGAAACGAGGTTGACAATGCCATTTCAGGATTTCCCATCATGCATAGCGTAAGCTTGCCAAAATGGCTGTTACACTGAGCGTCATAGATCAAATCGGTTTTCAATAAAATCTTCGATTTTTCAATGACTGATCCTGTATTTCATCACTTTTTAGGTAATTTCATCATTTTGAACTTCCTAAGCATAGTTTGTTACATGTTTGGATATGTCTGAGTCATTTGTTGCTGGTTTATCTGTGTTTTCAAAATGCCCAGGTCAATGTTTTTTGTTTTGCTCGAGTCTGCCACGGACCGACACGCCTACGGCTGCGCGTCAGCGTCTGCCTCGGCCTCTTGAAGCAGCTTTGGCGGGCCTTGGTCGACCAGGTACCAGCTCCGACATGTCAGAATTCGATAATTAACTTTCATGTGAGATTAATACTGATCCTTGATATTTGAGACTGAGTCACTGAATATATGTAAACGTTCAAACTTAGACTTCAAGGATTACAAACTAGTTTCAGTTAGTTAGTTAGATCCAAACATAAAAAAACATGTTGAATTCTGAAGAAAAAAAACTTATCCTCTCTTCCACTCACTCCTACATTATAGTACATTAAATAATGCATGGGGACTCATTATAAATGGTATGGACCTCATACAAGCATTAGCAATAGGGGCGCTGGTCCAAAAATAAGGATCCTCTGCATAATAAAGTAAACGCGGACAAGTCACGTCCTAAAAAATGAGGGTCCACATTTTTGCGGACGATCTTCTTTATCGATCCGCGAAGTGGCGATGCGAAAAACGGATTGCGCAATGATGATACATGTCTCACTTACGCAACACAGAGACTTTCACGTTATGAATGATAAATCCTCAGGAAGACGGACAACTTGTAAAAGTGAACGGGGTATTAGATCTACGCCGAATCTGTTTTTCGCATTGCCAATGTGCTGATCAGTAACCCTAGGTCTAGTCCTACATGTGCAGAGCGCAAAAAAAAAGATGTTCGCAAAAATGCTCAAAATCATGTAGAGAAACTGAAGAAACCACCGCTGATTCACCTCTGTTGCACCCTTTTCAACTAGAGTCTGCTATAGCTAATTCTTGCAATGTTTGCATGTATGTTCCAACAAGCCTCATAAATGTAGCCTTACAGTTACAGGCTTATTTTGATACTGTTTAAAAAATTAAAAAATTTCCGAAAGAAATCAAAAGCTGCCAAGGTTGGCAATATAAATTTTCCAATTTGAATGTTTAGTAATAATCTGTTTTTTCTTTATTGACCTACAAGTTTTACCACCTTCAACTGATTATACAAATACAAGGTTGTTTCTGTTTGTGTATAATAATAACGGAAAGTGCTTACATGTATATAGATCTAGCGCACAACAATTCTTAGAATTCTCTACGCGCTTTACTTTTTTTAAACGATAATACATCGATATACATCGTATGAGAATAGAGAATACATAATTAATATATCTACATAACAGCAATTCAACCAGATGATAATAACATAATCAAAGCAATAATGACGTATGTGTGAAAAAAGCCAATGTTGCAAGGAATGCATCTACCATGTGGAACAAGCTCCTAACAAACACAGGGAAAACAACAAGCAGAACAGCCTCATGAAGTCCTTTGAAACAAATACAATTTCAAGGCCCTCACGAAACACTCCATGCTCATGACTTCCCGAAGTTGGTCAGGAAGCCCATTCTACAAGGCACAAAAAAGGCATGATCTCTGTATGTTTGGGTACAAGTGGTCGGGACGGTAAATAATTTTTTACTTGAGGAACGTAGATCTACTAGCTAGCTAGGTACATACATGTATGAAATAATGATATCAAAGAGGTAACAAGGGGATTTGTGAGTGATTACTTTGCGGCATAACTGTATAAATAATTCTATCTACTATGGGTAACCAGTGAAGGGATCCCTCCCTTTTGCATGTGCTATAAGTCTTGCAGCACTGTTATGCACTATTTGCAGTTTTCTTACTCGGGTAAGCCAAAAAGGAGAGAATTGCAGGAATCGATCCTTGAAGAAACAAATGCGTGAATCAGTTTCTCAGTAGTTTTCTTATCAAGAAATTTCCTTATCTGCCTGATTTTTTTAATTGCAGACATTGTGCCTGTGTTATTGCTAATTCAATTGTAGTTATGTTGTAATTCTGTGAATGGGATATTCAGAGTCATGGGGCATTGAAGATTGGCATGTGTCAAATATTAATGTTCAACATCATTTATGTGCCCGCTTCTTGCAGATCAGCATCATGGACATGTCCAAGCAAGAATCTAGCAAGCACAGCCTGCCACCTGTCGGCGTGAGGCAGCAGTCCATTGGACACCATTTTTCCTCTCACCTATCCTCTTCACAACCCAAGACTCCTGTGCCCCAGAGTCCAGCGGTTGCTCCAGGCAAGGGCAATGGCAATGGCGAGCAACAGAGCCCATTTCAGCAGTTTCCGGTACATCAGGGGCAGGATCAGCCCACCGGGCCTCATCAGCAGCAGGATCCACAGCAGTCTAACATCTCTGGTAAGTGTTTTCCTTCTACTTTTGCCTATACCTTTCATGTCTATGAGAAGTCCCATTCTGTATGCATTTTTCATTTTATCAGTAGGACCATGGCCCTCGCGTACACAGATAACGCGTGGCGTGCGCGCCACGCGTTCCTGATCGGCCCGACCTAGCGCCACGCGTTCTTGGAAAAAAAAAAAAAAAAAAAAAAAAATCATTTTTTTTTTTTTTGTTGAAAAATCAGAAAATTCCGGATTTTCTGGTCCTAGAAATCCCCCAAAACAGAATATTCTGAATTATTCGTAAGGGTGGGCAGGTATGGTATTAAAAATTCATCAAATTACTTGTAATACTTGTAAAAAATAAATTTAAATTTACAAAAAAAAAAAAAAAAAAAAAAAAAAAAATACTTTTTTTTTTTTGGGGGGGGGCCAAATTTTCCCTCGGGTCGCGCCACGCGTTTTTAATTTCTTGGCGAGAGGCCTGAGTAGGACAGTAAAAGGAACATTAAGATGCCCCCTTTTTTATTTACACCAATACTACGATCTTAACATCACATTCCCTATGAAATAGAAATATAATGTATATCATGGATCTATTCGTGCATTCCATTGTAATTCATAAATCGCCTCCGAACACATTTCCTGATGTAATTTTATTTCTTACTTCTTTTCCTCTGCAGGTGCAACATCCCCACCATCTCAGATGCCTCAGAGCCCTGACCCTTCCCATGATCTCCCTATGGAGCTGCTTCAGAAGGGATGGAGAAGGTTCTGGAGTAAACGCGAACAGCGCTGGTACTTCTTCAACAAGTTCAACAACCAGTCCATGTGGGAGATGCCTCCCATTGGAAGCCCAGCTGGACCTAATAGGGTGAGTTTCTTCAACAATGAGAGGATAGCCACTCTGTCTTACCTCTCTTCTCATTTGCATTAAAGCCTGTCTATACTAGTTTGGCCAGGAAGGATTAGACCACCCAGCGAGGTCACCGACAGGTGGTTATCTCATCAACTCAGCTTTCATTTAACATAAGAAAAAGAGGATCACAACGGGCACAACTTAGGCATTGTTTTATATGTAGAGGGAGCAAGTAGCTACCAGTAGTACAGTGGGGCTTTAAACTGTGATTTGTAACCATGAGGGTCCTAGGTCATTTTCCCTTTCCAGATCTTGTATAGAGTTGTAAAGTTTCACTTGCCTAGTCTGCAAGTCTATAACTTTATTTATCTAGAAAATTATAGTAATAGCTCCATCCATGTGTATATATTCTGTATCTGCAATGTCACTAATTCTCAGTATTAAGACAGTACTAACAAATCACAGGCTTGATTAAAATTCACTGGTTAAATTCAAGCAACAGTCCATGATCCAATTCACATTCTTCCCCCTTTCTTTGTCACAGTCGCATTCAAACAAATACACTTCTCAAGCATAAAACACATTCTTTGCACTAAGATCTGTGTTCTCTTCTCAACACACAGGGTATTACAGTGCAATGCACTTTTCATTTCATGTCAAATTGAATTTCATGTCCTTATCCATACAGCATGATCCCCTGGGGATTCAGATCACAGAAGGCAAGGCTCAACAACCTCCTACCCCTTTACCTGCTGGCTCCCCAGGACTAGCCCCTGTCAGGAGGAAGTCCTCTGTGGATGGTCACCCTCTCAGTCCGACCATGAGGAAGGATATGCTGAAAGGGTATGTGAACGATCAATATAATACAGTGAAACTTGAATATAAAGACCACTCTCAAGGGAGACAGATGGTCTTTATATACAGGTCCCTCTAGTACAGGATTCAAAGAGAAACCATTTTTCCAAGGGAAAAAAATATGGTCTCTATAGACAGGTTGTATATATATATATATATATATACAGGTGGTCGCTAAAGCAAGTTTGACTGTATTATCTTAAGGGTGATGAAGAGGTGCTTCTTGACATTTTCTGGAAGATATATATGTTTATTTCTTGAAAAACTTTTTTCCTAGATTAAAAGAAATACATAATTAGATATAAACTTCTTCCTGTTTATATCTGTTGTACCATGCATTTAAGTAGGTTAGTCAGTGAAGTGTATTTTTTGTCCATGTCATTTTCTACTTGACTTTGCACTTTACATTCTGAATGCTTCTTAATGATCAAACGTTGAAACCAGGTTGTGAGATGTTGGATCATATGCATGGTAAGATCATTCGTATGTATACATTTGAAGATAATCTGCAATCCCAAAGATTTTTGCAAGGGGCAGGGATGGGTGTCTGTAAGGCCACAACTACATCAGGCTTTGAATGCCCTTGTGGTCAGTCAAGGATGCACTAAGCCTGAATCAAATTAAAAAGATATGATGAGAGCATAGCTAAAGTTAATTCAAGCTTTTTGAAATCTTGTGTGATCTTGTGGTAATTGAAGGCCTGTCTTATACAAAAAATGTATCATGAACCTTTGAATATTTATTCTGTTTGCAGCTTATTTTGGGACTTTACTCTGGAATCGAATGCTACGATGCATGAGAGGTTCCCATGTACCCTGCCTCCGCCACACAACGACATTGAACTGATGAGGAGTGTGCTAGTCAGTAAGCTGAGACAACAGTACCATGAACTCTGCATGGCAAGAGAAGGTAGACATTACCATTCTAATTTTTTTTTTAAATTGTATTTCTCTTTATTGTAAATGTATTTTGGTAGATCTTTATATTGAGTCTCATAGCCATTTTATGCAGTGAAATTTTAAATACATCCTCAAGTTTGACAGGTTGATAATGAGGGGGTGAATGATTATTATCAAATTATGATTGTGTGTGAAGAAAATCTTGAATTCATGTACCACTTCACTTTATCTATTTCCATGCTGCTCTTTGGCCTAAAAACCCTAATTTCATATTCAGCAGCTTGTTAATGATATAATTATCTACCCATTCTTGTATTCGACTTGGTATAATTTCATTTCTAATGAGTCTCAGTCATTGGACTGTCTACTTGCTACTGTATTGCTTGTTTATCCTTTCTCATTGTCAATTTGTTAAAGGGTTTGGGTAACGTTGTCTCAGATTCTAAACCAAAATCCTAGATTTAGCTCATGCTGCAATAATAGTTAAAAAGCTTTCGGTCAGTTACAGGAACCCCATGACTTTTACAAGCCGATCGCTTGTCTGATTATCAAGATATTTATGATTGTAGATCCAAATCAAATTTTGCGTTTTCCTAATGGTTTACATAACACTACAGTCTATTTGGGGAAACATGTATGGTAAAACTGGTCACTCAAAGATTTTTTTGGGGGCATCATTTTTGATCATTTTGAAGCGCAATTTCTTTAGGGCTTCAATATTACACCATATCACAGACACTGATAACACGTAGGGCCATGCACCTCAGATTTAACATTGTTAAACGATGCCTTTAATGTCTCCTGTTTCTGTTTCCAGGTATCCACGCACCCAGTGAGTCCTTCAACCGCTGGTTACTGGAGAGGATGGTTGTGGATAAAGGCAAGGATCCTATGCTACCAAGCCAGTGTCCAGACCCTGTCTCATCCTCTATGATGAGAGAAATCATGAGTGACATTCCTATCAAGTATGTCGGCCCAGTCATTATATATTTCAACTGTCACTGATGATGAAGATATTAGTCTTGTGCATTTCTATAGCGCTCATATCCTCCAGGCTAGGTACTCCAGTCAAGGTGCTCCCATATTACCCTGGCTCAAGCTGGGCTTCTGATTTTGGTGCTCATAGTTCAAGGAATTCCTTCCTTCTGTTACCTAGTCAACACCTGGCTGAAGAATGGGAAATGTAAAGTAGTATTTTGTAAAAGGACAGTAGGTGTAGTTCACTCCAGGGCTTGACTTTGATCTGAGGTCAAGTACTTAAACTGCTCAAACTGCTCAACCTCTACAACTGAATGTGTTTTCAGAATCAGTTCTTTATGTAGATTATTATTTTTAACTTGGTATAGTGCAGTTGCAAACGATAGCCAGTTCAGGTATCAACAGATAATTGTTGACAGCTGGTAACACCAGCAATCCTTTCAAGGAGAGCCCCAAATTGGCTTATCAAATTTGTTTGCTGCTGTTCAGATGATGTTATCTAATCTATTAATCTTTGAAAAAATAATTTCCATCTATAAGATTACTGGCTGTACATTGATTTGTTCTTAGAAAATCATGGGTCTATGCCTAAATATGAATTCACCATAAACATAAAGGTGTATTTATTTTTATATTTTTGTGTATGTTTTATGATAGATTGTACAGGCCGAATCTTCACTCTCATGCCAGGAAACTTCTAGTGAAGTATGCTGAGGCTGCAAAGAAAATGATAGAGTCCAGGTATGGTGCCTCTGCCTATAATTATTAAAGGTTATCAACCATAGATCTCAAATGTAAACTTTTTGGTACGTATGCATTAGGCTTGAGTCGGTACGGTCGATCACACCGGGACCCGACCGTTGCCGTCGGTTCCCGGTTTCGTTTTATGAGAACCGACGCTCCGAAAAAAATAATGAAAAATGTAAGAAATTGCAGTTTTGCACACCACTAAAATCAATCCACCTTAAAACTTAAGTATTTAATTGTTACCAATCATATTCTAGCTCATCCTGAATCAATCCGAACTGCTGATATAAATATGGGTTGCAAAGCAGTTCGCCCCATGGGGTTGTTTTTGCCTAGCAGCTGTACTGGCCGGGTCCCTCGGCAGGATTAATAAATCAGGTTGAAAGAAACATTAATGTTTGAATAATAAAACGGCTTTCTAAAAAGTACTTCTTTACAACATACCGATCGAATAATTTATACAAGACAAAATAGATATATTTTCTTTGATCATGAACACCGCATGCTTCTTTTAAAAGCTGAAAATTACTTGGTAATCACAAGAAGTTTCGATACGGATAGCTGTTGCAAGGCAAGTTCAGACTAGTCTCGAAAAAATGCGCAGTGCACCTCGTTAGCCGTAATGCGTGCCAGAACGAACCCAAACAAAGACGTGATCGTAACAAGAAAAAAAAATCATTACAAACTACGAGAGCACAATTGGAAAGACAACTACTCAAAATTATCGTAAGCAGATACAACTTGGAGGAAGAATACAATAGTCATCCAAGAAAAGCCACATAAATAGTGATATTTAAGGAGTTACTATAGGTACAATCATTATCGGAAGGGCCTAGCTGCTGCGATATCCGAATAACACGTGTTTAAATTAAACACGAGGCTAGAAACCAAATAAGGCCCTCTACGGTAAAAAGCAGTATAACAAAGGATTTGAGTATTTGCAGCAGACCACTTGCGATAAAAGTGTACCCAGTTACTCCTTGATTATCACAATTTCTGTGGCATTTCTTGGGCGATTATTGAATTCTTTGTCCAAGTTATGTAACTGATTATGGTAATTTTGAGCAGTAGTTGTCTTTCCAATTGTGCTCTCGTAGTTTTTAAAATAATGATTTTTTTCTCGTTACGATCACGTCTTTGTTTGGGTTCGTTCTGGCACGCATTACAGCTAATTACGAGGAACACTGCGCATTTTTCCGAGACTAGTCTGAACTTGCCTTGCAACAGCTATCCGTATCGAAACTTCATGTGATTGCCAAGTAATTTTCAGCTTTTAAAAAAAAGCATGCGATGTTTAAAAGAGTTAAATATTTATTTTGTCTTCAAAATATTATATGATCGGTATATTGTACAGAATAATTTTTTAGAAAGCCGTTTTATTATTCTAACATTCATATTTTTTGACCAGTTTTATTCAACCTGCATAAATCAAAATGGCGGCTCGAATGTTGTCTTTCTAATTCTGCCCCAGTTTTTTTTACTTTTAGAGGCACGATAATGGCACTAAACATTGCCAATCATGGATGAAAATAATGTCAAATGGAAGAATATATACCGATCTGAGCCGAGGTATGCATGTGTTGATTTATTTGATTGATAAAAAAGGTCACTTTTAAGGGACATACTGATGATGTGCGCTTTTTATAGAGGCAAGTGACAAATCCTGCGAGCAGATTTCGGGACACCGGGACCCGATCGGTGCAACGCCGTCAGGACCCGGTTTATGAAAATCCCGACATGACTCAGGCCTAGTATGCATTGCCATTACTGGAAAATATTTTAGGTCTTTATCAGTTATACAGTGATTTCGACCTTTTTAAAAGCTCATAGATTTTGTTTATGCTGTGTATTTTGTTCAGAAGATTCCACATTCCAGAAAATTGTATTTATGTACCTTTCCAAGTTTCGCCCTCACAATGTAGGATGAGGAATTATTTTCTCATTTAACTGCTATGATGTGTTCTTTAAATGAGATGTGCCATGATGTAGTCTAGTTTTTTAATGTAAATGGAACAAGTAAGCCAACCTTGAGTTTTTGTAACAAAGGAAAATAAATTCTCACAGTATCAAAGAGAACTTGCGATAAATGTTCAAGACTTCAGCCAAATTAAATGTGGCATTTGATTGTAGTTGAAAACATACGAAAAGCATAGTACTGCGTAAATAATGAAGATATGGAAACCAAGCTAGGCGTGCTGATTATTGTCAGCCACTAGTACACATGATCTCATTAAGTATGTTTGTTTGTTCTTTTTTAGAAAATGTAAATTTCAGCATTTTTTCTTTTTTCTTCTTGGTTTTGATCTTATCTTGGGCTGGGCTAAATTATTAATCAAGTTGCATGATTAAAATTACGTTAAGCCAGTTTCTCTTCGAATTTCATTGAATTACCAGATATCTGTGAATTTGTAATGAAATGTTTAATGTAATACCTGTTTGTATTTACAAACCAAACCAAACATGAAAGCTTTATTTCCTTACCTCACCAGGCCTGCTTCATCAGAAAGCAGAAAGTTGGTGAAGTGGAATGCCGAGGATATCTTCCAGTGGACGCGAAAGCAGCCAAACTGCACCATTGATGAGTGCATGGTACATAATTATTAATCAGTGTCTAAATTGTTGAGGAGTAAAGCATTGTGGCATGGTAAAAGTTGAATTACTTCTGTTCTTTTAAGGAGGGAGAACAATAGCAGAAAATGTTAACTAGTTAAAGCAACCAAAATACTGTAAGAAGAATTATAAGAAGTAAAAGGAGCAGTATTATAGAGAAGAATTCACAGTAGTAGAAGTAGTAATAGTAGTAGTTATATAACAGATTAGATATACCTGTAGTAATTGTAGTACTAATATTGATAGTAGTAGTTGAATTGGATAAGAAAGTTAATTTGCAGTAGCGCAAGTCTTCCTTAGATTCATTTTAAATGGACTCAAAACAATTTTTTTCTGTAGTGCATTTCAATATCCTTGATATTACTTACAAGATATTGCGTCCAACTGGATCATTCAATTACGCACATTACTCACCTGATTTATCAATTTATCAAATGATTAATTTGTTTTGTTTGTGCTCTGTATTTGTTCTGTTAATGACACCCCGTTTTAACATTTGTATATGTGTTTTTGTTTCCATCATCCAGAAACGGCTGACTTACTTGAAGGATCAGTGTGGTCCTCATCTGTGTGAAGTAGCGAGAAGTTCCATTGAGAACATCTGTACTAAAGTATACACCCTGTCCTGTGATACCTGCGCCAAGCTACAGAAGAAACACTGGGAAATCTTAAAGGAACATCATATAGAAGGTCAGCAAAATAGGTCATGAATGGCTTGATTTTATATTGCAATGCGATGAAGCTGCATAGTATGAGTTTTTGCTCCCATTGATCACAGACTTCATGTACTGTGAATCCAGAAAAGTGAATGAGTGAGTGATTAAATTTCAAGATACACAAAACATATTTGTATTGAATCACAACATAAAGCATTTGCTATTTGCCGTTTCTATTTACGAAAATGGCCATCATTAGCAATTCATGAAAGTTTCATGTTGCAAAAGTGCAGGCTTTGCAGCCCCATTTCTACAAGATATCAAAGATATAGGGGATAAACACTTGACTATTGTTTTATTTAATGTTCAAGGATCTTATTGAGGTTTATCAATTGTGCTGGATGATTTATATTGTGAAAAACACATGTATAATGAGGTTCATATAAAATTAAGTGCTGCAGAAAGTTACGAGAGATTGATTTCAAATGTTTTGGGTTCATTGTATTGCTAATAAATATTCATAGAATGTTTGGAGAATTATGAAATGTGCTGTGTAGCCTGCTTTCTCTCCCTGAACTGTCCATAACATAAAACTTTAACCATATTTGATATGCTAGAGCCGCCACCATTTACGAGACCACCATCAGAAAGGAAGATCCGTTGCTACAATATCCAGATGGCGGTGCAGAGCCCACGGTTGCCGACCGTAGATGTGCATGAGGAAGGCTCTGTCACCTGTCTGAGATACAAGGGAGAGATGATGAAGATCAATACACAACATATGATGAAACTGGTAAATGCTCTCCTCTGCCTATTCTTCTTCATCCAAGCCACGAAACGTAAACTTGAACGCTCATGTTTCCGTCCATCTGCATAGTTTCCTCTCTTTTTGTACCATCTGTTGTGATAGCCACAAAATAAAATTTGCAAAACATACATACTGTAATTAAATCTGCACGCATGGTACTTTGTACTTCATGATAATAGGATTCCTTGAGTGAGATTTTTCATGAAATCTTTTTAAACAGGGTAATCTTCAGTGTTGATATGATTTCTAATTCATCATCATTCCATATTTTTAATATCACTTTTCAGGATGCCTTGTACCAGTTCAACTGCCGTGATGACCCCACGAGACACAATTTCTTGCCAAGAGCGTGGTGCTTATTAAGGAGATATCAGGTATACATTATAATAAACTGAAGATAAAAATGTATATAGGTTGGCCTGAAGTAGGATACAAGATACAGCGTAAGATATGCTGATTTTTTTTGGTCAGCGCAAAATATTTCATGCATATCATCATATTGTATATTTGCCTTTTGCACATTGTCAGTCACTCTCTAAGCGGATTGTTGACTGGGTCAAATATGATTTCCAAGGGTCTGCGTTCTGTTACATGTCTTCATAGCTCTCAAAAATTGTTTTATAGTTACCTCTATATGCTATGCCTCCCTGCTCATTACTCCAGTAATATTAGATAGTCTCTCCTTTCTATTGCTCTTTCCAATACTAATTCCATCACTTTTGTTCCCCTCGAACTCCTGAAGACCCTGTTTGGTTTAGGAGAGAACAAGGGTCTCTCTATGCCTCCCTGCTCATTACTCCAGTAATATAAGATAGTCATTCAGCCTCTCATTTACGATTTCCATTGCTCTTTCCAATACTAACTCCCGTCACTTTTGTCCCCCTCGACCTCTTGAAGACCCTGTTTGGTTTAGGAGAGAACGAGGGTCACAACCTTCAAGGAGCCCTTCCTACAGGAGTCTTCAAAGCTCTCAACGAACACTTCGGGGTCACCTTTGAGTGCTTCGCCTCACCTCTCAACTGTTACTTCAAGCAATACTGTTCAGCTTTCGTTGATACAGACAGCTACTTTGGATCAAGAGGGTAAGTCAGACTAATCATCAGAGAACGGGGGTGTTTCACAAAGATCCTAAGTTGAACTCATCTCTAAGTTGGACTTAAACATTATGGAAAGCTGTTAGCACCTTTGAAAATATTTTGTAAAATTTATTTTAACATTCATATTTTCCATTATCATGTTCTTGATTTGGAATTTATGAAAAGTCTAAAATACTGGAATTTTTGCTTTTGAATATATTTCATTCTAAGGCTACAAATGGCTCTCCGTAATTTTCAAGTCCAACTTCAGAGTTAAGTTCGACTTAGAATCTTTGTGAAACACCCCCTGGTTTGCATTGTTCCTCTTTGAGAAATTAAGCCTCATTTGGGTTTTTTTTGTGTGACACCTAACAGCACTGACACATATTTACAGGATAATTCCAATAAAGTTAGTGAGTAGTAAAATATAATCTGTCTAGGAAGGAAGGAAGATATCAAAAGCCTGACAACATTGTGATGACTAACTAATGGTGGTAGACTGAAAATATTGGTGAAAGTGCTGTATGCATTGCATATTGTGTATGAATAAATAAAAGGAATATATTAAGTTTGATGTATCGTGGAACCAACAGCACTGTTCACATTGTATGTAGAGTTATGATATCATGGTGTTGGCTACATTGAATAACTATTGCCGTGTATTCAAGCATGAAGTGGGCCATCATAACAAGCTCAGGGGCCTGTTTCATAAAACTTGTTATCTATAACAACTGCTAAATTGCTATGACAAATTTGCTCTCAGCCAATCAGATGATGTGATTTCGGTAGCATATAACAGTAGCTTGTAACTTGTTATTGATATCAAGTTTTATGAAACAGGGCACAGATGTGCTAATCCTGTTTGAAGGATCATGGATTGCTAAGTAACAGTAATTGATAAACCGCTTTCATAAAAGATACATAGGATTTTATGACATATGTTGGGATTAAGTTGTGAAATTTATTGAATGTTATACTCCTGATTGCTATTGCAAAGAAAATCACACAGGAATATGGGAAAGAATGTAGATGTTTTCATTTCTATGTTGATCGTTGTTTTTGCAGGCCAATCTTGGACTTCTTTCCCTTCAGTGGATCATTTGAAGCAAACCCGCCATTTGGAGAGGAACTCATGGAAGCGACCGTCATTCACTTTGAGGTGAGAGCAATACGATATGTAATGCTTTTAATTTTCCTTTCTCTGTCTTATATCAATGAAAAACTCGTGTCAGTACAAGCCAGGTCCTTGGAAAATTTGGTATAACATGTCTGATATTGGTACAAACTTCCAAACTTCACAGTCATTGATGTACATTGAGCATTGATTCACGCAAGAACAAACCCATTCTTTTACTTTCTGTGAATGAATAATGGATTTGAAACAACTTTTTAATACGTTCATCAGATTATATAGTGCTTCAATTCAGTTATGTTCTTTAAGAAATTACATTGGTTTACATTTTCTGGACAGCGAACTGTAAGACAGAATCAGAATGCCCTCAATTTTCTGTTGGCAATATACGGTTCTTCTTCATAAACGTCATTGACTAACATTGTGTATTTGTCCGTATGCAGAAACTGTTGGAGAGAACCACAGACCCGCTGTCTTTCATTGTTTTCACCCCTGACTGGAGGGACCCAATAACCAATGCTCTCAAGATGTTGGAAGCCAGCAGGTAATTTATTTTGCCTCATAAAAGTTTACAACTGCATAGTACTTGTAATTTATATATATATACAGTCAAACCTGCTTTAGTGACCACCTGTCTACAAAGACCACATTTTTTGTTTCCCTTGAAAGTGGTCTCTCATTGAAACATGTACTAAAGGAACCTGTCTACAAAGACCACTTTTAGTGTTTTCCTTGGGCAGTCACTATAGACAGGTTTGACTGTATATACATTTAAAGATTGTAGTGACAAGTGTGTTAATGCACAAGTGAGAATCCTTGTATGTGCCTATAATCTTATTTCCTTTCTTCTTTGCTTTTCATTCCCCTTTCTGCTCATCTCTTTTAGATATGATATGTCCAGATCAATTTCCTATTTTACCTTTTAAACCATGTCCTTTTTTTCATTCGCGGTAACCACTGACTCTATCTCTTTCACTAATTCTAGTCATACTATTCATCATTCTATTCACTTTTCTTTTTATTCCATTACCATTAGTTCTTCCCATAATTTGTATGAGTATATTATATTGTTGTCTCTCTCTTCCTCTCATTCTTTTCTCTCTCTCTCTCTCTCTCTCTCTCTCTCTCTCTCTTCCACACTCTCTCTCTCTCTATCACGCACACACACACACTCTCACTATATCCCTATCTCTGTTCCTGATTTTATTGTCACCATCCATTTCAAATATTTCATTTATTCAAAAAGTTACCTTGATTTTTTTCATTTTTAAAATCTTTCCTCAGATTCAAGAGGAGACAAGAAGTCATCCCAGCCTATGAGCACGAGTACAGGATTGGCAACCAACACGCGGTTCCAGAGTAAGTAACAACCTTACTTATTACGTGGTGCCTGTGTTTAACCTAGCCATGATTATCTCCCATTTCTGCTAGTGGACAGAGACCGTTTAAAAAGAAAAAGGGAAGGAGAATGATTTCTTCAAGGGTTTCTTGACACTTTGTAAGTAATAAAATATGGTCCGATGAAGAGAAATAGGAGGCTGTTGTAGTGCCCAAGTGGGCTATTCTATTATCTCTGAACAATGCAAATTCCCTTGAGCCTCCACTTGTTAAAGCATTGATGGATTGTAAGCTTATGTACTCGTTTTTCCTGCTATACAAGGACTGTGACCATGGGAATATTAAAGGTGCATTTGATTATTTTGTTTGTGCCTAGGAGCAGTTGGAATCTACTGATTGTGAATGGCCTTAGTGAGCTTTCATTCTGAATTCTTAGATGCCTCAGAATCTTCTAGTAAATTGTACTTGTTTGTTGCTTAGTTGAATAGTGTTATTTGCTTAAGTTCTCTGCCATGAAGCTCAATTTTACTGATTGTTGTTGATACAAACAGATATATGATTCAATAACCAATCTGAGCATCTCGGATAAATAAAATGTGTCTCGAGTGTTGCAAAAAAAAGCCTAAAATACGCAGTGCATTCTGATAATATTCAAATTAAAGTGGCTGTGTCATATGCAAGTATAACTATCTATGTATATATCAGTAAGAATGTTCTGTAATTTTGTTGTAGGTCTAGCGTTAGTTCGCGTGCAGTACACGGAACCATGATGATCTTCCTTCAGAACGACGAGGGTAACCGGGTGTGGCCACCAACCGATGAAGGAATCCGAGCGGTCATGGATGTAGCCAAGCCTAAATCAGCACCTTCTACCCCAAGTAGGAAACGTTCTCCGAAAGACCAAGAGCTATCCCCTCCCAGGAAGAAGCTAACCATGGAGAATGAGTTCAATGGCAATGGTAGTAAAACTGAATCAAGCTACGGTAATGACAGTCTCAGTGGTTCTGTGTCATCGTCATCGTTGTCTTCCGATGCAGAAGAATCAAGGAGAGACCTGATGCACAGCACGTTTGGAACAGCGCCCTCGTACAGCCCAGCAATGTCAGCCAGGGAAACTGCGCATACAAATAACAGAGAACACAAAAGGAACTCCCCGCGTGGAGCAGCAGCAGCAGCTGATTATTCGTCTACAGCTGCTTTTGGAAGCACGGTGGAAAAGCAGGATTTTGACAATACGAACAAGAGCTGGTTTCACAATGTGAAGCCTGTTGAAGCTAGCCATGATGCAGGACAGGATAGAGTAAGCTATGGTAGGAGTAATAGCAATGAGGGCTATGGTGGGTCAGTCATCCAGCACACGAGTCCATTAAAGAAGGACAACATTCTAAGCCCACCTAAGCCTTCCTACAGCACTAGCTCACAAGAGTCTCCCAAATCACCCATGAGCCTAGTCAAAAACATGGACAACAGTAAAGCCAGCAACCTACCAGTTATCAACTGGTTTGTAGATACCAAATCAAAACCAGCCCCTGCAAAGACCTTGGCGGACTACACCGTAGGCAACACAACGGGCAATTGGACAGAGGCAATAAGACCGCTGGAAACCAAACCGGTATTGTCCAGTCCTGTCAAGTTTGAGAGCAAGAGCGGGAGCAAGTGGACTCCGATCAGCAAGCCGTCCCTTGGTAGTCCCGAGAAGTTGGACGAAGGCATTGACGTTTATGAGTGGAAAGATGATGATGAAGACACTCAACCGATGACCACCAGTCCTCTCAGGAGAGGGGCCAAGGCCATCGGTAAAGGTGCCATGAAACTGAAAGCAGTCAAGAGGTTGGATAGCACTCTAAGCTCCAACCAAACAGCCACCCAGAAGTCCACCGTGGTTGGTGGACGGGTGCTCCGATCAAGGAGAGGGGAGGCCAAGTGAGATTAATATAGCAGTAGGGCTCATCTTTCAGATAGATGTTTGAAATAGCTTAAAGGTCAGGTGAAATCCAAATATAAATTGATTCCTTTTGATGTGCAGGGATGCCTGCATACAAGTCTTTTTTGTTTGTTATTCAAACATCTAAATATATTTCATAGATTTGAAATAATTTTGAAAATAATTTTCTTAGACCTGCTTAGCTCCACTCTAAACAAATACTCCAGATCTCATTCCCCTTATGACATCATCTGTCGATCATTAGTGATCTAACAAGAGACAGTGGTATGATAAGGTGAATGAGATCTGGAGCATGCTTTAGGGTGGAGCTTAGCAGGTTTGAGAAAAAAAACTGTTAATTTTTTTAATTTTTAATCTATTAAATATATAGAGATGTTTTAATAACAAAATACAAGTTGCATGCAGCCCTGCACAGAAGCAGGAATGAACTAATATTTGGATTTCACCTGATCTTTAAAATAAGTTTTGACCAGTCCATTTTTATATTGCCTTTCATTTCAGTATTTCAAGCATAATGTCTCCCATTGCTCTTACATAGAAAAAGAGTGCTCTCTTATCCAGTTGATTTGAAAATTCCTCTTGGTGGAAATATTTTCTTAGCAACAGAAAGGTATCCCCAATTAGGAATTGTCATTTAAGTTATAATTGCTTACCTGCGTTGATATTATTTACAGATTGTGCATTCCCTGTATATACTACGCCAGTATTTATGTTAAGTTTGATATATGTACTATTCCCAAATCCCCCCTGAATTAATTACGCGATACAAGGTGCTTTGGAACAAGAAGAACAAGAATTAATGTTGTGGTTTTGTTTTTAAGTTTTTGTTGCTGTATTCATTGTTTTAATCTTCATAACAAAATTGTATTATGAAGACAGATCATATACATACAGTATAATATACAAATTATACATGTAAATAGGTTAATGAAATACATGTAAGCGAGATTGTCTTACTACGGTATATTTGTGTAAATGATATACAAAACTACTTTCAAGAGATGAGTGTTTAAAGTGTGCAAATACAACTGCATGCCACTTTTGTATTTTCTTGCCAATATTTATATTCTTTCTCTCTTATATATTTTTTTTTTAAAGTTATAGCTCTAGGTTTTCACCCGTAGAAGTGTACTTTTTTATTTTCAGAGGAGGTTTTTTAATTTTATTTTAATTTTTTTGTTTGTCTTTTTAATTGATGATTTATACAATTTTTCAGATTTTTTGTATTGACCTCTCCTGTTAGGTGTAAAAAGACATAGGCTTTTACAGGCATTATTTAATCATGTTGGGAAATGTAGATAGACACTTGACAGGTGTGTAATTGTTTTTTAGGGTTGAAATTATGTAATGACAGTAGAAATGTTTGTAATACTTGAAAGACATTACTCTTTGCCAGATATAACAGTTCAAAATTTGCTGCTGGACAGCAAAAGTAAATGAATAAAAGTATTCTTGAATGAGTGTTGCTGTGGTTATCCTACAAGCAACAGTTGGTATAAATTTGATTTGTCCATGAATGGTAATTATTCTAAATCTAATAGATAGTCTCGTAGGCACAGCTGTAATAAGTACGTCACTAGAGGTACTAGTAGACATTCCCGAGAAGGTTTTGAAGGCGGTTCTTTTGTTTATGTGAGGCACCAATGATATGGGAAATTAATTTGGTATTTGACAAGTGAAGAAGGGGAAAGCTGTTTTGACAAAGGTTCAGCTTATGTTAAATATCAACTGAAAATTAATGCAGAGAACTAGAGATCAGCCATCTAAAGCCACGCTACACATATTGATTGGTTATATTAACCATTGCCAAAAATTTACATTAAAAATAATCATCCCTACAGATTATGTTAGTGTGTATGTCATGTGAAATTTTAGATTTTTAAACAAAATGTCTATAGAATGTAGAGTTTTCTTTTATTTTGTTTATTAATTCAGTTGCATCTACATTTGTACATATATCTTGTAAACAAAGTTAACCATATGCCTTGATTTCTTTTTGTGTGTACATAGCATGTCTATTGTAAATGAATTTATATGAACTGCAATGTACAAAGTATAAGATTTAGATTTTAAGAAATTTAGATTATGTGGAGGATGTTTTTTTTAATTGTCTAGATGATAAGGGATGGTGTATGGTAACATTGTGAATCTGTTATTCAGCAAGTTAATGGAGTGTATTTGTCTTTTACTACTTGTATTTCTTTGTATATTTGGCCAAACTGAAATCAGCGTCTTGTTTGTTATTTTTTTCAGTTTTTATTCATTTTTTAACAGTAGAGGCAACGTGGTACTTTATTAACCTGTTGCTTTTTGTATTACTTTATACTTCTGTTTGTATTGTCGATAAGTTATTGGTATCTACTGTTTTGCACTACACATGCTCAATTGAACTACATCAGCTGTTCACATTGCCCAAACTCATGACGATGCTTTGAATATCTAGCCATATTATGCATTATATTTCGTGCATGGCATTTCAAATTTTTTATCCAATAAGAACATGCTCTGTCAGGAATCGGCCTCTTAATATTTGAACTTTGAAATATATCACCAGAGTTGTCACAAGAATACCTTCATGATTATGGGTGTTAATGTAAGAAATTATTAAAACAACCTTGTGAATGTATTTTTTATGAAGCTCGTTATTTTAAATCATGAAACCACATAACTGAGAGACTATTGAAATCAAAATAATATCAATATCAAATGAAGACTTGTTAGTTAAGGTTTAATTATGAGGGATGTTAGAATATGGATGGCAATCAATTAATAACTTAATGTGAATCTTTTGTTTTACTTTTATATTTGTGGATGATTGAGTTTTCCAAACTTACCTTTTGTATGTCCTTACTGTGATGTTTAAATAGAATTATGAATTTTGCATAAATATCTGTTTATTAAATATTTTTAATGCATATTGTGAAGTTTCGAGCACAAAAATTGTTGTTCTGTTTATTGTAAGAGAACTTTTTCTTTTGTATCTTTTTTAAATTTCTACATTGACAGGCAGGGCAGTTCATATTATCTTTCAGGGATAATTTCTTGTTGGGGAAAAAAATTCATGTTGTATTTTTGTTGTCATCTTACTTTCTGTCAAAAATTAGATGTTTTCAAGAGTAATTTAGCAATGTCCTTGATTTATAATGAAATGACACTAACTAAAGTCTATGAGCCGTGGAACACCTCACTTGTTGGTAAGGTGCAAAGCCAGGTAGAAGTGGGAAATAAAGCTAGCAATTATATTTGAATATATTTAGCATTCATTCATTCTGCAGAATCCATTCTTGATGTGAATATAAAGTGTGTGTGTCACTGAACTACAAATACATGTATACTGGTCTCATTCCCAACCATTAAACAATCTCCTTTGGCAAAGACAATAAGCTACATATATGTTACCACTCCGGTGGTAGATATGGGATATTTGTAGATGAAATTACCAGTGCCCTCCTTGCCTGTGTACATTTACGGGCATAGAATACTTCCCAAGGAGTGGAGATGGTGCACATATGGTGACTTTACTGTCCATGTTGATATATAAACCCCTGTGTGTTGGTTCATGAGGCAAAAAATTATCAAGATTTGGGACTACAAATATTTAGCCATGACATGGTATTTGCATTTCCTTCTTTCATATCGGCATTCAGTTCTCTGAAATGAACTCTTCTAAAAAGGCTGTCTTGAAATCTGTTGAGCAATACTACCGTATGTTAAAATTATATCTTAAGCATTGAATAATTCTAATGAAATCAAATGATGAAAATTCAATTTCTTAACAAATCTCTTTTTTTGTTGGATGGCTTATGTTTTGTATAGTGTCAGTTTTATTGATGTGAAAATATAACAAGAACTACAAAGAAAAAGGAAAGAAAAAATGTTGCATTTATCCACCGAGTGCAGTGAAATTATTAAATTTTTCTCTAGACATACTTCATACAAGCGTTAAGGAAGCAATAGCTTATCTACTGATTTTGTTGTTGCCTTCTTTTAGTTCGTGTTTCAACATTCCTTCTTTTAGGTTTAGGTAGAACTGGAGATTCGATAAATGTTACTTGGATTTGATTTAAATATATATATATATATATATTTATACATATAGTAGTTGTACTGTACATGTGAATTGTATTTCTCACTGCACGGTATGTCAGTCAGTCAAATTCTATTTCTAGCTGTATGCATTTGTTTGTTTTTTATTTGTTTCAATTTTTTTTTGGCATTAGAAATCAAAAACACTTTCCATGAAGACACATCAGGCATATACTCCACTAATGCACATGAACTCTTTTGGTATGAAATATTCAAAATATTGAAACAGTGAGTAATATCCATTATTGATCAGATAATGTTTGATCCACAGTATAAATCCACATCCCTTTTCTAAAATGTTCTTGTGTATCAGAAAAGCGATTGAAAATAGCCAGGAATAAAGGGGGTTTCTTTATGTCTTTACGTAGAGATAAATAGTGATTTGTTGAATAGGTTCCTGTGTATTTATATCATAAAGTACTTTGATTTTCATGTTGTGTGCATGTACGAGTATATTCCACTTTGCTATATTCATGCCATATTTGGCAAATTTCATTTCGCCCAGTGCATGGTGATTTTGAACAATTGACTGTTTACTAGTGACATTACTAACAGGACAACAGTGTATCTACAATGGCCATAATGTGATGTTAGACTGCATACAATTTTATGTTGTATTGATAGTACAAAGAAATTCAAAGAAAACAATTACAAGGTTGTCGTGTTTTCATTGTTATAATGTATCCTTGTCTCTATCTAATGATAATGATAATACATATCATTTATATGGCATTTGATACAGTGTTTCAAAGTGCAGGAGAGAAAAATCATGAGGGAGGATAGAGATCGAGGGAGAGAGAGAGAGAGGGGGGGGGGGGGGGGGGGGGGGAGAGACGAGAGAGAGAGAGAGTGGTAGGGAAATGAGAGTGCGATATATAGAGAGAAAGAGGGGGAGAGAGTGGGAGGGAAAAACGAGGAGAGAGAAAGAAAAGAAAAAAGGGACGGAAAGAACAAGGAAAATGAAATAATGGTTAATTTTGTCTGAATTATCTGTGGGAATTCGATTTATTTAATATTTGGGAAAACTGAAACTGAAAGCCAAGTATTTTTTTTAATATATGAAATTGTATCCTGGGCACAACGAGCTGCCAACATATCTTTCCATTTATCCCACTACAGCCTATAAACTGCTCGTTTTCCCTGGTTTTATGTGGGTAGCTAAACAGGTAAAACTCTTTGAATTGATTGGGAGTGGGTGGGTGCAGTGCATGCAAAGCGGGGGCCGCCTCCATCAAAGCTGGTGCTTTTATGTGCCCCGCCCACTCGTGCATTCCTGTGGTATGTGAGCGGCGAGGTACATTGTTTTTGTCAATTTGTGAGTCGAGTGCAACAGTACGTTAGGGGTCGATCTTGTCTATAGATGCGCTGCGCAGCCCTGTATCATCATTCATGCACAGCTGGCATGCACAACTCAGCTCGACTAGTGACACAGGATACGTGTTATTTGTATAACATTGTAGGTCTATATCCGCACAAATATTTGTGATTTCTGAGAGACCGACGTGTATTTGTCTTTCAGCTAGCGCTACTACTATCGGGGAAAGGGCTTCATCACTCGATCTGCAGCATGGAGGACACAAACACAAGTCAAGAAAGCGGAATTGTAATATTTTATCTCATTTTTTTTGCCCCTGCGGCTTTGTACTTTTGTACTGCCAGATATACCGGTACCTTCCCCCTTTTTTGTGGTTGAACTCGATCTTAGACCAGCTCTACATCATTAGAGGACCTGCAATTAATACATACAATCTAATCAGCATTATTAATAGAATAACTAGACAAGTACCAATTGAGCCCAATGTTTATTTTCAATAAGTAGGCTAGAAATTCTACTCTAAAATCACGTAGATCTACAGTAAATGAAAATTTGATTTTCATTTCTTTTTTTAGTAACCAGCTAGGTGATGATGATCTGCATCTGACAGTCATTAAAAAGGGTTTTTGCCACAAAAATTGGATTCTTACTTGAGGGATCACAACGGTTTCAGAAATTACAGCAGCTAAGTGTTGGTTGGATTGGAATGATAGTACTTTCAAACATTCATATGTCTATAACAATTAACACTTGACCAGTGCGACATTTAAAGCTTACTATTATAATTCAAACATATGTAACCTGTAAGATCTCCTGCGCTATATTGCTATAGTACACTTTTAAATAACGAATCACCAATTGTTACCCTACTCTTCAAAGAGAAACAATTAAGTCTTCTATCCCTTCCTTATCTTAACCTTACTCTGGAGTATACAATCTCTCATGTTTAGATGGAGTGTGATGGTATCAATCCTGACCAAGACCCAGCTACGGAAGGCGTCGAGCAAGAGAGTGCAGCTGCTGTCAGTGAAGAAGCACCTCATGATGACCCAGAACACAAACCAAGCGTGCAGGACATTCCACTCCATGAGGAGGATCCAAGCAGTACACAGAATGGATCAGCAAGCTCAGGAGGATGCTGTGACCATAGCGATGATGAAGATGAGAATAAGATGCTGTGTATCTTGCAATTCAACTCTAGCACTAACATGGCAACAAGGAATTGGCTTCTCTCATCTCTAAAGGTATGGTGTATCCAATATGGCAATTTTTTATAAAGGTTGATCATGTTGTAAAACCTTTTTGGTTTGGTTGATATGCATGCAGGGATGGTCCCATTTATCTAAAGACCTGCAAATAATTCTCATGAAAAGAAGGCCTGGTGCAAGACTGCTGACATTTTATGGACCAGGCCCTGTCTTGAAAAGAGTTATCGGTTATCAAAATTAAACCTATATCCCCGATCTCAAGTCGTGTAAAATCCAGTTTTGGAGGATTTTCAGTTGATTCAGATTAATTTCAACTCTGCATGTACCTGAGGCAGGACCCAGCCAATCTCCAAGTCTCACTAGGCCTGGCTTCATTAGCTCGAGATTGCCAAATATCCTGCTATTTCAACTATCCCGATCGCAAGTTATCTGGAAAATTTGCGTCTTCATCAGCCCTAAGTTGCAATTAGCGGGATATTTGGTTGAGATAATCATCCCAAGATATCTTGGGCCAGTTTGCAAAATATCCTGCTATTTGTCTGGTGCGCCTTCACCAGCCCAAAGACTCCCACCATGCGCGAATGCTGAGCAAAATATCTCTAGCTCGAGTTCAAGTTTTGACGTCAAGTCTCGAGCTGATGAAGATGGGATTTGTAACTTCAGGATTATTAGCAGGGTATTTGGCAATCTCGAGCTGATGAGGACAGGCCTCTAGTCTCACTGTCAAATTCTAATCTCCTGCACAGGTTCCAGAGAAGGAGGGAGGAGCGGAGCTCCTTGTCAGCTCCATCCAAACAAAGAGCAACGGTGATGGAGACACTGTTCTCCAGATTGGCGCAACGAGGGAGAGGCTCCTGGAGGGAGCCGAGAAGATCTGCATCAGAAAGAAGTGCAAGGATGGATCGCTCAGGGAGTTCAGTCGGGGACATCGGGATCATTTTGACAGTGGAAGTGAGTCCTAGCATTTTGTTATATAAGATGGAGTAGGGTACTGGTCATGCAATTACATTATAAAAGAAACTGGAAGCACTTTGGAAACATGGATTATGTAATACATAAATTTGATGTTCATGATATGAACAGGCTTTTGAATCATCAAAATGGAAAGAAACTTATCCTTGATGAAAATCACATGCACAGCACATAGAAATGAGTATTAAGACAAATGTTTGGTCCAAAACTTTCATAATTTTATTATCATGTTCCAGATAAATGCTTCCTGACTACATGCGAGAAGCAGCGTGTGATCTACTACCTCCTGACTAACATACGAAGTACCAAAGAAGAAGACATTCCAGGCACCGATACCAAGAAGATAACTCTGTACCCAGAACAAAGGATAGGTGAGCACCTACGTGCGGTCGTATTTTGGTTATAAGTCGCAAGATCCAGCAACGATTACTCCCCAGTCTGTATATATTACACTAAACAAAATTATAACTTCAACCAATCCTGGCCTTAGAAGCACAATACATCGCTCTAGCCCTTACCCTATTCCTGAATTGTATGCCGAATCAAACTGATGCATGTAATGTTCAGTGAAGTTCAGAGCTATTGTCTCCGGGGCATATGTCTGAGCACCCCTATTTCTCCATCTCTAATACATAGGACTATGCTGTGGAAGCAGGGATGCATTGATTCTTTGATACTATTTGTAATAATGATAACCAATATGATGTTGGGTACCTGTAAAGTGCTCATATCAACTAAAGATGCTCAATTTGCTCAAATGTTACTCAGGCTGAAGCTAAGCTACTGATTTTGGGGCTCACAACATCAAGGCAATCCATCCTACCATCCTAATGTAAAGGCGCTCTGTTTAGTGAAGCATAGAAAACTGATCAAATCGTTTATACTGTTAAATTTATTGTGTTCAATCTTTTTATATGTCATATATTTTTGTTGTTATAGTGCCCAAGATGATGAACAGTGGACTGATTGATGGGATCTATCCCTTACACACACCGACTGAGCTCGTATCACTAGAGAATCATTGGTATAATCATCCCGATTACTTTCAACGTCAACCAATAGGTAAGAGTTTTTACTATTTCTAAGCTCCAAGCAATTTTTTACAATTTGATTTTATATGAAGTTTTGGCAAGGTTTATGAAGTACTTCATATGAAAAAAAACTACTTACAGTCATTAAACATTTTAAAGATGGAAATGTTATGATCATGTCTTTGTTACAATGAAAATAATAATTACCAATTATATATCTTTGTTAGAAACTAATTGTTAATCAGATGTCATTCTCATCTTACATTTTTGATATGATCAAATTCCAAACGATTTCAAAATGTAATGAATGTGACATATATTGAGTCTCATCAAGATTTAATTAAGGAACAAGGTCTTGTCACAAAACAAAATAAAAACACCCCAAAGAATTCCTAGATCAATCTTGTAGATACCGGTAGATGTCATTTGTTTGGATGTACGAATTATACATGTGGAGATAATTCTATCTTTGTGGTCATCATAGTGTGCTATCAGTACAGTCATAACTTGATTACATTGTATTTAATCTTGTCACATCTGAGCTGTGATTATTTGCCTTTGAAACGCTCTGCTTAACTTTATAAACACAATCCCTGGCACACCCCAATGTTGATTTAGTCTCATCTTGTTTTCCTTATGATAAGATATCAGTAGGTTCCTTGTTCTCAGAGTTGATATACAGTTCATTATAAAGATATAATCTCACTTTGAATTAGTGGATGCTGATAGGCCATGTAAAGTAGCATTATCAGTACAATCACGATTTTGGGTATTTGGATCCTGGAAAGTAACTGAAAGTTATTGATTATTTCCCTGTTATAGCACTAAATTCATACATCTTAAAGTCACTTGGATCAGCAAAGTACAAAATTATTAACAAAATTATAACAGCATATGTGCCTAAAAATCACTCAAGTGTGAGGAAAATATTCTTACAAGAAGATCAGTCTCACCATAAACTTTGTTTTCTAGATAGTGTATGTAACAAATAATATCTTCCATTAAATATGTTTGCAATGATAAACAGTACCTAAATAGTTTTGTTGAACCAAATTTTAATGTAACGTATGTGGCAGACAAATCTTTTACAAGAATTCTGTCTGCATATTTAAAGCAATATAAATTGGAAGAGAGAACATGAAATATTTGCATACTGGTAGGTAAATGGTACAAACCTGTATCACAGTTATATCCAACTTATGTCATAGATTACCAGCAACTATGGTTAGAGAATTTATCATGTTACATAATTCTGTGCCTTTTGATGAAATAAAATCTGAAGAGCTGAAATTCAATATGTACAATATACATATTGTTACGTAAATTGTATATTCCAACCCTGAATTAAAGTTATGGTCGGCTTTGGTCTTTGAAATGAAGAGGTCCTATTTCAGATATTAACATAACGTATGACTAGGTGACACACATCTATATGCTGGTATATTATTTTAAAGATATAGACCGGTAGAGGGAACATTGCGGTTCAAGGGTTTTGGGTGCAAAATATCTATTCAATATTGTTTAAATTTTGCCTGCGGAGGTTTAAATGGCAATACTTCAACCTAAATTCGCAAAAAAACAGAAATATATACCCAAATGTTCAATGTTGATGTGCATTCGCGATATCTATCCAGGCTGGATCGATTGATAATTTACCAAATATAGTAGGCGGTTTTCCGGCAAAATTTGTATCATCACTAATCAGTCAGTCTCGCATGATTGGTAATAAGAGCTTCCATTTCATATTTTGAGAGGGGGGCGTTTCCAAAACTGGTTTATACCTTTAAAAGGAAAACTCTATTTAAGTGTAATTAAACTTTATATTGACCGCCAACCTGAACCAGAATAAAAATGGTATCATAGTTGGGTCAGTGTTGTCCTATGCAAACATTGGGTGTGTGATGACCGGTTTGATTGATGTATCTTTGTTTTTTTGTTTGTCTTTCAAGCAGTCAAAGAGTCTTAGAAGTGCTATGTAAACATGTATGGTGTGGTACTTGTATTTAATCAATGGATTTGTGGAATGTTTATACTGATGATCACATTGATAGCTGGATTGTATCACAGATCTGGGCCCTGTTTCATAAAACATGTTATCAATAACAAGTTACAATAACTGTTATAAGCTACTGAAATCATGGCATGTGATTGGCTGAGAGCAAATTTTGTGTTAGAAATCCAGCATTTGTTATTGATAACAAGTTTTGTGAAACTGAGCCCAGGTTGCCCCTTCTGACAGGAGATAGATCTCAGATCGAGAACTTTTGTTAATTCTCAGTAACACGTCCCTTATTAGAAAAGTTATTAAAGACAAAGTATTCCAAATGAACTAATCAAAGGTTTAAGAGTAAACATTTGCTGACTTCCCACACATTATTTGTGCAACCAAAACTCTCAAAGTATATGCTGCCTTTTTTCAAGGTCTAATACTTACCGAAATATGCTAATAGTTACTTTTTTGTCTATGCTATAATGTTAAATTAAAATATTATAATTGTGCAACAACGTTTTCTTGAACGAAAAGCAAAGCAAAATAAAACAAACAAACCATTCTTTTATTACGAGGATACCAAATACTTTGTATATATGTTTGTACATGTTTTTACTTATTGTTTATTGCTTTTATGAATTTATCTGTTCAAGATTTTGTTATTAATATTATTATCATATATATATAGTTGTTAAACTATAATGTACCTCATTATGTTAAGCAGGGTCTCATGGAAGACCACCATTATTGGTGATAATGAGTCGCCCTGTCCAAATATCAGAAATAAATAAATAAATAAATACACATATTTAGTTATAATCCTGATGCCCCCACATTTCTTATCAGACAAAAGATTATCAGAAGTACATACATGATTTCTTGAATACAATAAAAAATAAGTACATATCAAAATTTCCAGTGTCTAAAGTTAAACTTCATGTATTCTCTGCATACATTTCATCAGCATATATAGTCCAACCCTTAGTACCACAATATAGGATGTTTCTTAATCAATTAAATTGCTTCCACAGAGATGATCAGGGATTATTTTGGTGAGAAAATCGGCATCTACTTCTCATTCCTGGGGTTCTACACCAAGGCTCTGTTTCTCCCGGCTGCGTTTGGACTCCTCTACTTTCTCCTCGATACATTCGTCGGCCACCTACCCCACGGCTACGCCATCTTCGCTATCTTCAATCTCTTTTGGACCACAGTGTTCCTGGAGTTCTGGAAGAGGAAATGCAGCTCAAAGGCATTTCGATGGGGAACCTACGGTGAGAGGGTTTACTATTTCTTTCTTTTTTCAGGATGTAGTGATTTCTAATTAAATGCTGAACCCAACTTCCATGTCATCAATTTGTCAATCAGAATCACACTGTTATGAACAGGAAGACTGTTTTTGAAAGAGTGTTATTGGTTTTCATTATGACTTGAATGAATATTATGTGACTGGTTTAAAAAGTGTGTACATATATAAGTACAAGTAAAAAAAAATTGTAAGCAATATATATATATATGTATATATATATATATATATATATAGTTATGTATATATTTTAATTCTTGTTCAGTGCTTCCCTTCATGTTATGTAGCTAATTTCTGAAATAAGCTGCTTGATATTCATGACATAATATGCACAAATCACTCCTTTTTTGTGCGCCCTAGCCTCTTGCATTCTGTCATTCGACGGTTCCAAAATGGACAAAATTTGTCCAATGTTTTTGTTTTTATTGTTGTTTCAGGTAAGGTGAAATTTGAGGAGCCACGGGCTGAGTACCATGGACCGATCGGCACCAACCCCGTGACTGGGCGTAGAGAACCCCGCTACCCAGCGTCCAAACGCTTCTACAAGAAATACTGCGTATCGGCCCCGATCATCCTGGTCTTTCTCTGCCTGGCTTTTCTCATGATGCTGGGGTTCTTCTGGTTCGAAGACTACCTCAAGACCAAGGTTGATGTCACCACCACCGTGGGGGGTCTTGTGCTCCTCGTGCCCAGTGTTCTGTATGCCGTGGTCATCATCATCGTCAACTCCATCTATCGCAAGATTGCAAGCTTTCTCAATGATTGGGGTAGGTTTAATAGCTGCTTGCATGATCAAAGAGCGAGTTTATGTGTAAATGTACAACGAACAGATGGTACGGCAGGTCCCACTGGTAACGTGTTTAATGGCATGAATAGTTTTGTATTGAGATATCAAATTGGCACATTAATCTGCATCACCTTAAAGACCAATTATCCAAGAGATTGCCCGTACTACCGGTATGTATAATAGATATTGGATACATGTACGAAATGATAAGGGTCAAGCTGTGACCTGGGCCCTGTTTCATTTTAAAACTTGAGAGCAGTTCTTTTTTTCCTAAATCTGATGTTGCATGTGATTGATTGTTATGATTATCAGGTGGTATAGTACCTGTTACAAAATCAATTCTCAGCTGGCTTGGGCCTTGTCTTATTTAGATTTGTTTTATACATGGTATACATGGTGTATGAAGTTATTTAGACAGAACTTGGACTAAGAATTTTGCTTCATGTAGAATTTGTTTTAACGGTAAGTGACAAGTGCATGGCATAACACAACTTTGAAAATCAGAGAACCAGACAAGGGGATATCTATAGGGACTCTGATGTTTTGGTTATTTTTATTTTTTATTTTTTCAAATTTATTTATTGAAACCAAAAGGTTTGATGACTTGGATTTTTAAGAAATTAACCAAACTCATATCTTTATTAATACCATATTTTTGTGCATAAACATGCAAGAGAATTACAAATGAAATTCATGGAAAAATTATAATGCTTGCAAATCCCCACCCCTAGATTTACCCATCACGCTTTGTAGTAGTCGATACTAGGTTTAATATTGAAATGTTGTATTCACGTTGGTGTGTTTTTGCATGGGGTTGTCTTGTTTTTGTTTGTGTTTAACAGAAAACCATCGTCTTCAGTCTGCTCATGAAAACAACCTGATCCTTAAACTAGTTGTGGTGAGTGTCTTAATTTACCCAAACTTGTTCAATATCCTCATCCTTTCATCTTCTTCTTGTAATATTCTTCTTGCAATGTTTAAAAGAATAATGATATGCATTTATATAACAAAAGCTGTGAAGATGAAACAAGAACTCATCTTTTTTATTATCATTGTGATTATAAATATGTATGACATCTTATTAAATTTTATAAATGAAACTACTACAAAAATAATCTGATGGAGGAAAATAATTTTAAGGGATATCGAAAAGCCTCCTGATATAAGCTGGTTAGAATATAGCATTTTCCCATTATTTCAGGAATAAAGTTAAACATTTAATGTTAAACGTCCCTCTTTATTTTATTGCATGACATACCTGTACAGCTGTTTTTCTGCAATTTAGCTACATTATTAAGAATTGATTTAAAAAAATGTTGTTCAATGCTGTTTGTACTTTCTTGAGACTCTGTACAAATCACAATTATACAATCAGGCTCCATTCATGTCAATATTAGTTCTGTATCAATGACCAACTATGGTATAAAACACATGCAGACCCAGCTATATGTATATTTACGTTTACGCATATTTCATGTTGAGATATATGTCAACCAGAAAGGCAGAAGCAAAAAGGTACAGGTACCACTATACATTTTAGTGATTACTTTTCTTGTCTCTTTTGCAATGGCTGTAAAATGTACTTCTAAATTTGGTCACATTTATTTAAAAGTAATATTCACTTTCCTTCTTATTTCCCTGTCACATCCCGTTTTTGTTGAATACAGTTTGACTTTGCGAATTGTTTCATGTGCCTCTTCTTCATTGCCTTCTACCTGCAAGACATGGTCAAACTACGCAAGGTAAGTCACTCTGGATACTGGAAATTCGCTCGCTTGCAAAATTTAGGAACAGATTGGTTGTAGGCAGTTGCATGAACATGACGATAGGATGATACTCCGTCAGCTCAGGCAGCATGGTGCCTGAATATAACTTCATCTAGTGTCGATATATCAAATTATATTTTTACCACAGTTTGCATATTTGTTATTATCAATAAAACTAAATGATTTGTGGCAACGAGATGACCAAATATTATCATAATGGGGTACTAAGGTGCCCAAATATAAAGATTTATATCTTATCATATTGATGACAAAATAAGATTTTGCCTCTTCATAAAATTTACAAGCAGGATACTAGTAGTAAATATTCAGGCAAGAGGTCTCTTTCCATATGCTTATGTTTATATTGGAGAAAAAAATCTTCTGTGATGAATTTTGGTGACAAGAAATGTTTTAATTCCTTAAAAGGTGTCATGACTTTAAAAATATGAAAATCGCTGAGATAGTTTATTATTATCAACTTTAGGACACATTCAAAGGTGTCGTGACTATAACAAAATAGATAGTTAATGATTATCAATTTTAAGACACATTTTCTTTAGGCCTTTCTTTGTTGCTATCTGTTCTGCAGTACCTCTCAACTCTACTCATCATCCAACAATTCATCGAGCAATTCCTTGAGACCGCTCTGCCGTACCTCATCCTAAGATTCTGGCGTGGAAGGAAGGCAGACGATGATGTCGGCAAGGCCAAGAAGGACGATGATGCTCCCCGGCAGGATGTCAAGAAAGATGTGGCTCAGCTGGTAGCCAAACAGAGCCAGATGGACCATTATCCGGTAATGATGATGCGGGTTGGGAGACGTGTCCTTATGAAAGTGTCAGTGGTTACCTAGTAGAAATGTGAGAGCTGGTTTTAAGTGTTTGTTATGATGATGGGTGTTGATTGTGTCATTGGTGAGGGGGTCAATGATGATGATGGTGATGGTGGTGGTGGTGGTGGTGGCGGTGGTGGTGGTGGTGGTGGTGGTGACGACAACGATGATGATGAGGGTGGTGATGTTGATGGTGTTGATGATTATGATTGTGACGATGATGATGATGTTGATGTTTTGAATGGATATAAAAGATAATTGCAATAGTCATGATATGTGATGGTTTTAGGGAGATATTGATAATTGCAGTGGTGATACATGTATCTTTTAAATGATAGTCATATCAATGGTTTACAATTTATTTGTAGTTTTTCAGCAAAGCATGCTGGGACATGGGATATCAGCTTGAAAAGTGTTAAAGCCATGTAAATGCTGCTGTTTGGGTGATGCATGTACATGTATATAGATATACAAGGGCATGCACTGTTTAACCATGATTATTTCATTAAATTAAACACAGTAATGCATGCTATAATTTTATTGACATTGTTACAGAGAGATATATTCTTACTCTTAATAAATTATAAAGTAAAAGTCTTTATACTTTCTGTTTTCTTGAATGTTTAAGGTTAAGGTAAGAACTAATCCAAGTTCATCTTTTGGTAGAAAAGGGTATAGCTTGACATCACTTTCAGCATTCTTTAGATGCTATGATCGGCTTTGCCTATTTCAGGAGGGATTTGATTCTTCTTATATTTTATTTGGGTTTAAAAGCCCTTTTTCCTCACATAAAAAGTATCACATGAATACATGAAGCGTTGGTCAGAGATGTCATTATTCATTTTATTTTTTTATCTGACTTAGTGTCTGGCTTCTTTGTTTAGCTAAAGTCATACTGTGACATCTATCAAAACAAATTAGTTTTTTTCCCCTGTAGCATAAGTTAGAACAGAGCAGGCTAATCTTCTGGTTTTTATTATATTTTCTGGGATGTTAAATCGGCCTATCTGTCGTATTTTTTTGGAGAGAGTGATATACGTGAACAAACTGTTGTAAGAAAGTCAAGCTATTGTGTCTCCTTGCTCTATAACATATAAAGCTCACATCGATTCAGGGCTTGGTGAGGGTCTCTAAATAACGTTAAGTTTATGATTTATGGATAATTTCTCACCCCATATTTGTAGGTTTCCAAATGTAGAGAGATGCCCATGGTTTCTGTCATGCCTAGAAATGTAGTTAAAATATATTGAATGTGGACTGACAAAGATGGGAAATTACAGTGCATTGTCTTGTTATTCTTGTTCACATCTGAAGTAGTAGTTGATTTGATTTTGTTTATAATTTTTTCCTATCCAATGTATTAATTGATTGTAACTTTTACTACTTCCCTGTATTACTTCTAGCTAATGGAATTCACTTCTTAAGAGTTTACATTGTGCTTATTATAACGTTATTATCTGCTTTAACTTGATATCAGCATAATATTCTCATAAATTTGAGAGATTGAATTTGAAGGCATATCAAAACCCTACTTGAGGGAGACAGTAGCTTGGACTGCCATCTTTTGGACATGAGTCATTTTATTGAAGTTTTAGTGAGGTTATACACAGAATTAAAGCATAAAATTAATTGTATGCATCATTTTTATGAAACTTAAACTTTTATCATGGATTTAAAAGTGAAGTATGTGTGCTGTCAAGCATGGTTCCTATTGTTCTTTAATCATGGTTACACAACTATGTAATGTGACTGATAACTGTCTGTTTTCTGTACAACAGACTGATTAGCTGTTGTATAGGAAAATTACTAGTACAAATTTATGTTCATTTAAGAACCCGGAGTCTTGATAAATGAGCAATACTTTGCCTATTAGGCAAGGAATTCTTCTATTTCATAATGAACCTCTCCATCAAATACCACTTTCTACCTCCAGGGAACATTTGATGACTACCTGGAGCTGTTCCTGCAGTTTGGATATGTGTTCCTCTTCTCAGCCGTGTTCCCTCTAGCCGCTGTCTTTGCCCTACTTAACAATGTCATCGAAGTCCGCAGTGATGCCTTCAAGCTTAGCAGGGTCTGTCAAAGACCGTTTGGACAGGCTGTAGCAGACATAGGCACTTGGCAGGTAGGAACAGATTTATTGATCTCAAATGCGCAATTAAGCCCAAAATCTTTGGTTGCTTGAGCGGAGATTTGTACCCTATTTAGTTCAAGTTCTGTTCACAAACATATGAAGACTAACAGTATTAATAAAGTTGGATCAATGTAGAAAATGTTTTGGATCTCAGAAAATTGCATAAATTGATAAGTGCCATACATTTTTGACCGATTTTATCATCATTTTTTATAAATGACCAGTTGAATGAGATTCTTGATCTTTAGAGATAACATCACTGATTTGAAACCTGAAAAGCATCCAAAATAAGGTGTAGCACAGTTACCTCATAAATTTATAACTCAAGAAAATTACTAAGCAAAAAGAAAGTGTTAAATAAAAAATGTGTTCTTTATCATCAAAATTATGAGAATTTGTTTGTCTTTATCTTCAGAAATATATCATAAATTTGAAATATTATTATCATGCAGGCAATGGCACTAGGCAACTGCAAACCCATATTGTCATTCTAATGAAAATTCTTTCCGTCCTTAAAGGGATCCGGTAACTTTGTCTTAGATCCTTTAAAAAACTCCTTGATTTAGCTCATGCTGCTATGATAATTATAAACCTTTAGGTCAGTCAGAAACCCCATGACTTTTACAAGCCGAACACCTGTCTGATTATCAAGATATATGATTGGAAATACAAATTTTGAAGAACGTTTGCCAAACGGTTTTCATAACACTACAGTCTATTGGGGAAAACGAGTATGGTAAAACCGGTCAATCTATTTCTTTTACTTTTTTGAGGCACTTCTTGATCATTTTGAAGCGCAATTTTTTTAGGGCTTCAATATAACACCATATCAGAGACACTGATAACATGTAGGGCCATGCATCTCGGATTTAACATCGTTAAACGATCCCTTTAACGGTGATGTCTTTTCTTCACAGATAACCTTTGAGATAATGAGCATCATAGCTGTTCTCACCAATGTAGCCCTGATGGCGCTGTCACCTGAAATTCAGTCCCTCTTTCCAGAGATGTCCACCACCAAATACATTCTTCTCTTTGTCATTGTTGAGGTAGGCATATCATCATCTAGTTAGTTATTAATTTGCTGCCATTCATGCCATTTATGTGTAGATTCATTGTTTATAGAACTTCTACTACAGAGGTTCACATATGTGCAAAATCAAAGAAATTGAATTTGAAATTCATATTTTTGAAGACTCTGTAGTGCATGGATCTCATTAACAATGTACTTTGTACTCATAATGCCCTTTACTGGATGCATTTAAACATCTTTATAGGGAAAAAACATCTCACAGAATTATCTATCTAGAAAGGCCCTTTTTGCCTTTTATATTTTGAATAAGAAAGTTGCAGAGCTTTTGGAGCCTCAAATTCACTAAAGAATATTGCTTCATATCTGTTGATAGAGTATTTCTGTATAAGTATTTTCACCCCATTTATACTTAAAAAAACATAATTAGCTAAGCAGAAACATGTATAAACTTTGCGTATTGTAGAATTAAGTACTAATATTTCAAACCTTACTGTCAGTAGTACCATACAAATGGTGAAAATGTAGTTGACTTCTGAATTCTGTCATTCCTAAAGGCACCACTTGGTTCTAGAAAGTAAAGGCTTAATAAATGAACTTGATAGGGGTTCCGTGCATGTTTGGCTGCAAAAGTATATATACACAGTATGTATCTATTTTTTCTTTCTAAATTGTTGTTTCTTTTAAACAGCACATCTTTCTGGCCTTCAAGGCAGCCATTGCTATCTTAATCCCTGATCTACCTGAATGGATGGAGGTAGAGCTGGCCAAGGAGGAATTTGAATCTAGGAAAGCTCTTGCTGAAAGGGTAAGGTTCAGGTTAATTCTTTGTAATGAGCCTTGTAATTTCGTACCATAATGGGTAATGTCAGTGTACCTACATTATCAAATGTAGTTGAGGGTCAGATGTAAAAGCTAGCCATTTGCATCATAGATATATCATGTTTGTAATTATGTAATATAAATGTCAAGATTTTATCATTTAACTTTGTGCTATGTTAAAATTCCTCAGACCTCTCTACTTTCAAAGGCAAAGAGAAGTTTTTGAATGAATTTTAGATACATGTATGAAAGTCTATTAATTTAATTTTGGGGCTACCACATCTCTGTCTACCCCGTAATCTTTATGTCGTCCTAATTCTATCCCATGATGCAACAGAAAGCAGCAGAGTTGACCCACCAGCTATCCTTCAATGCCGACAACGAGAACGGAGGGAATGTGAAGGCTGCCCTCGCTCAAGCCCAGGCAGCACATGCCAGTGAGGCTCACTGATTGGTCAAAGGAAACCAGCACATGCCAGCGAGGCTCACTGATTGGTCTAAGGAAACCAACAGGATTTGCTTCATTTGTTTTTATAGCTGCCACAGTCATGGTTAAAACAAGAGTCTGATATCAAACACCTTTATTAACTCAAATACTAACATATTGGTATGTAATCATCATGTTTAAAGCATTTAAAGTATTACCTATTAATAGAAAAATGCGTTTATTGATATTTTCACTATTATTACCATTTATAAATTAATTAGTACATTTCATGTTTTCAATTTTTCGCATTAACCTCAAAAGTGAAATGTTCATGTAAATTGAAGTACATGACAAAGAGATGCACATGTAGATGAAGGTCAATTCTAGACTCGTGATCTGTTGTATAAACAAATTTTATTGATGTTACTCTTCAACTCATAATTTCTAAAGAGTATTCTCACAAAAGCATGAACTCTCCTACTTGATCTTTCAATCTTTACCCAATACTGATTTTCTCTACTTCATTACAAAATTGACACAACTCTAACAATGTGCAACAGACAAGCATGAACAACATTTTGAACTCAGAATAAGAATATTTGTAAGCATTTTCTCTTGTACCCAGTACGTTCAGCATATCCAAAGCATTATTTTGAATATATCAATTCCAATGGGTATTTACCAGATTATCAATAGTACACTAAAGCATTGATTTGATACAATCGTAAGCATTTTTCCTCCTGACGGTACGAGGGCGATAATCTTTTCTATTCTACAGTGCTTTCAGTCAATAAACCTTTCCTATATCTTGCCAAGGAATGAGTTATACAATTTTGTAGCTGCCATGTTTCTATGCATATTTTGCACAAGTGTTTTCAGGAAACAACTATCGAATATTTCCTCAGTTTCCAGCATGCAATAGTTTTTTATTTGTTTTTCAGTGATATGGTTTTATTGTATGCTGTTTGTTTTAAGTGGACTTTTTGAAGGCTCACTTCTTTTGAGCATGAATTATTATATATTTTTGTTGACTCAACTGATCTCTTTGGAGTGTCTTATCATTGTTTAAGCAGGCCTTATACTTCTTTGTTGAGCAATTTGTGAAGCATTTTGTAACTGCAACAAAATATTTTCAAGATTGGATTGAACGGGGAAATGCACGGGGAAATGCACATTCAACCTGGAATCCATTTATTTTCAAACTAAAGATAATATGTGAAGAGGTAGGGTTCCCCTACATAGTTCTATTTTCTTTTCCTATTTATGTTGACTATATCATTTGTTATTCTACAGGTTACGCATTCTATTTCAAGCATATGCTTGTATTTCCTCAAGAAAGCAATATTTCATTAAAGATGAGCTTTAGTTCTGGTAATGATAGAATATGAATTCTCACAGAATCCAACAAAAAAAAATACTCTGAAATGTTGAAGAGTACAAATAAATGACATGTGCTAAACATTTTTGGTAGAAAATGTATAGGGGCTGATAAGGGAATCGAGCTAAGTAGGCCGACACCATGTTCTTAACACAGGTCACTATGTGCAAATGAGGACTTATTGAGCAAAAAGAGATACTATCATTGCATTATTATTGATCATAGAAAGTGTTTTCTAGCTTGAAAATCAACATAGTCAAAGTTGATGGGTAAATTGTACTTGTCTGTATGTCTTCTGTAGTTTGTAGTGTAATCTCATGATATGCCAAATATTTCTATTACCGGTACATAAACTCTGTCTTTCTGGTTGATGACCTTCCTTAGTTATCTAACAAGGTTTTATGTTGAAATTTTTTTCTCTAGTATTACATTTACAAAATATTTTAATACTTTTGATACATTGTAAATCAATAACACATTTTCTTACAACTATGATGCATGTTTCTAGTAGTTAGTGCCTTATGCCTTTATTTGTACTTGTAGTAAGACTCTTTTCACATTTTTATACCCAACAGTAATAAATAAGGAGAATTTATTTTTATAATTTTCCTTTCAAAGGTTAATACTTGTACCTCTTAAATGTACCAATCATAACTGCCAACACAATTGTCAGAGATTAATAATGTTTATTGAGATGGGAATACCGTTATACGGTATGTATTATTGAAAGATGGCAAAAGGGCTTGAACTCTTTCAATAAAAATATGAATTCTATGCTGGGTTAAAGTTTGGACCATGGTATGTTAAAAGTAAATAAACTTGGAAAGAGGTTCATGTTTTCACGAGTAAAATATGGGCCGTATAGTTATTAACAAATATGTATTCGTAAATTTATTTGGGTATGAGAATTATATTCATAACACACAAATTTTATTTTATTTGGAGCTATATTGGAATAAATGGAAATATATTAAAAATCTATGCATTTAAAGCAGGATATATTTTATTTTGTGTACGTCTCTCTCCCTCACTTTCTCTCTTTCTCCTTCTTTCTCTCCCTCTCATCTTCCCCTTTCTCTCCGTGTCATAAGAGGTTAATATTCCACCCTTTCCATGGCCTCCCTGTATAATAAAGGGATGCCAATTCGAATTAATCAGAGGGCATGAAAATCACCTAGAATGAGCTAGCTTGTACACAAAAGCCTAAACTACAGCCTGAAAATAACTCACCAGGGCAGGAATTCAGGCTATTGCCTGAAAACTGGCATCCCTGATAATAATGATACACACAACTCAAAATTTCTTTCATAAACTTGTTATCATTCATCAGTTCTGTTTAATTACATATGTACAAAAGAAATACCATATATACATAAAAATTTACAATCATAGGCAATAGACAGAATTCTTGATTTGCTGATTGGAGTGAATTTAGATGCAAAATGTAATGACCGGTACATGGTAGAGGAATGTCATATTATCCATCCAATTGAATGCATGATCAACAGTTTAGAATGAAAGTAAAAAGCCAGTTTATTTTTAAATACATTATCAAATGGATCTCAAGTTTAGCTCTTAACAACATTATTTCCTTGGCCAAGGCCTTATAAAATACACATATCTGTATTTATCACTCTCACATAAATCCATGTTTATTCATGGAACATATCTAAACCTACTAAATCTGATGTCTTTTTCAACATGTGAGAGCATCAATGTGTATTTTTAAACAATATGTCAAGTTTATGCCACACCTCCCAGGGGTCACTGATTCCATTGGCCAGGTACACTACTAGTTACACAAGTTCTTTACTACAGACCTGGTGAAGACAGAAATGACCATTATACGCAGGTGGCCTCTCTATACAGGTTGCCACTGTAGTAAGTTTGATTGTACATGTATGCATGTTAGCAGTGATCAAGAGATATGGTAGATTTACAATCCGCAACGCCATCCAGCGACGCCAGTGTTGGGTCGATTTCATGTGATGTATTATGGGAAAAAGTCAACAAAAATATCAGCTGTACCCTTGTTATATACCTTAGGAGATAAGGAGATTTAATCAACATTTTGGGTGGAGAAGGTTTGAATAGGTTACCATAACCAAGGTAAAATTTTGCACCGATTCCAAAAATATTATTCTAATTGACCCTACTAACAACGTTTTGATCACTTTGGCCCTGCGGGGGTGCTGTTTATTCTAATTTCACCCTATTGCTTTGCAGCACTGTCTCCTGTTATCCGGTGTTGGATTTTAGCCACCTGAAATGTCATATTTTGATCCATGATTGTTTGAAGTATTTGTGATCATGTTCCACCGATCAGACAAGCACATCCCTTGAAGTTTCAGAGGTTCAAACCGATATCATTCTCATTTAGGCACTACCACAATTCAACATATTGAGGATTCTTCTCACAGAATAGCATAATGTATGCCAATCAGCGATCAATGGCTAGCAATCCTGTGCTGTTAAGAGTCTTGCCTTCTCTGGTGGACAAACTCTCATCTCTTAAAGTACGATGACATCTCACTCATCACAGTTTTAACCTTTTGATGTCTTCTGATCGGAAGTCTAACCTGAAGATTAGAAAATGAAAACAAGCAATATATATTTTGTGATAAAAGTTTGATGTCACATACTTCTTTTTCGATGGGATCTGCCAATATACTCTGCAATGTACATACAGTTATCAGAACATCTACGCAAGTAATGAATGGTGCTGTGGAAGGAGCAACAAAAAATAAAAGTGACAAAGCTTCATGCACAAACTAAGACTTAAGTTCCACTGTCATGTTTACTTTAACGACTGTTGCTTTATAATAATAATAATAATGATAATAATTAAACATTTTAATATAGCGCATAACACATAGGCAAAATTGCACGTCTCTATGCACTTTATGAAAAAAGCAAAGCACTGGGTTCATAATTTTGATTATTTATGAAGTGGTGAAGAGATTTTAGAAGATCCTATACTTTTCAGTTGTTCAGGCAACTTTTTCCACAAAAAAGTGGCTGCATATGAAAAAGACCTTTCCCGTATGACTTTGTCATGGTTTGTGAAACACAACGCAGAGACTTGGAACTGGAACATGGCATTCTATCTATTTTAAGATACATCCACATCCAAATAGGCATTGTTGTCAAGCACACGACTCTGATTAAAACTATGTACTACATCTAGCTTTGCCAATGCATATAATGGGATAGCATTCACAACCTTCCAATGAAGAAATTGTAATAATGTTACACAATCAAATGTATGCGCACAGAACAAAATAGTCCATACAACTTGACACAAAATCATACATCATAATTTTGAAACTGCAAGAAATAATATCAGATGCACTTCAAACTTTACTAAAATCACAGGATGGGGGAAGGTAGGGGTGAGAGTCATTATAACAAACTGACCTTAGTGAAAGCACTTGTCTGACCTCTGCAGGGGTCAACCTCCAGGTCAAAGGTCCCGAGTTTGATCCCCAGTAATCCAGAATCTCAGTAACCTACAGAAACAAAGATGTCATACTTCAATTTCAAAGAATATAACATGGTAAAAACAGTTAATTGCAACAGATTTCTTTTTAGAAACAGGAACTGATTCACAGCTTAACATTAATTTCTTCAACAATTGCATCCATGCATTCCTTTTCTGTACCTTGAAAAATACTGAAAGCAGATATCTTAAAATGGCTCAAAGTTCCTTCCTAATCTACTGTTTCTCTTTTTTTTTTAAAGAAGGCCTTACTGTAAAAAGAAACACATCAAACGATTTCAAAGTGCTCTCTAAAATTGCAGTAACTATGTACAATTTAGATATCATACTACAGCAGATAGAAAGCATATAGACTGACAAATAACCACATATCTTAAAATCAATTTTAACATAATCTGACCTTGCCTATCTTTTCTTTTGTAGGGTATTCACAAGCTATAATAATTGGGATAACGGATGATAAAGGAAAGACTTAGCAAGCATTTCTTACCCTATCTAGATTCAAGATGGTAGCCATCTGTGTAAGTCTTGCAAACTTGTCACGTATCGTCCACTGGGTGACCGTGGTCAGGTAGCCAACGAGTGACCGCAGCTCCTTGTCAAACTGGAGACCACCAAGCTGTACGAGGTAGAGAAACAGAGTTGGTCAAACGGCCGGGAGAGAGAGAGAGAGAGAGAGAGCTGTAAAATTGCTTTGTGAGGAGGTACTAGAACTTTAAACATTAGAATACAGAGGATTGCTATGCTTTCTTTCCACACAAACATCGGGGAAATATATAAAGGTGTCTGTATTCATTTGCGCAGCTCTCCTAAACAGTTGTATCTTGAAATGCTATTTCAATTACTAATGCTCTTGCTTGAAAAATACATGATGAAAATAAATCGCTGGGATTGTAAATGTCTCATAAAATGTTGGGTATAAACAAGGATAACACAGGACTGCCAGTTGACATCTGCCATGCAGCTAATACCTCGGTCGCCTCAACGATACCGACACCACACCAACTTCAAACCGAACAGAAAATTATAGTACCACTAATGGCCCAAAATCAGTCGGCCTTGTGTCCGTTTGGCGTTAGTCTGGTGATGTGACCAAGGTATAATGAGGGATACATATGGAAGGTAAGTGGCTATAATACTTACCCTGTTAAAGACCGATTTGAGAACCGCTTTCTCCAATTGCACTGTGACTTCACTTGTCAGGAGGCTGACCAAGGCATCATAGTTACTGGATGTCAGTAGCTCCTGGAAAGCAAAGGACAGGACAGGAATAGAAAAATTATGACCCCTTCAAAGTTTGATCAAAGTCTTTGAACGATGAAACTGTGATAAATTTAGTGACATACAGTAAGATACATGAATATGAACTATACTTGACGATGACTTTATTTAGTTCATATTCAAGCAATAAAAAGTTCTAGCACCGTTAAAACAAACACTCATGAAATGTCTAATGTAAATGTAAATCTGTACAAGTAGTTCACAATTTCATGACTGTGAAAGATCTTTCAAGTCTGTTTTTCTGGATCTAATGATCCTTTAACAATATTGCAACAAAAAATTGCAACAAATCAACTAGAGCAATTTCAATACTCAATATATCGCCTGAAGAAATCAAATTCAGATAATGAGTTATGTCGTTGTCAAGTTCCCACATTTCAAAAGATGATGGACAATTCTATTTAGAATCACCTTAGGTTGATTTCTTACAAGTCTTTACAAAAATGTCTTTAGAAAAGAAATGAAAATATACTTCCAACCTCCACTGAGTGACCAGTGTACCATTTGCAGATAAAAGATGTAAACTGATTTAAGAGTAGACTAGACAAATACTGATCTAAAAACCATGATCTTTTTTATGGACCTGTATAAGCTGTATAAGCTGATATTGCAAGTTTGCACACATTTTTGTCCTTTCCCACTTAGTTAATTTGAAATAACAAGGATAATGTATAACCACTGAAGAAGACATCTACGATTGATAAACAGGCATAGTCCTGTAGCATCGCTGGATTAAAGTCAAGTCAAGTCAAGTCAAGGAAATGCCTCATACAGAATGATTACACAAAAATGTAAATATAAATATCAGAAATAAATGAAAAAAATTGAAAAAAATAAATAAATAAAAAATAAATAAATAAATAAATAAATAAATTTAAAAAAATAAATAAATAAATGACTTACTTTGAATTCATTGAGTAGCTGTTCAAGGTTCATGATGAGTTCCTGTACGAACGGATCGTTTGCCTCGTAATTAGAGAACTCCTCCTCGCTGATGTTATGACTCGTCGAGAGGAAGACGTCCACCATGGGTTTGATTCGTGGTTTGATGGCACTGGTATTGAGTTGACTTAAACCATACTATGATGATGAGAAGACAGAATGAAAGTAAATGAATTTGTAGGCAAAGTATTTTCCAATTGTACCATGAAATTTGACCTCTTATATATGACCTATTCTATAATACAATCCACTAATTATTTTCCAAAACAGATACCATCTGCAGATAGCCAAAAGGGTGTTACCTGTGAGTAAAAGGATGTTAAGTTACTGCACTTCTGGCTCTTAGCAGATGGTATAGGAAGTTTTTTTTTGTTGTCATTGTTACTAGTATATACTAAGTTTAAACTCTCCAAAATCATCCAAAATCATCACCTTTCACAATATCACTATCTTTAGAACATTAAACTATCATGATAAAAAAGCAGAATGAAATAAAGACAATTTCATAATTTTTGTTTTGCAATATTCTTCTAAACCCTCTATAATTTGTTCAGAAAAAGATGCATATTACTTTTACAAATAATGTCAAAGATGACAATGCAATTTGTGACCAAAAGCTAGCAGGGATATGTAAAATGTTAGCCGTAGCTTAAAGATTAACTTAACGATAAAGTTCTGGTAAATATAGAAAATAAATTCTCACAGAATCCAACAAAACTCACACTGAATGTTCAAGATTACAAATAATTGGCATGTACAAAACAATTTTGTTAGAAATGTATAGTGGCTAAGTAATGAGCATAGAAAGAAAAGGATATCCGGGTAAGTAGGACAGACACCATGTGCCTAAAAAAAAGTCACTGTGTGCAAGTGGGAGTTAAGGTTTTTTCAATCAAAGATGATGCCCAGTCAGTTCTTGTGCACTGATTTCTTTTCACTTCACTGGTTCAAACCACCAATCTACTGCAGGAAAAACAATCCAGAATTTTCTTTTGAAATATGATTCCCAACTGAATTCAATATGAAACACTCTGCAAAAATGTTTATGTTTCAATATGTACCCCATACTCACTCACCTCAAGAACATCTTTGAATTTGTGCGTATGTGTTGTGAGTTCATTCAGACACATGTCTAGCTTGTCTTTACTCATGCCACCATTCTGACTGACTAGACTCGCACACTCCTCCACCAGGCTCTTCTTCAGGGTCTGCGTGTACTCGATGCTCACTTCTACATTGTTCAAGGTGGTCTGGAGGGGAAATGAATGAAGAAAAGACTAATCTAGAGTCTACATGTTCTGCAATTGAGAGAGTGCACTATAGTTATAAAAAAGTGATATTTAGCTCTCATTGTATGTAACAGATAGAGAAACTAAAAATTCATGTTCTGTTATAAACAAGGATTAGTTCTGAATACTGTGTTGATTATGTCAGCAATCGCATTTGTTGATAAGCAATACCAGGAAAAGGACAACTGCTGTGGAAATCCCTGGTGGTATACAGAAAGCCATGTTTAAACATATGCATGCGTAGTTATGAGAATTTTATGCAAATTTAGTTTTCTTTAAATAGAATACAGAATTTACATTCATACAAAGATTTGAAAGGTGAATCTGCACTGCTATTCTCTCTTACATACATACTCTCACAGCAAAATATAAATAACCTACAATGTCCATTCTACATATTCTTCACTTTTTAATGTAGATCACAGGTATCTATGTTATGTTTTGCTTTACTTTGCAAGGTGCATGAATTGAAATGAATCAAGTTCACTCCAATCTAATTCAATTCAATGCAATTCATTCCTGAATTTGATGCAATACAAAATTATAAGCCTCTCTCTTCCTCACCAGAAATTCTAGTTTTGCAGCATTTGTGTCTGAAGCTGAAGTAGGAAGCCGGCCCTGCTGTAACATGCTGTAGGCCTGACTTACGTCAAACGACCCTGATGGGAAGCCCGCCCTCAACTTGCCATATAAGACATCCCGGTAGTCGCTCTCTAGTAGCGTACTGGTGTGGTTTAACATTGCACATGCACAGTCGACACTCCCGCTGGATACAGCTCTCCTGATACGAGTCAAACAAATAGAGATGGATGAATAGGCAAGTACTTGTAGAAAAGGGGAGACAAATGACAGCAACGGGGAGGGAGGGAGGGAGGGAGGGAGGGAGGGAGGGATCGAGGGAGTGAGGAAGGGCGGGGAGAGAGAGAGAGAGAGAGAGAAACATCACATCAATAGAAACTCACCTTGTACACTTCTTGAGAATAAAGAAGATATCATCCACCATGCTAGATGTATGTGAGCCAGGCTCTATGATGTCCATACTCACTGCCTGTGAATGAAGACAAATTAAAAGGACCATTTCATACATATTGTATCTAGGCTGAAAATAATAATAATAATAATAATACACAACATTATTAGGCGCTTAATACGGTTGTTTCTAAGCGCACCATTGTCTATCTACAAATTACTAACAAAAAATGATAATGAATTTATAACAAAAAATACCAGAAAGCACATGACATTCATAGCACAAGTTGACTGGGGTGATGCAACATTCGCTATGGACTTTAGTTTGTTAAAGGTAAATGGTTTTGTATTAGGAAACAATTGGTTCTAAGGTACATTGAGTTCAGTTTTGGTATAGAATTAGGTAAAATGATTAGGTAAAATACATAATGACCGGAGAGCAATTTTCTTCCCAGAATATGTTTATGTTATAAGTATAATACTACAACTTGTTTCCAGAACTCAAAGTTAGCTTACTGAAAAAAACCTCTAACTCTTACCTTCATGACTGTCTCTCTCATGAAGTACTCCTCCATGACGATGTAATTACCAATGATCTCCTGCATCCGTCTACTGAGGGCGCAATCACGTAGCATGCGGTCCAGGCTAGACAGTCTCTCTTCCTTGGCAGGGCCATCTTCATCACACACCTCTATGTCACTCTACAAACCAAAGGAAGATGGATAGGTATGACGGCGACTGCACTAGACCTTTAAAGCCTGTCTGCACTAATTTGGCCAGAAGGAATTAGACCTCCCTGCATGGCCACTGACAGATGGTTATCTCATCAAATCAGCTCTCAATTAACATAAGAAAAAGAGGATCATGGGGACAAACGGGCACCGCTTAGGCATTGTTTGCTATATAGAGGGCGCAAGTAGCTACGAGTAGTACAGTAGGGCTTTAAATGTATTTGGGTGCGAAAGAAGCAACCTATGAGTAATAAATAACCTTTCGTCTCCAAATTTGCTTAGACCAGCTCTGCATCATCATATGCACTTCTATCACTGCGGGTAGTGCATACACTCACCAAGTTGATGGTCATATGAATTGAAACACATCTCCTGTTCCAACGTTCGGCTTCCTGGGAGAAGTTTAAATTGTTGTTAAGAATTTTTTGCTTGCTTGCACTAAGTAGATACAGACCATGTGCTCGATCTTGTAATTGAAAACAAGTCAAAAAAAATCTTAGAACCAGCGGGATTTCAGCTTGCCAGGCAGCGACTCTACCACCAGGGTCATCACTGGTCCATGGCACAGTCATGATGAACTGGAAACAAATACATCAGCTCTCCGGACTCATTCTGACTAATTATACACCTCCTCTTTCATATGTGATTCCCTATTAAGGTTTAGACTATATACTGGTGTGCCATGATGATCCATTTCAAGACAGTCACTTTTGCTTCTCTAAAAGTTATGACCACTTCGGGTCCAGAATTAAAGGTTACCAAAACAGAACTGAAATACAGCCACTGACAAGGGGGTCAATAATGGACATATGTGACACAAATATTAATATTAGCACTGTATGCTTATTTGTATTCTCTTGAACTGGTCAAAAAGATTGTTTTACAGCTGATATAGCTTTCCATGTGATAGGCCGTAAAATCCATACCTCCACTAATATACAGGTCTTCTACAAGGGCCTATATCATCAAAGAAAAGAGGGACTCACTGTAACTCTCCTCCTTATGAATCTGAGGTAGAGTTCCGTCCTTGTATTCAGTAGGGTACACTCTGCAAGCAACACATCTAGATCTCTGGGATCCAACCTGAGTCAAACAAGAAGTTTAAGAATATATTCATACATTTAATGTGAGTAATAATAATGATTAATTTATTATGACAAAATTTGTGTTCAAGATGTGAGTAGAGAGAAACAACATAATTTTATTGAGTACCAAATTTCTTTAAATTTGTTTAGTAATATTTTTCTTTTTAGTAAGTAAGTAATTCTAGTAAGTTACATCAAATCCTTCTTCAATACCATGAAGTAATATTTGACTTTATTTCAGTAGCATATTTGATGAAAAACTGAACAAAATCATGAGTAGTATAAATGGAAAGTCACTAACAATGTTGTTGGAAGATTCGCTTATTTCAGAATTACTTAACAAATAATTTGAGCTATGGTCTATAAACTGAAAAAGAAATTGAATCAAGCATAATTAGTATAACAAATTTATATTGGTTTACACCTGGAATAACCATAACATTTGAGACTAACATGCCCTTACTGTTGAGAAACCAGTAGGAGCCTATACTCACTTATCATGGACATTAGAGGACTTGTATGTCGTCCTGGTCAAGCTTAGCTGTACTTGTTGTGACTTCCTACTGAAATCTCTCTGTTCTACAAACTTATCGATGATCTTCTGTGCCTGCCTGTCACATTCCTTCTGAAGAGATTCTATCAAGGTTAATAGTTTGCCGGGACCTATTACAAAAAAAAGCAGGAAACAACAATTAGGTAATTTTTTTTTTTTTTGAATATCTAATTTTTCACACTCTCTCATTCTCTTTCTTGTTCTTTCTTTCCCTTTCTCTTGGCCTAAAAAAACATTTAATTTTAACTCTCTCTTTCTCTCCCTTTCTCTTGTCTTTTAAAAACATTTTATTTGAATAATAATAGTAGTGTTTCAGCATAATTGATTTCATAATATCATCTATTGAAAGTCAGAAGGGTGTTAACTCATATGCTTGAAGACAGAGTAAGCGCCCTTCTAGCATTCAATGTGTTTTTCTTTATAAGATATAGCACCTTCTTCAAGCAACATTACATGATAAGGAGGCTCAATGGTGCAGTAGGAAGAGCACTTGCCTTTAAACAGTGAGGTCCTAAGTTCCAACTCTGTCAGTGCCTGAACACTCTTTCATAGTAAGGCAGTAATCATGATTATGCCTATCCCTTGGATGTACATTTAGCAGTAGGTCTCTTGGTTGATTACATACAAGCATACACTTTCTTTCTTTGCAGTGACGATAAACAAGAAACATCATCAACATCACCTACAGCATCAGTGATTAGTGCCAGGTTATACAAGGCTCATAATTAAGAAGTCGACTAGACAGTGGCTTGTTAAAACGGCTACAGGCTAGTTAAGATCACAAATGCATTAGTCCACTTGGTGACACAAACATTCCTATGTATTTCTGAAAATAACATGGTAAAATTGTAGACATTTTTGCTGAATATGGTAGGAACAATCTTTGCAAACTTGTCAGGTTTGCTCATAAAGCCTAAAAAAATTGTAGACATTTTTGCTGAATATGGTAGGAACAATCTTTGCAAACTTGTCAGGTTTGCTCATAAAGCCTAAAAAAAAAATGTTGTATTGCCCTGTAGGTGCCAAAACATGGGTCGGTCAGTCAAAAAAAAATTCTTTTTTTCTCTCCCTCTTTGGGCTGATATTTCTCAGTTGTAAATGCATAAATATTTTTTTTCTCTAAAAAAACGGTTAAAAAAAATTAAAAAATTAAAAGCCGACCATACATTTCAAGATTTTGGGGTTGGTCGCAAAAGGCAATACAACATCTTATTTTTTTAGGCCTAATGGGGAACAAAAATAATGTACGACCCTGAAAATGTATCTTAATCCAACTCACCGTAATATGTTTCCACAAGTGGTTGATGGACTTCAATGATCTTGCCGACATCTTCAAAGAGATTGGTTAGAGCGTCTGCATACAGTACCCCTGCTCTTCTATCAGAGCTATCGACACTGGATGCTATCTCAAGGTGTTCTCGTGCATTACTCACAATCTACGAAAACAAGCAGTAAAGGATGTCTATGAAATACATGATTCCTGAAAAGCCTGCAAAATGAATTGAAGGAAATACTTATTCACCCCCCCCCCCCCTTCTATGAGCAACAACTTTAGATTTCATCAGGAGGCTCCTAGCTACCTCAATGTGCTTTTCTTTTTGTTTTAATCCCACTTTTATGACAGGAAGAAGGAAAGTGCAGAAGGCCCAAAGAACAATCCATTTAAATTCTGCATTTCTAAACTTCATAACTAGTTGAGTATGAAGAGATGATCACACCAGCGAGAGTCATCTCTGATTGATCAGTCATTTCATAAAGCTTCAAATAGATCCCTACCAATGAAATTGTACATGTGGGGGGGGGGGGGGGGGGGGGGGACTATATGGGACTCTGTGGTGTAATCTATGACCGCACTCGCCTATCACAACTTTCTCTCTCAATATGATATGCTAACTTTTCATAGCGCCTGTAATGATAATGCTTGACATCTAGTTAAGTTCAAATGTAACTTTAGTACTAGATACATACTTATCAATATGTGAGACTCGCACGGTAGCATCCATACATCGTTGTGCCTGCATTGTTGTCTATGTGACATATATCACCACAAGGTGGCGCTATTAACTTTAGACTCATGAGATATACATATCATTACCTGAGCCTGTAGGTAAGTTGAGAACTTGGCGAGGCCTTCCTCATGAAGGTTGAGCGAAGGAAAGATCTTGAAGATAGTTCCATACCTATCAGATTGTACATAGGGGAGTACATGGGTCTCCATGATTTAATCTACGACTTCACTCGCCCATGCGTGTGTCACAACTTTCCCTCTCAATACGCTATGCTAACTTTTCATATTACCCTCACCTGAGCCTGTAGGTAAGTTGAGAACTTGGTCAGGCCTTCCTCATGGAGGTTGAGTAAAGGAAAGATCTTGAAGAAGCGCTCCACAGAGGGTCTGTCCGAGGAGCTGATGGCTTGGTCAAGCTTCTTCCTGACCAAGGCCTTGAGGTTATGCTCTGCTTCATGCAGTACCTTGAGGGATGCATCAATGCTGCTTCCTGTGGTAGAGTGAAAAAAGAAGGGAAAGGAGCTTGTTTTGTGTCGTAACCAGAGCCATCTATACACAGAGTTTGGCCAACCCCGTTGAGTCGGACACAATATGGTGACTACTGCTTTGTTGGGCAAGCACAAAACAACAGAATATATGCTATGTTGTGACCCAGTAAAACCAAGTTGGCCAAACTCTGTGTATAGATGGCTCTAGTCGTAACAGTATCAATTTGGGGCTAGTTCTGTTAAACCGTCATAATTCTAAGTTTGTGGATATCCTATAGAAACGCATCTTAATTCTATAACATAAGAATCAATGGAATGTCCAAAGAGAAGCTAGACGTGGCTTGCAAGTTGTGAAGCTTCAAACAGCACTGTTAGAAACCATTGTGTCTTCTTTGACACTCACACTGCATACAAAAAATGTACATACCGGTAAGCTTATTTTTGCAAAACAAATACATGAAAACATTAGGTATACTATCGTTTATCAGTGTCAAACAATGTCTGACAATATCATAGAGTAAAATACATGAATGTGAATTATCATTACGTGGTTATAAAAACAGAATTAAATTTCCTCCAAAATTGAATTACAAAATTACTGGACAACAAACTTGCAGGAGTACTTCTGGAAGTTTGTTGAAGTTGTCTCTTGATAGAGCACCATTCTAAACGACCATTATCCTGCCAATGAATATCAATTTTTACATGTTTAAAAATGGATATTCTGTCACCCAACATGGGGAAACAGTTCCCTGCCTGTGCTTCATCCAAGTGAAATTTAGCTCTAAAAAATTACTACCTATAAAGCATGTCTACAACAGATCATCTTTCTGTAGCACATCAAGGCATAGATGTACACAAATGTAGGCTACTTGATGAAGTTCATGAGAAATGTTTGGGTAAATAGCTTACCTTCCCTGTTCCCTGCATCTTCCAATGCCTGTTTAAGAACCTTCTCATCTAGAGTGAGGTAGCGGTGAATATGACCAGCTGCCTTCTCATAGTCCTCCGATTGTAAGGCAGTCTGAACTCCATCTGTACAAAACTATGATATACACAAAAAAATTATTATTCATCAATTGACTCTATCGACCCCCATCAGGGGTATGAGAGCACAACAGATTTACAATACAATACAGAAAAATATATAAAACAAAGATATAATTATAAAATACATAGACATGATATATACATTTTTATATTTCTAAAACCCAATAAACATGATCTAAAGACTAAGTATACACTGTACAATTTAAAGTTATGAGTCTAAAATATCATGTGGTTTGGTTTGTCTACCACTACAAGACATAGTGCAAAATGAGCCCACCCAGAGAATTTTTCTGATATAATTTTATCATCTCTTTGATGTGTCTTTGGTCACTGTTGATACCATGATTATAAACATGTCTCACTCAACTGAGTCAATCCATACACTAATTCTGCAAGATGTGGGCCCAAAATGAAGGTTATATTCTCATCTAGAGTACATAGGGATTGAAATAGCACAATTTGATAAATGTAAGTATAACTAATGTAACTTGAAATATGTCATAGTTTTTTTCAAATTATACCCTAAACACTTAATACTCATCAAGGGGGAGCATAAACTTAACCTTTTAAACAAAAATGAAACAAGCAGAGAGCAAAATTGACTGAAAAAATGGTAAGATACCACTTCATATTCATCACAATTATAAATTTTATTCTGACCATTTGAACAGAAAGTACTTACCTTTAAGTCTAGGATATCATTGACTCTTTGAATGGCACTTTGCACAAGACTCTGTAGCACAAACAGAAACAAACAGAGAGAGAGAGAGAGGGAGAGAGAGAGGGGGAGAAAGAGAGAGAGAGAGTGTGTGTGTGTGAGAGAGAGAGAGAGAGAGAGAGAGAGAGAGAGAGAGAGAGAGTGTGTGTGTGTGAGAGAGAGAGAGAGAGAGGGAGAGAGGGAGAGAGGAGAATGAGAGAGAGAGGGAGAGAGAGAGAAAGAGAGGGAGAGAGAGAGAGAGAGACGGAGAGGAGGCAAATGTCAATCCTTGTCCAAGTTATCATCTTTATTACTTATCCTTGACCAGTTACTACGCATTTGAATAATAATTCTAAACTTATGATACCAATTACATTACAGTGAATAATCTAATCCACTGAAGACCGTTTCCCATTTTACCATGCACCAACCCCATCTTAAAACCAAATGACTGATATGTGTGTTTGTATGGCAAAAAAAAGATGGTACTCGATATTGTCATATGATTCACTCATAGCAAGAAAAGTGTTTAAATATTTTTCCAAAAGGAGAATTGATACATACGTTTTCATTAATGTCACACATTCTTCATGTTCCATTAAAATATCAAGGCCTAAATTTCCAACTTCAAAAGAATGGTAATGTATTCATTATAAACCTATTTGTTTATTCACTTATTTATCAGCAAATATTTTGAATAGAAATAAAATCACCTCCAGATAAATGGCACAGTAAACAAAAGAAAAACTAAACAAGTAGTGACAGTTTCAATAATAACTAGATGGAACTTCGACTGCGCGCAGTCGAAAATGATGCCTCCGTCATAGAGCAATTTTACAAACCAAAACAGAAGAAATTTTTCAAATTCAAGTTCAATAACAGGTTCTCAGAATATCGTGATTACAAGCAATTTCTCATATACATATTTGACCTGATGACCCTAAAATCTACTCAGTTCATTGGCTCTGCAAGATGTCCTGAGTTAAATAGTAATCCATCTGTCAGTTCTAATGAGAATGCGTTCACAAGTTATTTTTGGATACATAATGAGCCCATGACCTTTGACCTCATGACCCATGAATCTACTCAGTTCATTGGCTCTGCAAGATACATACATGATCAAAATTTGGCAGGAATCCATCAATCTGTTCTAATGAGAATGCGATCACAAGCTATTTTTGCATACATAATGAGCCCTGTTACATTTGACCTTTGACCTCGAGACCCCAAAATCTATTCAGTTCATCGGCTCTGCAAGATACATACATGACCAAAGTTTGGCAGGAATCCATTGATCGGTTCTTGAGATAATGCGATCACGAGCTCTTTTTGCATACCTAATGAGCCCTGTGACCTGTGACCTTTGACCTTGTGACCCCAAAATCTAATCAGTTCATCGGCTCTGCAAGATACATACAAGACCAAAGTTTGGCAGGAATCCATCAATCGGTTCTTCAGATAACGCGATCACGAGCTGTTTTTGCATACATAATGAGCCCTGTGACCTTTGACCTTTGACCTCGTGACCCCAAAATCTAATCAGTTCATCGGCTCTGCAAGTAACATACATGACCAAAGTTTGGCAGGAATCCATCAATCGGTTCTTCAGATAACGCGATCACGAGAACGGGACGTACGGACGTACGGACGGACGGACGGACAACCCGAAAACATAATGCCTCCGGCTACTTCGTAACGGAGGCATAAAAACAATATATTAGACCATTTAAAGCCTATCTCCACTAATTTGGCCAGGAGGGATTAGACCACCCTGAGTGGTTATCTCATCAAATCAGCTCCCAACTAACATAAGAAAAAGGGGACCATAGGACCATGGGGGACCAGCAGGTGCCGCTTAGGCATTGTTGGCTATATAGAGGGCACAACTAGGTACAAGTAGTGCAGTTCCGCATTAAATATGCTTGTTTTAATGTAAAATTCTCTGCTGACCCCACAAGTTGAACTCTGGGAGAGCTGTGACCCACCTTAGCTAAGTCTAGCTGCCTGACTTTACTGCTGACATTCTCTGCTAGCTCCGATGTACTGCCGATCATTCCACTCAGCTTTTTAGCATCCGTTGAGACATGCTGGAGATTGGGACTGTTAGCAAAGAAATAGAGAACAGTCAGTCAAAACTCAAAGACATTGTAGATCATTTTCAGAAATTGAAAGGAATTTGATGACGTTGAGACATGTTGTAGATCGGGACTGTTAGCAAGAAACAGAGAAAACTTAGTCAACCTCGAGATTGTAGATCACTTTCAGAAATTGATAGGAAATCAATGACACGTAATTTTTACTTAAAACATCAAAAGAAGTAACAAGGAATTAGTTCCCTAATAACAACTTCTTCTCAAAAATGTCAAATTTCTCTTTTAATAAGGAAGCATGAATCATGGAAAGATAAATCTAAAAATCCTTCAATACGTCATATTCTTTGGGACATTATCTGTCATTCTATGATTCTGGCAGTTGCAAAGGAATCTGTGATCACTGAGAATAGACACGACAAAGGAGTCATTAACAAACTTCTAAGGCCTCTGTTTACGAAGGGGATATGTATATGAAGATCTAAGTTTGAGTTGGTGTTGAGAGCACCTCTATGAACTTGATTCTGGTTTGAAACCAAGTTGCTTCTTTCATTTGGTTTGTCCACAGATGTTAATTATAGTTAAATACACATTCATCTGTAAAGACCACATAAGTACACACACACACATACACTCACCCCATTCTGTGAAGGGAGTTCATTTTAGCTTCAAGATGGCCATGGTGATCCAGCAACAGATCAATCTCATCTGTAACTGATTGCTGAAAGAGTAAAACAAATGGGGTAATATTACTGGCCACCAACATTTTCTGTTCTACTCAAACATAGAATCTTTGATACTAAATGCATGATCAATTAGATAAAAATGTATGGCTAGAGTGCGTTTGGCTAAACAGCGCCCCTGTCTGCACAGTGTGCATTCGTGTGTCTGTACGATTGGGATACAACAAAACATGCCACGAATGCAAAATTTTAGTCTCTATTATAGGAATATGTTTTCATGCAAAAACAATCGCGTGTGTGAAGTTGCACCGTTATGATCATCGTCAATTCATAATGTGAATTACTTGCATGAATTTAATGAGGATCTGAGATAACAGTCGCTAACTTCACGCACGCGCCCGCACCCCGGCCTACTGTCGGTATGCACTTGTATTGTGCAGCGGTTTGCCATGAAACATATGAGAAACAGAGAAAGTGTATCCTAATGTCTTTGTTTTCAGGAAAAATACTCCAAAAAAGACAAGACACGAAACAGGTAAGAAAGATAACAACTTTTAAATCATGACCACATGTTATTTGAACAATTGTGGAAGATTTAGATGATTTTCGATGTTGTAGTCAGGTATCTCCATGCCTGAGTCACTGTTCCAAGGCAAGTGGTCACAGTTGTGAAGTTGTGAACAAGTGCCAACAAATACCCCCCCCCCCCCAAAAAAAAAAAAAAAAAAAAAAAAACACAACAAACAAAAACAAAAAAAAAACACAAAAACAACAACAAAACAAACAACAACAAAAAACTGTGAATGAGTAGACTAGTTTCCTATTTTTATAATAATCCCATAACCATCAAACTGATGGGGAGACACAATACCTCAGTCAGACTCGACTTAGACAGAGCCAAGGCCGGCAAACAAACAAGTTTTGTAACATAGACGTATTTGCATTGTCCCACTCATTATGATTTATGTTTATCTTCTTGAGACTTGAATTGTTGAAATGAATTGACATGATACTTTTTTAACACATATTTAAAAAACACGTCATCCTACACGAGAGAGGATGAATAACACATGAATATCTCACCTCCTCCTTTGAGAGTTTCACCAAAGCACTTTGGATTTCACTTATTTCTGTCAAATTTTCGACTGCACCTCCAAATCTTTCAGAGGACGTGGCGGCTGCCATCTTGGTTGAATTACAGCGCACGGGCGTATGAGGTACGCGCGCAATCCGTACTCCCCATAGGCCCTCTGACCTCTAGTGGTACTCCCTTATTCTTGAAGCTAAATGAGCTCAGTATATACTCCTTTTTATCTCTCTCTCTCTCTTTTTCTTCAGTTAAAGAGAGAAAAACTTATTATGTTCCTTTCTAATTTTTGTATTGCAAAATGCCCTGCTCTGGGGCCCCAGAGACATACTTTTTGAGGTCACAGGATATGCCACACTTTGATGCCACACCCCCTTCCCGATCCCCAGCCAGGTCCATCACTTCATTATAATTATAGTACCTGTATAAACATACAATGTAAACGAGCCCCCAAAGATCGATGCAGTGGCGGATCCAGGGGGGGGGGGGAAACGTGTAAAAACACGTGATTATTACCGTATTATTATTATTATTATTATTACCCTGGCGCTCAAGGTGGGGGGGGGGGGGGGAGGGGGTGCAAATTTTCAAATTTTCGAGGGCCAAAAAAAATAAAAATGTGCTTACTAATAGAATGATTTTTTTTATATGGAAAACAGACGTTCAAAACTATTGCATTTGTTTGTATAATGCAGATGTATTAATATAGGCCTAGTGTAAAATGAAAGAAATACTCGCATCTGAGTGTGAATCTTAATTTGGAGAAAACTATTACATTACTATAGGCCATCAGGCGTACTCACGAATGAATGAGAATTAGTGTAGACAAGACACTCCAATATAGATTATGCTATACGGTTGTGTAAAAGATGGCATTAAGTATTACTAATTAACTTAATATATTCAAGCACTTTGTTGAGTGAAGGACAGGGTTATCAAAATCTTGTTGTTGTTGCTTTGTTACGTGTCTTAATTTGACGTCCATCGATTATTGTAAAACGCTATATATGGGATGTCTAGTAACTTTATCAGATTTTGTAAACAATTTAAACGTATCTATTTACCATCAAACCATAAAAATTAAACAAATATTACAGTCGTTAACAGTTTGGTGAAATAATAGATGATGGGGTACATTTTTTTAAAATTAAAACATTTTTATTTTTTTTAAGCACAAGATTTGTGATCAAAATTATAAAAAAGAGAAGGCGCCTGAACATAATCGAAATAAGTAACAGAATGAGAAAGAGTAGACAAGGGGATGGACATTGATCGGAGAACCCCCCCCCCCCCCCCTCCCCTTAGATATAGACGTAAGTTCTATTTTGTGTTTAACAATCGATTTAGTGTGCCAAAACTAATATTTCATATAATTAAGAATTTTTTTTTTAACTCATTGTCGGGATGTTCTTAGGAAAGAAGACGATAGTTTGAAGAAGAAACGAAAATCCAATATAGTCTATGGACAGAAATAGCTAGAGGATTTTTAAAGTTGAAAACCCCAGAGTCGGAACAAGATCCAGATTCCCCTGTACTCAACACATACGTTTCTTATTGCATACTTTTTTTATTTTTTTCTCTTGCAAAGTTGCACCCCAGATCCCGTCATTTATGATGGCTGGTTTATGACATGAATTGTTTGCTCTGCGCCGTCAAACCACAGCCCTTGGCCCCTTCTATTGAAATTTTCACCACGGATCAATGAATAAACACAATTCTGGTTGTATACTTTTCTGAACAGGTATACAGGTATACCTCTACAGATTATACACCCAAGGCTTCGTATTGATCTACACAGCCAAACGTTCTTGTTTATTTAGAGAGGTGGAAACATATACTGGAATTAATTCACTTTCAAATGTAATTCGATGGAGTTTTCACATTTCTGTTGAGGTGGATAGTGTCAGTGAGAATTTGGAACCAGTTAACAACCTGTGAACCCGTCTGTCACAAACTGTACAGAGCATAGCAAATAATATATTCTGTCAGACTTGTTCTTCTGTACTTTCGTGTTCAGAGGAGCGCTGTGGCGAAAAGTTTTACACAGGGTGACGGTGTAGATCTTTCATCGAGTTCAACAATAGTGTGTTCTCCCGTAGCAAAGGTCAGGTATATAATAGGTAAGTACTGGTTGATTCGACCTACGTTAACGAATATAGTCTCCACTCTTTTTCTACATATACCACAGGTAATTCAAGTACAAAACTTGATTTAATGTAATAAAGAAATACATTACCTCTCAGAAAAGTTCATGAAAGACATCGGTTAAAAGTCAAAGGTGCAATATCTGGGTGCTGAAGGTTAAAAGTTACTGGCCATATCTTTTCAGTATTATCTCGTTGTGGCCGAAAATAACACTTATTTCATAATATTATATCGGTTGAGTGTATATGACTTTAATATGTTTTCTCACTATATCTTTAAACGAATATAATTTCATTCCATTTATCAATGGAATTTCTATGATTATGATTTCCTATACTATCGTTTTGACGTTATTATGAAGTGATATAATTCCAACTCATCATTATCTTTTAACAATAACGAATGATAAAGAGAGCGAACTCTTTCTCAGATTCGGTGATAAACTTTTTGTTATTTTAAAACAGTCTCATAGAACTAACAGATATCCTTTTAAAACTCTTAACATATCATTTTGTCCTCTTTCCTACATTCTGTTTTCATAATTTCACAATATATTACTTCGCTATTTCATTTCCTTTTCTTAACGAATTCTATTTGTACAGATTCCGAGGCAAACATCACAATGGCGAACACTACAGCAGCGGCTATGATGACAGGTATATAGCCTAAGGGCTTTTCTTTTACTCGATTTGTTTAATGTCAGCAATATTGATGATTCAGTTCAAGTCTATTTCCGAAATACCCAAGGTCTGTAACTAAATCTGTCATAATTAGGCCCATTAAAAGGTATAATGGTCAACATTGTGTTTATTACTAATTGTGCTTAACGGATGTGTCAACTCTGACAACCGGAAAACCAAATGGAAAATTAGCTTTCAATACACCCCATGATAACTTCACAAAGCTAAAGTATAAGCAAATACAAATTTATTTGACTTATTTTACTAATCTGAATTTAGATTTGTATGTTAGTGATTATTTTTAAAAATCCTCAAGGCATCTTCTTGATTCATATTTAATAACAAAATGGTGGTGAATTGTCTATAGTTTTCTTTATTAGTGTATGCGGTTCAGTCAAATCAAATCAGATAAGTTCCTATCAACTTTTTAAGCCTATATTTCAGGAGCGATTAGTGATAAAAGTTATGAAAGGCTGGTTTGATTTTTATAAAATTGTAAATATAGATCACGATAATTATCTGAATTGTTTCATCGATCGAACTATCACCAGGCGAAAAAGGAATCTTAACTCTCTGCAAAAACTGTCAACATAATGAAAGTTGAAACTTGTATTTTTTTGTCTGAATATATATATATATATATATATATATATATATATATATATATATATATATATATATCATGTCATTTATGTTACCCTTCCCAATCAAGTATTATTTACTAAGTACACAAACTCCTTCTTTTTATTTTGTCCATGTAAGTACACAGCGCACACTGGTCTGTCATTCTTATTAGACTTATTCTGACAAGATGGTATATAAAAGAAAAATGAAGAATAAGATGGAAGGGCCATTTCGTTGTTGAATAATAGTATCCTTTATCAATAACAATAACACAACAATGATTATTATTTTACAATGATGATGGTGATGATATGACGCCGACAACGATGATGATGGATGATGGTGACGATCATTAAATTTACTCTGTTAATATGGCTTTAGCTAATCTTCCATATTAATATGGCAATGAAAGGGTCCATTTTCCCACCGCCCATTTCTTTACACTTAGGCCAACCTTGAAGTTGTAATGAGTTTATTTGAAGTTCATGGTTATCACTTTTCAGAGTTGACGACGATGGAAGCTGAAGAAGTCGCCTTCAATTTCATTGGACTATGGATCACAATCGGTGTTTTCAGTGTCTTCGTTCTTTCCTTCGTCATCTATGGCCTGGTCATCGCTCAGACCGGGAAATTATTCCTCCCTCAGAGAGCCGAAGACAAGGTACCCCTCTCCCCTGACCATCGCGATGACGATGTCGAGGCCGATGAAAAGAAGACATCGCCGAGTACGAGCACGGGGGTGAAAGAAACGGATAACGCGACGGTTGCCGATGAGCCGCCATCATATGACAAGGCGGTGCTTGGTGCAACGTCGGGACAGGATGCGGCAACAAACACAGATGATGGTGATGGAAAGACTGCTGATGATGCAAACGTCAAGATAGAAGTGTATGAACAGAAAGTAGATACTGCGGATGAATTGTAGAATTTGTAGAATTTTATTGACTCTTTGATCCCCTCTCGGGTTATGGGGGTATAAAAGAACAAAAAAGTATAAATAGCAATGGATGACCTGTTACATTGATGGCATTAATCCATATACACGCTTCACAGGGTAACATCGTTTTTACAAAAAGACGTGTAAAAATCCATTCTGTGCCAGATTTTGGTAAAACTGTGAAAACGTGTCACTTGCAAACATGATGTAAGGAAAATGTAAGCTGTAAAAGATAATACACAAGAGTCCTATTGTATGATGATACGCATAGGCCCATTCGATTCAATGAAATACAAAATAGAGCCAGTACCAGTTCCCAGGGTTGCCAGGGGCGTACACCCCAATATTTTTCCAAATTCATAAACTTAATGTCCCTCGAGCTTTGAAAAAGCGCCCATAATCTGATGTTTTCTCGTGCCATCCATAATAATTGCCCATTGATGCCATTATTGAGAGTATGCAGGAAATATCACCTTTTTGTCCTTTTTGTTTTATCAAAATAATTTGCCGTTCTGAAAAAGTACAACTTCTGTTCAGAATGATTGCAGCTAACATCTCACTACGAATATACACTTTCTTTATCAACAGCAATTCAGCAAGTAATGTTGAGTTCATTGCCTTTGTCCTCACAATGAAGCACACTTTTCATGTTTCCTATAGGTAATACTCGCATGTGATCCACAAACCTTGTCACAGTTGCACCGAAATCTGGCACATTTTTGAAAAATGAAATACAAAAAAACAACACGTAGCTTTGTTGAAATAATGCTTTGTTTTGGGGTTTCAGTTTTTCTATCATGATAGGTGGAATGATAGATTAATCTTTATAAACGAAACGTCAGAGAATATATAGTTCATTTTTAGAGTAAGAGAATATACAGTTCACTTTTTAGAGTAAGAGAATATACAGTTCACTTTTAAGAGTTAGAGAATATATAGTTCACTAATTAATACTATGGTTGATTAAAATTATATTTGTCAAAATAGCAGAGATGTAGAAGTTAGACTTGTTTTTTTTTTTAAATTTTTTTGGAAGAAGCACATGACTGAAATTTAAGCATTTCATTTGGTAAGGAAGAAAAAATGTTCTTCCCTAACAAAGATGTCTTAAACAAAATGAGGTTATGTCGGTCAAAAGGACTTTTTTTTTAATTCAAAGGGGACATTTTATTATTTGGAAAAGAGGGGGCAGTGTGCCATTCCCCAAAGGAGGAGGAAAGTAGTTCAAACTACATCGAAATTGCCGGTGATTTTCTGAACTGTCGAGTCACATCATAGGCCTCTTACCAAAACAAATGTTATTCCTCCATTTTCACGTGTATTTTTTTAAATATGACTTGACCACCGTTGTAAATAGTTCATATGCATAAGATCAGGGTTATGACGTGCTTGTACATTGCTGACAAACAGACTGCCATCGTTTCGTATATGTATTTAGGAAAGTATAGCAAGTATACCATAGTTTAAAACCAGTATACAGATTTTAAACAGATCTGTGATATTGAAAGAGTGCATGTAAACTTTGAATTTGAATGATCTATATTATCATGATAAAACAAATCTACTGAAATGATTTATTTGGTTTATGTTTAATTTTGTGCCAATTACTTAAATTCATTTACATTGTATTAGTACATGCAGTAGTATTAGGCCTTAAAAAAAGATGTTGTATTTGCCCTTTAGGTGCCAGCACCTGGGTCGGTCGATTTTCTTTCTTCTTTTTTTGTTGTTGCTTTTTTGTCTCTTTTTGGGCTGATAATTTTCAGAAAAAAAACATTAATAAAAAGCCGACCGTAGATTTTAAGATATTTGGGTAGGTCGCAAAGGGAAATACAACAACTTTTAAAAAAAAAGCCTTATTAGTATTGTTATCATAATGATAGTGATGATGATGCTCATCATCATCATCATCACCATCTATGATCTATTCTAAATGCAGCATCGTATACTCTTTATGGACTTAATTGGCAACAAATTGAGAACATACATCTGTGATGCATCTGAGTTCAAATTTATTAATTCAAACTCATTTTTTTCTTCTAAATAGAAATAAAATACATTATTTTATATACATATTGTACTATTTCCTCTTGTATATTGTCTTTATTCGTGTCTTGCATGCATGTCCTCAGCTCCTTTCTCCCTCCATACGCATTGTAGTTCTGATTTTCTATCATAGTGCCTTTTAAATGAATTCTTCTCTCATCATAAAGTACCCCCTAACTTGTGCTTTTCTGAATACATTACACATTTTCAATTTTCACTATCCACTTTTTAAAGATGCACCCTATATTTCACACTTGCTTTTCTATCCTGCTCTGTAATTCTCTCTCTCTCCCTCTCTCTTTCTCTCTCTCTCTCTCTCTCTCTCTCTCTCTCTCTCTCTCTCTCTCTCTCATGGCAAAGCTACGTCACATCCTTATTTTGAATATTATAATTCATTCTTCCACATACGTGTGACAAATATGAAAATAAATTTGACTGAGGGAAAATCTTGAGAAAACTAGTCCAATAAAAAGAAAAGAAAAAGAAAGATATGTCACTTTTTTCTACATTTTATTCATGAGAAAATTTTCAACAAGAAACTTTTTTTTATCAACTTTGCTGCCGCCATACAGTGTTTAACTGTAATCACAGTATGTAACAATAGAATACAGTGGGTTTTTTTACAAGTCAACTTGTTACACACATCAAATATAACCACTGATATTTTTTTTAAAATTGATAATTGACTACATCTGCACACCAAGGCACAAATGGGTGCAAAGAACTAGTACATATATTGAAGAAACATGGATCACATTTATCCAATTTTTGTCGTTCTACATTTGAGAGAATTCCTTATACGAGTTCATGTATAATATGGCTGTAGGGATAGCATCACAGACAAATCATTACCGGTAAGCAGATCTGACAGCTGTGTACAATGTAAGCTCTTATTCCAATTTGTATTAGATATAATAACATGTTAATTAATCAATGATGAGCATGTTAATGATATTAATACACTCAGGAGTTTGTAACTGTTTACAAAGAACAGTAATAGTAAGAGACGATTGTTGGCTGTTTGCTGACTCTGTTTACCAAAAGTGATCATGAAAAAAATCACCAGAATGCAGTAAGAAATCATCTTCTTTAGTCCTCAGTTATTCAGGTGAGAAGAGACATCACATCGTTTTTCATTTTCCATGACAACACAAAGAAAACATGAGGGATACTACAGTATAATGCCCAACCAGTTCAAAAAACTATTTTCCAATGTTCAAATCATCATCTGTTAGTCTGAAAATTTGAAATCGCTCTGTGTATACTTTGCTTATTCATTGTAGAATACTGACAAAAGGTCTACATGAACATGTGCTGATTATCAGAGATCAGATATTGATCTTAAGAATGTATTGTGAAATCTACTTTATTCAACTGTCCTTATTACAGTTAAGGTTTTTCTGATACCTGTTATTTTTTTAATCCTTCCAAATTAATAATAGGAACAAAAGCAATATCAAACAAAACAGACAAAATGCTAGTGTTAACACAGAGGACAACCATTCACTCTTAAACTTCAAATTTAACATCAAATATTGTCAAACTCAGTAACAAGGTAGACAGTGAAAATGAAAAACAACCTTTCAAATTTGCTTTTGCAGAAGAGAAAATTCAACATGTTAAAGAACACATACCAAATGGTGCTTGTTTGAGAAACAATGAAAAAACAGAACAATTTTTTTTAAAGTGGGAGACAGTAATATCAAATCAGGAACAAGTTAATTGCAGGGAGGCAACCCAGTAACTCAACAATGCCAATTATAACACTGAATTCTGTTAATAACCCTTATTGTAACTCTCAAAGTGACAAATTACTTTGTAGTATATAGAGATGGAAATTATAGAATTGGAAACGATGTTTATCTCTCACTTTTTTCAAAACATTATCACAAGACCTCCAAAATTATTGAGTTAATGATTGCCTTGGTTATAACACAGTGGATGGTGCAGCCTCTAAATCGGTTGTTCGCAAAACATGTGGACTTGAAATGCAGCTACAGGGCTACATTAATCTTCGGAAATAGTGAAAGTTGTTCACAATGATATTCTATACCACTCTCAACTCTGTCTATAATGATGTATTACATTGGATTAGGATTCATACACATTGCATCTTACTTCACAGGGTTAACTTATTTGATAGGTTTGAACTCTCTTGTGGTTATGCTCGTACTATGATATTCTGTGCCATACACAAGTGGGCAATAATATATCGGACAAGTCAAGTGGTAAACTCCCTCTACTGATCACTGAATACATGACAGACAGTACAATATTATAGAAACACAGACTTTCACATTTTCGCATAGATGCTCTCCTCTTCCTCCTCCTCCCTTGCATCCTCTCTTCCGTCCGTCCGCAATCATCACGGAGAGGACTCTTTGATTGAGCCACAGGCCAATAAGGTATACCCGGACCGCTTCAATCACACTGGAGATCGAGTTAGTGATGAAAAATAAAGATATGTACAGCTTCACTTCCCTTATGTACATACAAGAGATATATTTACAATGCTGGTTTTGTACTGACTCAATCCTAGACCATTGACTTCATTTGTTTTAAGTACAAACCATGATCAATAAACATCTGCAAGACAGAAGCATTTAGCCATGCTTGCGTCAAAATGTGTCAATACCTGCAAGAGGCTAAATTTGACACATCCCTTTTTAGGCCTACTTTCTCCCTGCTCTCTTCAATAAAATCTATTTACAACGTGCCTTCCGGGCAACAGAACTCATCTCGCAAAAATGCAAGGAACCCTGTAGTGGGTTGAATTCACGAAATCAAAATAGCGTCCTCAAAGTCTTCAGTACAGACAGGGTACAAACCAAGACTTGTCATGATGGTGAGTATGAGTGAGTTTAGACCAGATAATGACGACTGCCTATCTGACAGATCCTATACGCAGAAATTCTGTCTTCATGCATGCATTTACAACAAAAACTTGAATTGCATAAAGCAGTTCTATCTATTAAAAGCAGAGGAAAGCAGTGGTTTCAACAATAAAATGTTTCAGAAATGACAATAATGTGATAACCTACCGGTACACAAAAAAAAAAGCCACTAAAGAATAAAAGATGAATAGCTTTATACCACGTGGGTCCCCAGTAACTTGCCTATCGTCATCAGGACTACAATGTGCAAAGAAATATTTATTGATTGCCGACATATGTTGGTCCACTACTCCCATATTACTTACAAAATTTGCCCGGTAGTATTACTTCTTAAGGAATCAGATCACCCCATGAATTAATTCACAATGACAGACAAAATCTCTGCAGATGTTGTATTAGAGCTTTTGGCATGGCAATAAGCAAATGAATATATTTGAAACAAAGTCAAGTAATGCACAGGAGTTGTCTCACTAAAAAACATACCTTATTCTTTAACTCTACAGTCAGCTGCTTTATGTTCTTAACCACATTTATCAATTACAATTTTAAAATGCACTACTAAGACCAGGTAGGAAATATTACACTTTGAGGTACATGTAGTATGCAATTTAAGCTGGTCCCCGTTTCACAAAGCCTTTTTACAATGACAAATGACAAATATCAGTGACAAATCTGCTGATAACCAATCAGAAGCATGGATTTCAGTAGCTTATAACAACAACTGTCATTTGTCACTGATGATAAGTTTTGTGAAACACCCCCCTGGTATTACAAGAGGAGCAAGAAGAAGCTGGGACTTGATGTCAGAATGCGAAGGACCAATCGTTCTGCTCCGATGGACAATGACCGCAACAATAACAGGACATCAAAGTCAAAACATCGTATAGGATTCAAAGAATTGACTGCACAATAAACATATACAAGCCTCTGCAAGAGTGCGATGACATGCAACCTTTCGTTCAGTAACTCTAGGTAAACCAGTTAGAATGACCCAAAAGATGTGACGTGGATGTTGATATGTCCATATTGGTGCTGTTGTCTATCGTTGTAAGACAGGATGGTACACCCGTCCTGCCGTTCTCTCCAAATAGTCGATGAGGTGTCTGGGGACCAGTCAAGAACTTATACTGAGAAACACATTCTACAGACACGACAAGGTACGCCTGCTTGAAAGCCATGACCTGGAGACCTCGGACTGGCCGGCTCACACACCCCTGGTTGGTTAGGTGAAGCGATAAGGACGTCACGCAGGCAACAGGTCAAAGTCTCTGTTGACCTCTACGATGGGTACGTGGCTGGAGTGGACCGGAGGAGGGCTCTTGAAATCCCATTGCTTGAGTTCTTGAAGCTTGAGTTCCCATTCCAGCTTCTGAATGGCATAGAGTGAAGCTGCCTCGTGCTGGTGACGCTGTAACAGCTCCTCCTGGTGGACATAAATCATGGAGAAACTTATGAACAACAATGTCTTAAAGCCCCACTGCACTACTTACAGCTACTTGCGCCCTCTATATAGCAAACAATGCCTAAGCGGTACCCATTGGTCCCCCAAGATCCCCTAATTCTTATGTTAAGTGAGAGCTGATTTGATGAGATAACCACCTGTCAGTGACCATGCAGGGAGGTCTAATCTCTCCCAGCTAAACTAGTGCAGACAGGCTTTAATTTAGAATCATAAGTGAACACAGTGACAGGGGTAATGACACTGTAAGTGCTATGGTCATTAACATTGTAACTGGTACAGAACTTCTGTAAGAATCATTTGTCATTGCTTTTAGTAGTAGTTCACTGGCAACAACATCCAAGGCTGCGTATACACAGAGGCTCCTCTTAGTTGAAAAATTATAAACTGTAATAATCACAAAATGTGTACTAAAAATAACAAGAAACAAGAATGTGTGCACTGTCTTTAATTAGTACTAAGAGGAATCTATCTTAGTTAAGAAAGAAATGTATATGCCAAATGAAATAAGAACAAAGCTGATATGCTCTAAAATGAAGGAACAAACATGTAAAATATTGTTTCCTCTTTTGAAATTTCATTCTCTAATGATGATATCAAAACAGAATTTGAGCAGTTATCACGAAGAAACTTTGAAATAACTTACCTTCAGCTTCTCATATTTCTCATCCACGTCTTGTAGCCAAGAGATAAACTGCCGTCCATTGAACCTCTGCCTGATGCTACTCTTATCTTCCAGAGGCTACAAGGAGAAAATAACAATAAAGTCATACATGAGTTGAGTTGAATTTTCATAATAAACAAAGATAAATGACAAACTATCAGCTTGGTCTAAGTTTGATTGTATCATTTTTCAAAATGATAGATAGAAAAGGAGGCTGAAAGATAAGTAGGTCTATAACGTTACACCTCAGTAACACTGCTAAACTGACTACCAACCAACTCCAGATCAATCAAGTTGGGGTAATGTGGGAAAATGTATTCATTTTGGTTTGCTGCCAGGCTGGTTGTTATGACCAGGGTATAAGTAAGCTAAAGGATCTCTCCAAGAAAATTTATGAATGTAGAGACACAATCAGTCATTTAAAATCAAAAGAAATCTACCAGGCAAACTCAAACTTTTAACATCCTAGGTAGGTAGCATGAATAATTATTTGACTCTGGATACTAGTACTCCTCGTCTGTGTGGCAACGAACACAGAATTGATGATGGATGCAATTAACTTACTGTAACTGGCATTTAAGGAACCGAGCCCATTGGACATGAATAGTTTTTGAGAATAATAAATAAAACATTCCCCATTAACAGATTTGCCTCCTTTAAAGGGTGTCTGTACTAGTTTGGCCAGGGGGGATTAGACCACCCAGTGAGGTCACTGACAGGTGGCTATCTCATCAAATCAGCTCTCAATTAACGTCATAAAAATGAGCTCATGGGGGACCAACAGGCACCGATGACGCATTGTTTTCTATATAGAGGGAGCAAGTAGTTACAAGTAGTACAGTGGGGCTTTACAAAAGGACGGCTATATCTCACCAGTGGTTCAGGCATGTTGTATATCTCCATGTCCTTGAGGACTGTGCAAACACTGAAAGGGATGGTCTGGTTGACTAGCGCCCTCGCGGCCCGTCCATGGACTCTCACAATGTCCTGTTCCGCAGCCAACATCAGCTTCTCCTGTTACACGAAAGGAAATGGAAAGATGGTTTACCATAAATGCAGAATCTTCAACACTTTCTACATGATGCTGGTGAAAAGCATCATCTTCAAAGGTTTGTTGAAGACCCACTTGCCTTCAGAAGCCTTTGAGTAACGTTTTGGTATTGTGTCCGTAAAGTAGCACTATAAAGGGTAATGAAAAAGTTCAGCACTACAAAGAATTGTAGGAAAGTAAGAAACTACTAAGAATCAGCAGGAAAGTAACTGCGCTATATAAATCCACCTTTTTATTCTCAACATTTTTGAACAATTCTGGTTAAGAAATGGAAATTGAAATTCCTTCCCAAAGAACTTAACTTTGATTTGCTTTGATAATTATTCTTCAAATGTTAGTGTTTATGTTGTTGTATGATTCCTTTGGTCCTTTCTTGGCAATGATAAGAATTCAACCAAAAGAGCAACTCAAGATAAAGTTGAGTTCTGGTCATCCGATTGCATTGTGAAAGAAAAGGTGTGGAATGGGTCAGAAGAAGTTGATCATGTAAGTATTGGTGTGTACTGCAAAGTTCTGGAGTCATCAAAATCATAATAAATTTGGCCCAGTCTTGGTAAAGTAACAAGCACTGTACACAGAAAGATGTATATGGGACTACACAAATGGTGTTGGGGCTACTAACCTTGATTTCCTAATCTTTCTATGCTCATTACTCAGTCAGTATACATTTTCTACCAAATTTTTTTGGCAAATGACATTTATTTGTAATCTTGAACATTCAGTGTAAGTTTCGTTTGATTCGTTGAGAATTAATTTTCTTTTTTTTAACCAGAACTCAAGTTTATCTTTAATGATGAATGCACAACTTACCCTTTCTATGTAGTGTCTGAGCCGCAGCTCATGCCGAATCTTCTCCTGCTCGGAGAATTGAGCCAGCAGTCCATTGGTCAGGTTTACTGGTGCTGTCATCTGAAAAGGTGGGGACATTTTGTTTGTTATAGCATCATGTTTATGTCTGTATTTCAAAGAACTTTGACATACTTCTTTCAAGGCTTCAACATATTTATCCAGTTCCTAATGATTCCCCATACAGTGATGAAACTCTTGAGACACATTCTTAAAATTACAAATGACATTCCATTGATATAACTAAGTTTAATTCTAGAGTCAAATGCATGTAACCCATAATGGTGACTACATTTTTAGGCCTGAATAAGTCTATACAATCTGATAAACCTTGCAGTTATGTTAGACTCACCCTGGGAATGACTTGTACAATCTTGTTATCAGGGTCTGACTGGAGGAGGTAGTTCTTCCTGAACATGAGGTACTCCTTGTATCCATTGGGTGGTTTGGGTTGCACCGATGCCATCAGTGTTTTCTGCCTCTCGGCCACCTGGTGCCTGATGTTGAGGAAAGCCTCGATGGAGTTGACCTTCTCTTGGGGTGCTGAAGAAACATGAAGGGCCTCTTCCATCTGCTGATTCTGACGATGACGGGCCATCTTGCGCTTCCTTGGATGTGAGTCCATGTGTGTCTCTTCATTGTTGGATGCATTGGCGTTTGGCGGCGCTGTAGCAGCTGCTGCCGCTGCTTCCACTTGGTTGCGCCGGCTCCGCGTCATCGGCTGTGAAAAGGTTGCTTTGTCCTTGTCATCCTTTTTTTCCTCATTGCCATTACTATCACTGTTGCTGGTTAATGCCGAGTTTGATCTCAGAGTCCTTGTTACTTTTGCAGGTTGTTTTTCGTCGTTTGAGCAAGTAGAGGATGTGGTTGAGCTTTCACTGCACTTTTCAGTCTTGTCAGTTTTATCTGCTGCTTTTTCAATGCCCTTCGGGGAGCCTGATCTCACTGTTCCATTGATGGATGAGGTCACATCAGGGCTTCCTCTGGCTGGAGAGCGCCTGCGCTCTGCCTCCTTGCTTACGGGACTCTTTTGAGCATTGCCATTTTCCCCATTTGACCCACTAGTTCTTTCATTCACATTGCCCAACGGTTTGGTATCATTCTTGTGATTTCCCATATTTGAACCTGAGGCACTTGTGGACGACACAGATGAAGTACTAGATGATGTATTATCTTTGGATTTATGTGATGCATCACTGCTAATCCGTAGTAACAATGACTTGATTTCTCCTGCATTATCCCCGGATGATGGGGGTGAAACAATGTAGTATTCCCTAGCCACAGCTGGGAATGGGGATTTCCTGTCAGGGGACTTCCTGGATAATTGTTCTTGTGTCTCTTCACCAACTTGTGGTGATGACACCTTCTCATGAGTTTTAGAGTCCTCTTTAACCTGAACTAGAGCAGACTGTGTGGACGTAGTAGCCTCCTCTGTAGTATCCATCTTTTCTTCTTTCCTTGAACTGTGGCTATGATGCCTGTGATGCCTTTGTTCCTTTTTATGGGATTTATGTGAGCGGTCCTTATGCTTTTTCGACTTCTCTCGTCCGTGGTGCTTGGTTTCGTGGGACGAGTCTGATTCGCTTCTCTCCCTTGATTCAGGAATGCTTTGTGAGGGGGATTCCCTCCTCGATTCTGTTCTTTGATCACTGTCTGGTTCTGAGCGCTCACTCTCATGCCCCGAGGACTGCTTACCTGGACTATGAATCCCTGAAGTTTGCACACAATTTGACGACACAGACTCCTGTTGCACAGACAATGAATCACACACGTCTCTTGGCGTCTCTGAATGTTTTGAAGATGCTGTATGTGCACTTTGTAAAGAAGGTGAGGATCTCGTAGGAGAAAATCTATTCCTGTTTGACACAGGATCTGGCCTTGTAAGGGTCGTTTCCATAGTTCTCACTTCATTCTCATTGGCATTGAAATCATACGGAGACACCGCTGCTCTGCTATCAGAACCCGACTGCCTGTCTGTCAGAGGACTTGGAGCACTGCAGGACACCCTCGCACTTTCACTCCTCAGCGAAGACACAACTTTTCCAGATAGTCCGTTATCGTTCAATTTGCTCTTTAAGTTCCATGAGAGTATGCCATCATTGACTGTAGTACTATCAGCTTTACTTGAAACCTCTTTGTGAGTCTCCCCTGCCATATTGGAATCATCCGATATGTAGAGGTTTGTTTCACTTATACAACTGTCTGAGTCCTCCTTCACCTCCGTCAAAGTCACTCTCGTGACAGGCAAGGAGTCTCTAGTTCTCTCCATAGGAGTCACAGAGGTGGAAATGGACGGACTCGGTAACCTTCGCTCCTCCTCAACACATTCCAACTTGGACGACGTAGATGTCAAGTGGGGATCGAAGAGATCGCTCTCTGAGGTGGTGGTCGACGACACAGAATTGGGCGCTGCGATGTCGCGCACTTTGGGTATTGTTCTTGTTATTTCCATAACGTTGGCACCCTTGCCAGATTTGTCAGGTGATGCCCAGTGGATGGTGATCTTCTGCTCACTGCTCCCGCTGTCCTGGGTGAACTCGTATGGATCTGCGGCAGGTTTAAAAAGGAAACCACATCATTAGATTGAATAAATACCTCATGATGACACACATATAACAGCATAAAAAAGGAGTAACTACATTGAACATTTTTTTCCTCATACTTTTTATAAGGAAGAAAGGAAAAAATTGTCTTGAAAGTTCTGAGTAATTTGGGCAACTGTTCCTTTAAAAAATATGGTTAGCTAACAACCTCCTTGTCCATTAGAACGTAACCTTTAACATTATATCTTTGAGCAGTTTTTAAAAATGTATTTGATACTGTCAAGGAACTTCTTTCTAATATCTTCTTGAGGGGAAGGGGGCTGCATTCCAAGTTGAAACATCGTAATCATAGCCATCTTTCAGGAAAAGCTACAGTGAGGAAAATAAACCAGAGCCCCATCTTACAAAGAGTTAAGATTGATCAAAATAAATCGCAAGTTTGCAGTCTCCTATCTCTTAAGTACATAGTTGCGATTGATATCAACTCTTTGTAAGACGGGGCCCAGTTATTTCAAACTGAGTTACCTTTTCTATAACAACCCTCACCTTCAGGTAGCTCGGTACCATTCTTGACCACCTTGCTGCTGCTGTTGAGGTTGTTGTGGACCGCATTGATGGGGTGCGGTGAGGCCATGCTCTCAGGGGATGACGGCGACCTCACCACATGGTCAGAGCCGTCACTGCTCGAGGCTATGATCTCCAAGCTCATGAGGGAGTGGATCTCTGTGGAGCAGGCGATGTCCAGGGGGGCTTTCCCTCTCTTGTTGACCTGGAGAGGGTTGGCACCATGCTTCAGGAGAAGTTTGACAACCTGGAAAAAGAACAAGGAAAAGAGGGGGAAAGGTTGAAGAGGAGAAGGCATATGACGTGAAGGACTTTCCAAAGAGCTCAATCTAATAAAGTTTTACTTTTTTTTCAACGAGAAATATTACAATATCTATGCATCCCGTTCGCACAAAGAACAAATCCAATCGGCAAATATGGGCCAAAAAATTGAAATAGTGTTTGTTTTGTTTCAAAGTAAAGTTTTCGTCATTGTAAGTTAAGTGTTCTGGTACTAACGCAATCTCATTAATATTTTCTTATACTTAAGATAATGGTCTAATTGTTAACATTTGCAAGTAGGTCTCCAAGCCATATTATCACTTCACAATAAAGCTGGTGCAGGTTTCAAAGTTTCCTAATAATTTGGTATCACATACCAAAGGTTCTCTTTTCTTTTCCTTTTTTTTTGGGGGGGGGGGGGGGAATTGGTGGTCATATGGCACAATTATTGCAAGCAGCTTGCATTATAACACATTGTTCAAGAGGACTGCATTTCATTCCACTAATGAAAGCATTATATGCAACTACTTTGAACATTTAAAAAAAAAAAACACAAATAAAAAAAATTAAAAAATAAATGAATAAAAAAATATTAAAAAATATATATTCAAACAAATTTAAAAATTGTTTGACCGAAAACCGTCTGGTTTTGACTAGCGGTCAAACGGAATTGGAAATGTCTGTAATGTTACGACACTAATCGGTACATGGTCATCTAACATGATTTTTACCTTGACATGACCGTTGACAGCTGCGTCGTGGAGAGGGGTATCATCCTCCAGCCCCATGGTGTTGACCGAGGCACCTGCTTTGATGAGGACCTTGGCTACTTCATAGTAACCGTGATTGCACGCTTCATGGAGTGGAGTCCAGCCTACACCAGAAATAATAATAATGATAATATTACATTTATAAAGCGCGTTTTTACCGAGGAGGCACGATGGATTGTCAAGCTAGTCTCAAGAAACGATTAAATACAAAGTGTAGGAAGATTTGAGGAGTGGACACATCCATGGTAAGAGATTAAGGTTAGAATGAATTCATGTCATTAATACCTTCACTTATTCTAAAGTGCTACCATGTACATCAACTAAAGTCTTAGTAAATTTATAAGAGCTCTTATAGAATGATCTAAATTAGTTTATCCATCCACTTTACATTAATGTTCCTCTATCTTCCTAATTCCCCGTTCCACTTCTATTGTCAATGATTAATAATAATATAAAGAGCAATCGCTTACCAGCAAAGTCCTGGACATTGACCTCCGCTCCTTGGTTGATGAGATTGAGAGCCATCTGAGAATCACCCTTGATAGCTGCCATGTGAAGAGCAGTCTCTCCCCTCTCATTGCGCTTGTTGACTTTATTCTTCACTCCACCTGAGCTGTTTGGTGTGGTTGGATTGTGGGAGTTCTTGGACTGAGGTGTTTGGACTGGTACTGCATTGAGAAAAAAGGGGGACACTTGTGATTAGTGAAGAATCTATGTGCAATGAGTCTTCATTATATACAGGTACATGTAAATTTAGAGCAAAATTCAAACATGTTAAAACCACAACATACTAAAAATTCTTGTTCAAGGCTAGAAAATATTTATCTCCCAGTTCTCTTAACTTTTCTAGTCTTTAATAAAGTATGAATTGCCTGGAAGCGTTGTTGCTTTTACATCGCTTGGGATACGTGTGTTACAGTTTACATACAATCAGACATGATTGAATATGAAACCAGTCTCAAGTACAATCAGCGTTTAATAAAGTGTCATACTAACTAGATAATAACCAAGCATGCATCCATGGCTTGGCTATATTATTGGTGTAATGACATACCCACAGATGACCAACAAAGTGTAACAATTATTCCTCTAATGTACATAATATGACCCCCCCCCTCCCCTTTTTACAGAAAACTTTTTTGAAAACTTGAACAAACATAAATGATCAAATTAATGATAATAATAATAATGATAATAACTTTTACTTATATAGCGCTTTTCATATGAGATATATATCAAAGTGCTTTACAATATTGATGCAAGTAAAACTAAACAGAGAAATGACATGAGAATTATGTAATAAATATAGCAATTTTCAAGTTACCTGGATTACTGTTTTCTTCATTGGCTGTCATCTGCATAAGAAGAGCAAGCTGTTGACGTTCTGATAGAGGGATGGTCCTTCCAGGTGTACCTAGCAGGGTGGGGCTACCGGGTTGGGAACCAGGCTTCTTGCGCTTGGGAGCAGGCTTACTTGCCTTCTTGTCTGTAAGATGGAAGAAGAGAAAAGGAAAAAAAAGTGTGGTTAATATATATATTGCTGCTTGAAGACTTCATCATTCATTGTGTATTTGACTTGTTATGCAGTCTAGGGGTTGTACATTGGAAGCACAATAAATATAGAAATAATCAGATGTGACGTCAGAGAGGGATTGGGTGGGGGGGGGGGGGGACGACGGGAGAAGATAGTTGAACATACATGTACATGTAAACATGAACAATTAACCAGTACATGTACAGAAATAATCATAAAAACAATACAATAATAAATAATAACAATAACATTAATAAATAATAACGATAGCAATTTTTTTTAAAGAGGAAAAAAAAGTTTCAGTGCAGAGTCCTGCTACATGTACATGTACATGTAGATCAATCCACAAACACTTGTACACATATGTACTTGATTGAGTGAATTTGCAATACTTGGCTAGCTCCCTCTCTTGACAGCAAATCTATATTTGCAGAAATCAGTAAAATGTTTACAGAATTGTTATGGAAATCCCTCAAGAAATGTTGCTACACCTGTACATCAGTCATCAAGGCATAAATCGATTAAATTCTTGCACAAATTTACAAATATGTAAAATACATTACATTCACATAAAAACATGCTTTACACTGATTCATACTTGTATGTCATCTTATGTACAAAGTAGGAGGACTATGAAGGATACATAGCAAGAGGGCCTACACCAAGTAACAACTGCATGAAGTACTTTGTTTCTTAAAAACAAAATTTGAAAAGCATACACGTGACAAATTATTTTCACGTTACCTTTACAACTTTGGTCATAAACATGTACTGGTACAAACAAAACATTGACAATAATTGGCAATAGACAGCTGATATCAGATAGAACCTGGAAAAAAATGTACACCACCTCATTTGGACAGAAGGGAAAAATACGGTATTGGAAATCATTTTGCCTTCTTGTTATTCTGACATATGGTAAAAACTGAAGGGTCTACCACTCAAGCTACACATGTATAAATTGCAAAAACATCAGTGAACATGTACTGTTACAATATTCCTTTTGAGTTTCCTTCCCTCGATCATATATTAACCTCTTAGTATGAGACACATGACACTGACACATGATATGCCCTTGAAGGCATGTAGGCCCCTACATGTTACATATGCAGGACGGCTACAGGTTTCTTACTATAAATGCCAAGCTAGTAGTAGGTCTGGACATGTATACAGATCCATTTACATTGCATATTAAACCAAATTTGAAAATAACATTGTTTTTTAAAACTATCATTTACACTGTAAACTGAAAAAACACTTTAAGTTGAGTTGTACCCATGCGTCACTTGTCATTGCTCTGTATGCATTAGCAGGAAAGTGAGGAGAGTCAATACCTAAAACATTGTTTTTAAAAATACAAAACTTCAGAGATGGGTATTTTTATTTGAATATTTTCTCGTTGTGTTCATGCCTCGCAACTTCGGACATAACTCTGGATTATTCTGGAATGTGAAAAAAACCAATGTTTTTTGCTTGCAGTGTAATAGCAGCTCTACACATATAAGGCTGTTACTATAACATGTACATCAATTATATTTTATTTCCACCTCATCTGTATAAGATAACATAGCATCATGATTTTACTTTTGTTTTCTCCATAGATTATAGACAATATAATTATAATTCTACACTGCAAGATGTCAAATAACGACAATGATATGAGGAACATTGTCTGCTAAATGCAAGAAGAATGCTAACTGATCTGAGAGGTACCCTTCAACATAAATTCAACATCCTTATACAACTGTAGCTCTGAACATATGGTGTAATTATACTGAGTGTTTAGACTGTTACTACAAGAAGAAAAAGGAACGGGTCAACAGGAGCAAAAACAGGAAATAAATTCACCTGTTTTAAAAGCCTAAATTTCCTCTCGTTCAGCGGGAAGGAATATGAGTCACATTCTCCCCGAACACCTGAATCCATACAATGGGCAGCCATGAATACACATTGTACAGTAGCATGAGCCTTGGGTACAATGTAGGCCTAAGCTCCAAGCCTCCAATAGCTGTCATAATCCTTGCTTTATAAAGCAACTGGAATATTGTATAATGTAATGTCTTACTTATATACATGTACATGCTAAAATTCTGTGCATGGATGATATATGTACATGTTCATTATGGACACCTTCCCAATCAATGAAAACAAAATGACTAATGCTAAATATTGATCAGACTGTGCACTGTTTTACAGCCTCAAAGCTTTTCTCGCCAACTCTGTGGAATGGTACATGGTTAACACATTTATTCATTTGATAATTGGCCGGACACATCAGTCACTTCTCACCACGCTCACTCGCCCACATCAATACATATATGTACTGCTAATGCTACACCAATGTAGTCGGTTACACTCACTGTATGTGCAGGTTGTGAAGTATACAGTAAAGACCTGCTTAGATTTTAAAAAATATACACATTTTCTGCACTAAAATAGTCCTTTACCATTCCAAATCAATAACTTCCTCTGTGTTTTGGCTTTATTTTTCATAATATAATATCTCATAACACTAGTGCTCATCTGCAATTCTGCATATGCATGAAGATTAAGAAAATACTGTGCCAGATGTAATTTTAATGTGTTCCTTGTAGTTAAATTCTAAACTGGAGAAATATTTGTAATCCCATCTTGCTAAAAGGGGGCTCTATTACATTGTTCAGATGAATTTTATGTTTGTTTTTAAATCCCCCCCCCTCTCTTGAAATCTCAACATTAGTGTAGGAATATCATCTCTGCCCTTTGTATCACATACGAGGCCATACAATACAAAATGATAACCCTTGGAAGGTATAAGATGAAGCCGCACTTTGAATGCATCACACAGACGCACGTTGAATGCATCACGCAGGCAGCCCTCCAAAACAACATCAAAATACCTAATTAATGGAATGAAATGAAACCCTACTTTCATTAACAATATAATTGTACCAGCACTGTCAACAGGATAAAGGATCTTAGCTAGGCAATAAAAAAAAAAAAAGCTTCAAATTGAACCTACATAAACATGACAGTTTACAATGTACAATGGATTTTGAATGGGATTTTGGAGTGGATCAATATTAGAATACTAATTAATAGCCCCTTCATTTGGGGATCTTTACTATACACAATTGATTATCTACACATACTGTGCATGTACAGTATGTACAGTACTTCACATCTGAAGGTTTCCACATAAAATCCTTGAAGAAATATTTCCATCAATATCATATATAAACGATGCTTTTTTGTTTTGTTAGGAATTTAATTCTAGGATAGAACTAGAAAGAGAAACATACTACTTTATTGTAAATTATCGTATACTAAATTCCTGATACAGTATTGCTTGGAATAAAGTTGACATTGATAATAAATGAAACACATCCGGCAAGCAGTGTAATGTACAGTCATCAACATGACAAAATATAATGGATACTGAAATAAACCATGATAATAAAGACAGATACTGAGTATTTATAAAACACCAGACATGCATACATGTAGCTATGAAGCAAAGAGTCCAAAGCACTGTGAACATGAAAGGACATACTGTACATGTAAAAACAACACAATATGAGTCCCGGTACTAAAAAACATCAACTAAAATTTAAACTATGATTTTCCTTGATGTTTAGACCGATTCCGGTTATAGGCAGTGGAGCTACAACAATGTACCAATGTTGTACATTCAGCTGGTATAATTATTGGTTGGATGTACATTTTAGTATGATGGGAAAATGTATTTATTTATCTTGACATGCCTTCAAGTACAAATACATGAAAAGAGGGTGATTAAAAATTAAAGAGCATAAAGGCCTAAATGTAACTTTAAGTACTACTCTTAAACATTCAATGCTGTTAAATAATAATAGACCTCCATGTGCTGGTTACATCAAGTTTTACACTTTCAAACAACAAAGAAAAGCTGTTTCCAATAATGGATTGATAACAGAGAAGGCAGGAAATTAGTGTCTCATGGTGCAGAAATCTGCCTCGGTCTAGAAATAAAATATACCAGCTGCTTTATATAAAGGCTGTGCTACATCATGGATGCAATAGCTCTCATAATCTGAGCTCAGACCAAACATATTTATCTCTACAGGAATCTAGTAAATTGTAGATATTTTAAAAAAATCAAACATTTAACAAAAATTAAAAAACACAAACGAAAAAACACCTCTCAATAATAGTGACCAATCATACTCCCACAATTCAACTTTTGCATAAAAGTTTTTGAATTATATATGTGAATTGTTTTCATCTCAGAACTGCATGATACAAATTGGAAGATATGGTGAAGATCATCCACCAGTTTTTAACAATGTTCAAGGCAAATTTGTCATTTTTATTTTTAGTTCACTTTTAATTTGTGAGTGGGTTTCCTAAACACACTTTGGTTTTAAAAAAGAGGACACCGTCATGGCTTTAAAACGTCTTGTTTACATGAATTTATAAAATACGGATCATCATATTGAATATCCTGGTATCCTAAACACAAAATGGATAGGGCCTTTTTTATTTGAGCTGAACGATTTCATCATGATCCAAATTACTGTGACAAGACCAGTGCTTAAAATGCAAAGTTCTACAGATAAGAGAAGAAGATTTTTTAAAACTTTTTAAATGAATGAATAAATCAAACAAAAACAATATTACACAACAAACAACAAAAAAGTTAATTTTATTCCTAATGTAACTGATGAGAATCACTTATTGCAAACTTGTAATTGATTTTTACAGATGCATTAAAAATGTAAAATGTCACTGTGCACCTTTTACGCAAGAGGCCTGTGCATGAAATTGTTTTGAAAGCAAGATGAGAAATATAATTTACAAATAGCAGTATTCAACCAACTAATGATATTTGCAAAAGTTGATGGTACCCACCATATGTACAGTGTACTTTGTAGAAAGAGGATGAGACATGCATGTTACAACTTACAAGCAATTAAAGGTAATATTACAAAGTTTTGGTATGGGGTCATGAATTGGGTTCAAATGAACATATTGGAAGCATATACGATCCTACAATATTCAGTGATCGTTGTCGCGGTCGAAATCGACTCTAAAGTTATGAAATTGTAAATAATAAACTCTTTATGTTGAATAGCTCCCTCTCAAGGTCAAGATATTAATCAAGCTGTAAAACAATGTTTATTGACTAAAATCGACCAATTAGCTATTCTCGTTTGGAAATTATATACCACAACTACATACTCTGAGATTTTCATGGTCGCAGCTACCATTGTACGGCCGTAGGAGCTATTTGAAATTTATCAAAATATACCGGGAGCACCAGTAAATCTTTATATTCAATTTTTCTCGAAAGCAGAAGTGTTTTAGGGGCTAAAATTTCTGGTGTTATTAATAAATACATCCACAAGGGCATCCAAATATATCAAAATTGTGAAGAATCACTATCAACCCATTTTTCAAAAATTTCCCAAAACTTTGTAATACCTTTAAGTAATGAACAATTTTATTCTTGCAATTTTGAATGTCATCGCACAAGAAGAATGAAGTCACAATGGCTTGGAGAATATTCTGGAATTTAGTTACCAGCAATTTATACCTACATGTACATGACATATGTACATGTATAACCAAGAAGTAACTTCTTGGTATATATAACACATTATTTATATGAAGGATATGGATTATAACTACCGTAGATCCCTTTGTAAGACACAGAATATCCGATCTATATTCTATACAAGACTACAATGCATACATATACACGTACCAATAGAGAAAATAATGCATCAAAACCATTAAAATTTGAACACAAGTACTTTAGTACTGATAGATGAAATGTACTATGTACATGTAGACTTTTAAAAATGACTGACTCATCACTCATGTGACATTTTATTTCCAGACACTGATTGTACAGGTCAAAAATCATTCAATTGAAATAAATATTCTGTAGCAAGTACATGTACAACATTCCTCTAAGTATAACTACCCATTCTAAACTCTAAAAACATTATTCTGATGTTCTCTCATTGGGATTCCTCAAACAGAATTTGTTATTATCTGACAAAATAAATTAATGTCAAGCAACATATTTGTTTTACAAGCTACAAAACATGTATTATCAATAACAAAAAACAGTCAGCTACAGGTCATACACTGTGTATATTATGTTTATAATATGGACAGCAAGAAAACCACGCATAACAATTTGTTTAAACTGAAATAAAAGTCTCTCACCACAATAAATTTATTTGTACAACATGTACATGTATGTACTGTAAGTATTAGGTTTTGACAAAAGGGGCCATGAATGTTAATGTGTTTTCTTTCTTCCTCTTAGTAAAAACACTTTGACAACATTGAGGTATATCTCTTTCTCAAAAATGAAACAGTAAGCTAATAATCCTTTATTAAAATAGATCAAAAAGCTAGTGATTTTTTTCAAATGATTTTCAACACATTTCTATTTACGAATTCTTAATTTTCAACACTTTTAACAGTAGCCTAGTACATGAACCATAAAATTATAAAACTCAGCTGATATTATACCATATGTGTGCCTGTGACATGATCATTCCCTTTAAACAATGGCCCATAAATATAATCATGCACTTTAACCTTCTAGTGCGTTCTGGGTAGCCAATATCCTGTGTAGTCAGGCATTCATATCCTGTCAACAACTAGCCCCGGGAATTCACTAGAGAAAAAATTACAGCCAGAAAGGTCAATTCTACAGTGACATTTTTAGATTCAGGTAGCTTTTTAAATAAAATATATTATCAGTATCATGTATATGTAAGCTGCCAGTGGTAGTAGAGAGTAGGCCTCCAAGCACAAATCTAAAAATTTACTATAAATTGTAAACATGTTTGTTCAAGGAAATATATATTTGCTGGTAGGCAACTACACTGTAGGCATACAGTACAAGTATCATTCTCATACAAAAATTGTAATGTTTGGTGCTTGGTTGTTTTTGTCTTTATCTATTTTGATTTTTACACAATATAAAAATAATACAAATCAAACAAACAATCTAACCATTTAACCAACAACAAAAACAAATATATATTTATCATTTTATGAAATACAGTATTCTTTTCCTGCAAACAAGCTTATCTTACATGTAACTCCCCATTCTCTCTCTCTCTCTCTCCCTCCTAACTCTCTGTCTCTCTTTCTCCTACCTCCCTCATTTCTCATTTTCAGCGTTCATGTTCACATTATTACTAATTGTATGCAAGATGAATCACTGTTTACACATGCATCAAGCTGAGACAACGATGACATCACCACCAGACTACTCTACAAATACAAATTATACCCTTCTGTGTGTATTTACTATTCACTGCAATTTGGGCCTACTACATGTACATACTCTGCTCGTGTGCTACATATCAGAATACTATAGCTTATAATTAATATCTGACTCACATAATCTAAATATGTACACATTAGTCCAACCTACATGTAATGGAAAAGCACTTTTCCTTGACTTCTATTTTCAGCAATATTATGTTGAATATAATAAAGAGGAAATATCTTTCTGATTCTGACAAGTACACCACTTTCTGAAATTAGTTTTTGTTTGTTTTAAAGAGTGCATATTTATTTATAAAGGCCAATTATCAAGATATGTCTTTTATTTCAACAATTTCAGAATATTAAAGATATTCTTGTGTAAATTTAAAGGTAAAGACCAGTTATGGTCATGCGATTGCATTGTGAAAGAAACGTTGTGGAATCGATCAGAAAAGGTTGATCATCTAGCATCTAGCATCTGCAAGGTTCTGGAATCATCAAAATGATAAGAAATTTGACCCATTCTTCGTAAAGTTACAAGCACTATACACAGAAAGATGTATATGGGACTACCCTATATCTCTCACAGACCATGAGAGAAACAAATTTACCAAATATATGAATTAGTAGGCGGTTTCCCGGCAAATTTTTTATCATCATGTATTAGTCAAAACATATTCTTTCACATGATTGGTAAAGAGAGCTTCCCTTTCATTTTTTTAAATTGGGGCGTTTCCAATACTGGTCTTTACCTTTAAGTCAATAGGAATAATGAAAGCTGTTTTCAATATTGCGGTCTTATGGGACATGGAGAATTCTATATTACAGTATTTACATCAATTTATTTCAAAATATCCTTTCATAAGAATCATAGCAAACATGACCATGCACTGTGTATCCAGTAGCACAGATTAACAATCGTTGAATCAGATTTTGCAATTAATCTTTATCTAAGGGATTTCATGAGCATTTTGATAATCATATAAATTATTTTTGAGTTGGTAAAACAGCTGTCACAATTCATCAATTTATTTGTGATCCGAACCTACAATGTATGTAGGCAACAACACACTCTCACACATGTACATGTATGTAGTACATCAAAAGTTGCAACAATATGAACATAAATTGCACCTACAGACAGTGTACATGAACATTGACATGTATGACTGAGGCAAGGATAGCCTGATACAACTGTAGTACCAAGCTAATTTTTAGTTTAAACAAATAGTTTACAAAAATGGTCAAAACACTACAAAATATATTATATACAGATGTAGTACATCACATGTACAAAATTTAACATAATATACATCAACACAATACAAGTACACGTTTCATATTGATCATTCTTATCAAGTGAATAATACATCATATTTTAAATTTAACAAAAAATATAGAGTCCAAATCCAACTTCCAAATAGACGTCTATCTGATAATATAAAAGCTACTTTTGTGTACATGAATATTTCATACGAACAACACTATATACTATTTAATGATAAAAATTGAACAATACATTACCGGTACACTAAATTGTATAACAAAACAAATCAAAATAGGTGTTGTATTTGTTTTCATTTTGTGACTACGCTCAATCTCTATGAGAAATTATCATAATCCCCCATACATGTACAACTACAATATTCCACTGATTAAAACAACAACTTATGAAACATTAATAGAATTCAAGAGAGATTCATTTCAGTTCAAACTCACAACATTGAAGAGACAAGATCAAAATATGGGATAATAAGCCACAAAATTAAATTTGTTGTTCTTACCTTCTTCCCCGTTGATACTAGTGTTGAAGAGCCTCCTCTTGAGAGACGTCTTGCTCTCAGCTTTGGCTGACTGCGGCATTTTTAATGGCGGTTGTTTTTCCTATGAAACAAAATGAGGAGAAAAACATTAATTAACTTATCATCATTACAATAATGAATTGTCGAGTAAAAAAAGTTGTTGAAGACTTGTGTGCATTATGAAATGAACATGCTTTTCACTATAAAAAAGAAGAATGAAGAAAAAAATGAAATTTGCACATTTTAAAGATTTGAGAAATATGGAAAATGTGTAGGAGAGACTAAGAACTGGTTAGGTTATACCCGCGGAAGAATGAAGTCTGGATTTTTGATAATTCAGGTAAAAATGAACAAACAAATTGTAATATTGTCCCCCCCCCCCCCCCAAAAAAAAAAAAAAAAAAAAAATATATATATATATATATATATATATATATATATATAGATCTATATATATTATATATGTATATATATATATAAACAAATAAATAATAATAATATATTGACATGTTCATGTAGTATTGCAAAAAGTATTCAATTTCATTTTATAAAATGAATTTACAACTATGTACACTTATAGGTGTGGTAGGTTTGTTGTTGGCATCTGAAGGGAGAAAAAAGTCTGATCCATATTAAAGTTTCAGAGAAATTCAATTCATACAGTGTAGATTTAAAAAAACTCCTTTATCAATCCATCTGCTTATAATACAGGGGGTGGTAAAACCAAATGTAGGTCATATTTAATGCTCTTCCATACATGGAAGTTCCTGGTAATATCATCCCAGTCCCACGCAAATAAATGGTAAATTCATCAGATGGTTAGGAGAGAAAAAAGTAAAAGGAAACTTGCTGGTTGAGGCACTTCCTCTGTGCTTCCTATGAAATTCATAACAGATGGTAACGTTTTCATTATTAAAGGTACCAGTCAGATCAAAGAACAAAATTCTCCGCAAAATCCTGTTTGCAGTATAAAATTACGAGAAGCATGAATATATATGACACTAACTGGTGCCAAAAATTAATTCACTAGTCTGCAATGACTATACCTACAAGGCTACCTGTAGTATGCCAATGTGCTGGGGCTAATTGTCATTTTAAAAAGCCACATAATTATTTTACTGTATCAAACGCAACACTTTCTGATTAACTGTAATGAAGAAAAAATATGCTAGAGTTTTCTACACAAAGTCCATCTTGACTGATGGTTTTTGCTTGAAAGCAAGAAACTGATGTTTTAGAGTTTATTCAAGCGTAAATAATGTCTTATCCCAGTCTTTAATAAACTAAAAATGAAGTGGCAGAATAACAATGTACTTTACAGGAAGAAGAGGAATTGTTAGGGTTAATTTGAAATCCGATTACGATGAAAAATTATCTAATATTGTTAAAATTTATCTTAAAATCCATGATCGTACAAGAGAATTTTTAAAGTATGGAGTATATGTACACAACTATTTATAATGCGGTACCTTCTCTAACGAATATCGTCAGTCCTTCAAAAGTTCAGATATTCAGTAATATAGCAGAAAGATAAAATTGACTAGAAAAACATATTTTTGACCATAAAACTCAACTCACAGTGTGAAGTCTAGCATGGATAATGAGCCAATATGGAAAGTATTCATGATATTCACTTCAGACCCTTCATTACATGCACTGACTGATAGCGACAGGGTTTAACTTTGAGCCTGCAAAGTTAGCCAGTGGATTCAGCAAAGGCAAAGACCCTAATGAGCTTTTCTGAGAAAAGCGGATGGGCAAAGGGAGAGCAAACAGCGTGGTTTATTATCTCAGTGATCAATCCAAATGGTGAATGCTTTGCCTGAAATAGTCTATATTAGCAGGTGTGGCATAGATCCAATGGGTAATTACCAGCCAGCATTAAATAGGCCAGTCCTCATCAGCTCGAGTTTGCCAAATAACCCGCTATTTTAACTATCCTTCTTGTTAATTTGCTTCTTCATTAGCCCGAGGTTGCAATTAGCGGGATATTTAGTCAAGAAAATATCCGGTGATATCTTGGTCTTGTTTCCAAAATATCCCGCTATTTGGGAAATAGCAGGCTAATTTGCGCCCGTCCGAGCTAGTTTGTGATGAGCATCAGTCTAGTGAAGACCAATTTCAAGCTTGGGGATAATATCCCGAGTCTGATAATAGCGGATTACTTGGCAAACTCAAGCTGATGAGGGCAGGCCTAAAGAGATTTTCTGGAAAGATTACAGGAGAAAACAAAACCTACTCAACATCTTGTCCCCGTTTGAACTTAATTTTTTAAAATCTCACATTAAAGAAAACAAATATTGTATCTACAAAGGCAGTTAACTCATTTGCAGTAAGGTTGGTTGCTCCCCCCCCCCCCTCCTTCCCACCATAATTATCTCTGCAATAAAACTCTTTGTTATCACGTGTGTAGGCCTACTGATGTAATGTACCGGTATACAGGCGTATATATTTTTTTTCTTCAATACTATATTTCTTTTGTACATTCTATGTTTATAATATATTTTGTACATAGTATTATTCTAGTTGTAAACCAACCACTTCAGTCTGTGCTACATGTACTTGTCAGTTCCTATAGACCAATAAATAAATATATTAAATATTGACAGGTGAAACTTGAAATACACATCTGTGTACCGGTACTCATTGTACTGTACATGTATGTTCCTCTACTGATTAACAACAAACAGTAAATCCAATTAACTGTGCACACTTCATTGCGTATATTGATGGTTTCATTGAGAACAGTATCACATACAGTACATGTAAAATTAAACCAGAGACATGACATACATGTAGAGTGCTGCTTATAATTAAAAATTGTATGTACATTGTAACAGAAGCCAACAAGAAAGTTGTTATAAAACGTGTGAGGAAAACAGTTGCAAAATGTTATTTTTAGTGTACACTGTTCTACTGTGGACTATAGTTATTAAAAATCATTGTTTCGTGAATATGCACAAACACAATATAATTTTTTTTTTAAATGAATAATTAATTAGTCTTTAAGTTAAGACAAGCAAGTAATTCATCATCCATATTAAAATTATATTTCACTAACAAGATTGCACTTTTTATGGTGCCCTCGGTACATATCAATATCCGTACAATTTACACCAAAAACAAAAAACACAACCCAACTTGGGGAATGATAATGTGAATTAAAAACAACCGGAAAACATTGGCTTACCTTTTTATGAGGAGACGCTTTCTCCGCCATGCTGTCTTCCAATCCCGACACCGCATTTAAATCCACGGTGTGGTAGCGAGTCAGTTTGAAGCCGGGACGAACCGTGATGTGAAAATGACGACGACGACAACGGCAGAGTCTCCCCGCCCGTTGATAGCCAGCTAGCTAGTTAGCTAGCGAGCCAGCCCTCTAGCTATCGCGCTCCAGAGAGACACAGGGCCGGGCTGGCGCGAACAAGAGGCAACCGATGCTCGTTACACAAGATTTAATTCCAGATCGGCAAGAAGCAAGCATCCACATAAGATGAAGACGGGATAATCCAATGGGTTAGTTACACGGCTGATCTTGTCACAGGGTTCACATGAAGATCACTGCAGATTGGGAGAAAAGGAACGGAAGATTAACTGAAAGGTCACAGGATAATGTTCATTGTTCATTCTGCTGTGAACACACAGCACAACATCTGGAGCTCTTGGTGATTATGGTTCCTGAAAATCTAAAAGTACACCAAATTAGAAAACATAACTGACGGTACATGTATGGTGCATTAGCTCAATGATGACTTACATGTGGTCAAAATAAGTGCCATTACTAGACTTCGGTTGAAAATCACTAGGTAGGAGAATGAATGATTTCACATTATAAGAAACACACAGAGATATAAAAAAGGAAACAGATCGATTCCATTGCCACAATCTTGTGTTCCTTTGAATACATACCCCCCCCCCTTCTCTCTCCCTCTCTCTCTCTCTCTCTTTCTCTCTCTCTTACTTTTTCAGTTTTGGCTACCAAATTGGCATTGCTGGGATTTTAAAATATGTTGCAGCCATGCAAAGCATATTTTGACAAGGCACCATATGGATGCATTAATTCAATGTTTATGTAGGCCTATACATGCACAGAGCAAGTACATGTATAAACTAATAACAAAAGGCACATCTCTGTATCTGCCAATAATTCAACACCCTTCATTCCGTTTCTGCATCACCACTGTCGTGTACATGTAGGCATATATATCATACAAATGTTGTACATTATGCTAAAAGTGTGAAGTCTATACAAGTAGAAAAATGGGCGAAATTCAACTTCTCATAATATCCATAGATAGTTTTTTGAAGGTGGACTGGTTGAATTAGGGCCTTTGTTGAATATTTTTACCTCTACATTATATAAGTTTTAATATATGTCACATTCTCAAGAAACAGAAATCGAGACAAATCAGTTTTTCAAATACTTAAAAAAATAAGAAACTTGGTAAGGGTATGACGAATTTACAATGTAGTAGTTAACTGTATGTTACCAAATACACTAAAACTACATGCACTTTGCCATCGTCATTATAACTTGCACATGCAGGTTAATACATGTAATGTGAAACATTTGTACACATTTTCTGTTTCTATTTAAAAGTAGAACACAACACAACACATCAAGGCGAGAATTTTCAAGATTGTTATTTCCTACTTAACGACAGCAAAGAGGTAAATAACGGCAATAAACAGTGACATCTTACACCAGGACATGGCTAACTGCCAAGTATTCTGAATGTTTTGTTCCAAGTTGATGAGTAATATGAGATTATGTCACATTTCTGGATTGTTAGGATCAGGTTGAAATATACTTTGTTGGTGCTGTGGTTCAAATCTGTCCCAGCAATAAATCAGATACACCTGCAGTACAGGCAGGGCTACATACAGCCCAAATGGTGCACTATGCCAGATTGAGCTGACCTATCAATGACCTCCTGTAAGGGATGGTCTCAACATGTCAGTCATCAAGTATCCCATTCATTTCCACAATGTAGGGCTTTGAATGTAATAATCTAGGCTTATTTGTATTATTTGTGTGCACATCAAGAATGGAGTTTGAATTATTACATGTATGTGTCCATAAACAGATTTATAGGTAGGAAGTCTTCTCTTGTTCCTTGTCCTGTATTCACAAATGCACACCAACCAGTGTAGTAGGGCCTCCATATCTAATGCAGTAGTACTGGTACACATGCAGGCCCCCATATACATTGTACATGTAGAATACACGTAGGCCTGACTTGTTTGTGAGGGGAAGGCCGTTCATACATTGCAAGTCATAGGCTATAAAATTCATAGTTTTCTATTCATCGGTTTCCATTCTGAGATTGTCACTGGAACAGGAATTAAATAGAAATGGAGAATGTCTATCCCAAGCTATTATATGCTGAATTGGAAAGTAACATTAGGAAGGACAAACTTTAGATGGCTGCGGTCTAAACTAATTCACCGAGTCGACTATAGAGACTCATTTTCTCTTCCATTTTCCATGCAACTGCATTTTGTAGAACATATCGTCCCTATTTTCACGAAGTGACGGTAGTGAGGAAAATCGTAATGCAAATTGAATGTGATTTTCATTCACTACCGTCACTTCGTGAAAATAGGGATGATATTGTCAATTTATAAATGTTATTTATATACTGTACTAGGCCTATAGTTTAGATGAGGACAAATGTATTTCATTTTAAAGGAAATGTAATCTACATGTACATGTGATAGATATTGGCATACAAACCATTTTCTTTATTTACAAAAAATATTTTGGCACCAACACATGTATCTGCATTCTGCAATTCTCCTAATAATCCCTGTATGCTTGGTTTGCAGTGCGAGTCTTGCACCGGCATATTACATGTATGTCCTTTGGCAAGACATTAATCTACATTTGCCACTCTCCACCCGGGTGTTAAATGGGCACCCGCAGGAAGGGATTCCTTGAATGATGTGAGCACCGAAAAGGTGGCCTATCATAGCCAGGACAGCATTGGAACACCATGCGTGGTGGATATGTACACTATCAAAATATCCAATATCATTACCGGTATTATTGTAGCTTTTACAATTCAGGATTACCAGGGAGACACGAGTTTTCTTGTTCTCACAGTTGCACCCCTCTCCAAAAATACATTGGATAAAGCATGTATTATTATTATGTGATTACTGAATTTCAGTTGTCAAAATCCAATGCATAATCAATGATCATTGTTTGATTTTCCATACTGATCTAGGCCAGATAGATTGGGTGCATTCATGTACACCGAATTACAGTAAAGGCCTCTTTGTATTGCATAAGCCTATGCCCCCACTGGTGCAGTACAATCAAGTGCCAAAATCAATGAACAGAGACGAATGTTGACAGAACTATGGAGGGAAAAACAAACAGAGAGCTCCAGTATTTTGTTGCTCCGCCGTGGTCCTTTATTTGTCTTTCCCTCCCACACATCTCTTCTCTACTACTAATCAGAGTATGATTAATACAGGGACAGATTCTAAACAGTGAGAGAGATAATGAGTTTTTCTCGTGGGCTCTCCTTTATCTACAGTTTTTCTGTATGCAATCTATCTCGAAATAATGGTCACATGGGACATTTAATCAAAAATCAAAATGCATTTTCATTTCATCATTTTTGGAATTCATCAATACCTAGACACCATACATTTATTTATTGGCATTTTCTTCCCCTTGTGAAGTTACCCAATAATACTGTGAAATATAGTGCATTTACTATTCAAAGTTAATGCTCTGCAAATTAATATTCTCCTTTTTACAGAATAAGTATGCTGTATTCATTCCAATAAAAATGAAGTGAACAAATTTCTCAATTTCTCACTGCCTGAGGTAATTGCTTTTCTTCATCATTTACAAATTTGGCACTACATATTAAATTATGAAACTAATTAATTAAAAATTGAGATAGCATACGTAGCTAATCACATACACTGCAAATGTACAAGTAAAAAAATATGGCGTTGGCTTATTTGTACATGTATAATTTTGATTCCCTTTTTTCAGTTTGTTCACCTCCCCCCCCCCCCCCCCCTTTTTTCGCTTTATGACCTACAGACGTCATGAAAGGTCATAATTAAAAAAATAATATGCACTTATTACTTAAATTTAGAGCCAAATAATGACTTTCTTGAGCTTTTGATAATAAGAAATGCTTGCAACATTATGTAGGCAATGTACAGTACATTAAACTTGTATGGTTTCTTAGTTTCTTTCCTTGCAAAAAGTTGCAATCACATTTAAAAATGAAACAAATTTATAATATATACATGTAACATGAATGTACTTCAATTCATGAGAGAAGCCAGCATTAGATTGACCAGTCTTTGTAGAATTCCTTTGGAAAGGGACAAAGTGGACCATATGGTCCTATAAGTGTATAAGGGCGCGTTCATGCTTGATTTTGATGGCCAGAATCAGGCATCTGTTACGCGTTTAGTTTAAAACACGCTTGCGTTCATGCTCACTTTTGTAGAATCACCGAAAAACGGCGATCACGATCGCCGATCGTAAACTCACAAAAAGATGCGTTTACAATTTGTAAACGCGTTTAAATGGGGTCAACGCACTGACCTCTAGTGGGTCTACGTAGCATGCGCACACAGGTTTGCGAATCCAGCTGAAGGCCACCCAAGGAGAATTGCCTGGAGAAGTAAGCATGAACACTACATATATCGTGGAACTGCGATCACGATGAGCGTTTACGATGAGCGTTTCAGATCGCTCATTCTGCCTTCAAAATTTAAGCATGAACGCAGCCTAACTGCGATGAGAAAACAAGATTACAAGTTCGCAGCTCAGGTAATTGAGCTAGTTAATATGAAAAAAGTGCACAGACATTGTTCATGTTTCCCTTAACCCTCTTCATTCTGTCATGTTATTCACACAAGACAAAGGACTTCAGCAGAAATAGGATCTATATAGGATGGGTTATGTAACAGGTATTCAAACTTCTATCTCCTGGGGGATTGGAGGTGCACAAAAGATCTGGGAGCTTCTATAGAAATGCTTCCAATAGCACAATAATGAGTGTGCCCCTCCATTCATGTGCGTGACGAAGAAAGCCACTGTGGTGGGGATGACGTGGAAGACTTCCAAATCCGTAGTAATCATACCAGCAACAATGACTCAAGATTGGAGAAAATTACTAATTATCACTTGTACTGATGTTGGGGAAAAGTCATGTAGAGTAGATGTTCCAGAGAGTGACATCACATATGCCTACCATTAGCAATGAAGCCACTAATTAGGGGTGATAGTGAGCGCTAAAAAAAAAGGTCTTAGTGAGAGGCTTACAAGCAAGTCATGGAAAAACGACACCTCACCCACCTAATTTTAAAACAGATTTAAATTGATCCCAGGGACTGTCAATTTATTAAAGAAAATAATCATGATTGAAAAGAAAGAAAAAAATCAAGAAGAAAACAAAAATCAGGAAGAAAAAATGAGGAAAAAACACAATGGAAAACCAATTTAAATATGGATATTATCAGGCCTGACTAATAAATATTTCTGCTTACAAATTTAACTTGACCGACTTGAACACTTAAGGCATAGTACTGTAGATATATCCAAGGAAGTACTGGTACCTCCTCGATATATCACATCATTTTGTCATGACAATGTGCTAAGAAGAAAAATAGGCTTGATATATATATTTTAAATTTCCATGTAGGAAAAATGGCCTGAACCTCTATTATCTACATGTACAGTGTGTGTACATTTTCGAATATGAACATAAAGCAGTAACCGTATAATGAATTTATCATTCCAATATTGAATTTACCAACAACATAAGTTTGCACACAGGCAAAGACCAAGGAATTATGCTGTGGAGTTTAACTACTGCACATGTACTTGCCTACAAAATTCTGACAGAAAAACCCTTCAGATTGTTAACATGGTTATTGTTGAACATTATTCAGAATAGCTCAAAAAGCCAATAAATATATAATGAGAATTAAAACTAACAACAAAACAAAATTTTTTTTCAAAGGTACATCATTACAAATTCCTTACCTACCCCCCCCCCCCTCACCATCTCTTAAAAAAAAAAATCTTTTGTTATAAAAATGTCCTCAAATTTTCAAGACTAATTTTTGATTTGCATATTATTGCATTTGTTTCCCTCCTTCTTATTCTCCCTAACCTTGACATAGACTCTTAGAGCTCCATGTAAGTTAATAATATTGCTTCTTTTCCTTCTCATCTTCTGGTGGAAGTTGTGTAAAATGGTTCTTTCCTGCAGCTCGGAGATGAATCATTCCTCTGCAGCTAGCATGTGCGAGTTTGGAGTATTTAGAAACTTGACTTCCTGATTCAATCAGCAGAATCGGCTTAATCATACAAAACCTTTCATCACATATCCAAGACGGTACTTTTCCTTTTTCTTTTTTAAGGGTCTTCAAGCTTGCTACAGATAACAACAAATTATCCCATTTGCAGGGATGAAAAAGACCCATTTGTTTTGCTATGTTCAATTTGGTTTTAACACATAGTGAGGATTAAATGTGGAAAGGCAGGAGCTATTTTACTTGCAACAAAATCTAGTATTGACTGATATCCATGCTTTAGATCTTCACTTCAGATCGCCAAGTAAACAACATTGAATATCTAAAGCTATAAAATCCCTATAAAATGGTGATTAAAGTCTCTGTTTTATATAATAAAATTATTTAAAAATTGTTCCAAAAAAAACACTCACAAAATCAGACTAGTACATTGCTTCTCTCTTTCTCTCTCTCTCTCTCTCTCTCTCTCTCTCTCTCTCTCTCTCTCTCTCTGTATTTAAAGTGACATGTGAATATATGTAGGCTGACATACTGTGTATATGTGAAATTGCCACATACTTCAATTCAGTCTATCACATTTGAGTAATATCAACGCAGCAACAAGTGATTTTTTTTCTTCCAAGCAAAAGTAAAGTGTTTTTAGAATTACTTCATGAATTAAAATGGCAAGCAAAATCACTTTCAGTACCCCCCCCCCCCCCAACTAATACTAACAATACTGTGTGAATATGCATGCTAGTTATATTACATTCTCATAATAATATTTCTACCAATAAATATGCCAGAGAAAAAAGGTTGAAATTTATCCAATCAATCAATTCTCAAACAATCCTCAAAGTCAATTTGTCATATTAAGTGTGTATACAAAATAGGTGAAGTTCCTTGATTAAATCATTTACCGTAAATGATCAATAAAATTTCAGTTGCTACAAATTCAAAATCATTTTTGTAAGCATGGACGTGTTGATATCGAGTAATAAAACAAAGATTTGAGCTTCTCATAGTACAGTAAACAATTAATGGTTCTGATTAGGAAAAAATTTTTTTTGCAGCAATGGTAATACTGACATATGATGTAGTGGGCGACATCAAAATGAGATGAAATTTTAAAATAAAATACAAAAATTGAATATATTTGTACAGTGAAATAGAGCTTTCAAAACCTATCAAAATATACAATCATGATCTCTTCATAAGATTTACAAATGATGCAAATAAAATAAATAAAACAAATGTTGAATAACAAAGAAGCAAATAAATACATCATAGATGTAATGTGTAGATTCCAGATGGAAATTAAAAATTGATGAGCAAAAATAAATTCATTCCTGTAAATTAAATAGTGAATAATGCTAGTAACCATTCTCAAAGATAATGTAGGACAAACATGGAGTTAATCCATCCCTCATTTGAAATAAATCAATAAAACATGTTTATATTGATGGTAATAGAAAAAATATATAAAAAACAATTTAATCACAATCATCATCAAGACATGATCAAACATCAAATTTTATTTACAAAAAATTTAAGAAAATATGAGAACAAAGGCAATTCAATCATAAGGTGGTACAGTGTAATAGAGATGACCTCTACATTATTGTAATTAAATGTCTTACCTTTTTAGACACGCTGGTTTAGATGCTTTGAAATATTACCTCCCCTTGTTCCCTCTCTGCACATCACACCACATTTGAAATGAAGAGCAGAGACTGTTACTACCAATGCATGCACTGTGTGTGGTGAGAGAGAGCCTGAGAGTATCGCACACACACACAGACACAGAAAACACACACACTCACAGCACTGAGTCATTGGCAGTGTGCTTGTATTGCATGCAGTCTTTCCTTCGTTCATTCCAATGAGCTTCAGGCCTCTCTCTCTCTCTTTTTCCTGGCTAGCTAATAATAATCCGCACAACATGTGACCTATTCTACGCTGCTGTGTATATACCCCTCTGTACCAACCAGTGTGTCTTGCATCACTACACACAGTCAATACATTGCACTGACCTGACGAAGAGAAAAGATGGATAGAATAAAAGGAAGAAAGACAAAATGGGGGAAAAAAAACCAACTCCAGGAGAGATTCTCTATTATCATAATGACATACAGTTGTGTGTCTAGATTTGTGTGCAGGTGAATGGGTGTGTTTGTGAGGAAGATAGACAAAAAGAGGGAGAGATGGAGAGAAAAGATAGACCCATAGAGCTAGAGACAGAAAGCCTTTTGTTGTTGACAAAACCACAATCTTTTGTTCCCTCAGATAAAGGACTTGGGGGACTTCGGACTTTGTAGATGAGATCAATTGTCATCAAAAGATATAAATGAGATAGGGCATGCTGTTACAGTGTGAGTAAAATGCTGCAGGGATGTTTTGTTCTATTCAAGAAGGATGATGATATTACTTACATGATGCAATGATTATAAGAGTTTAAAAAGAAGTTTGACTTCTGGTAAAGATGACAATTGAAATCGTAAACTTTCTAATAATATTAGTGTGTTTTTTATTCGGGAAAATATAATAAAAAAATAAAACTGTAAAGGATTGCTCTCCATATGCTCTCATATCACTAGTATTCATAATATGCACTAGTATCTTTATACTTTGAAAGCGGTTACTTATGTAAATGTTCTTTCATCATTTTGAAAATTCTACTCAATGTTTGATATTACGCAGGTCGATCCACGACGACAAAGAAAAAGAATGGTGAATGGTGATCTATGAACTATATTTAAAATGAGAGGTTGAAAGGGTACCGGTTTCAACGTCAGAGACAATCAAATAATTATACCAGCACAAATCAAAGGTTCAGTCCTAATCTACCAGAACAAATGAATGTTAAATAGTATTAAAACAACATGGTGTACCTTGAGTCAATATAGGCCAGTAATCAGGCCTACATATTTCAAAGCAACCATTGATCATTGATCTACAAGTCAAGAATAAAAACATTTCCACGTACAAACAACTGTAGAATGGCAATTTATGAGGGGGAAATCTCTGAAACATAAATATTATGTGCAATATAGACCCTAAATGTAATACAAATATACATGTAGGCCTACCTGTAATTATTTGGTTATATGTGCCATCAAAAAGTAAGCTTACAGAACCATAATATATTTGGATATTTGGATGTAAGTTTAAGAAAAAGAGAGAAAGATAATCTGATTAAATGTTGTTGCACTCAATGTAAGCATATTATAAGACTGCAGCGTGCAGCACAGTCTAAGTGCAGGTAGACTGTTGTCTGTAGTGTAGCCTGTACTGTAGGCCAATATGCACACGTTATGTCAGTGGCTAACAACTGTCAGCCATATTGGCAATGTTTCTAATGATTGAGAATTTGTTCTTCGAATACAGCTGAACAATTACAACTCATATCTTGGTATTAATGACTAATTCATGCTTTATTTTTCATCTGTGTGTCACCTATAAGTCTGGCAATCGATCTTGGTGAGGGAAAATAATTTCAAATGTGCTTTAAAAATAAAATACAATCCCGAAAGGGCCTGGTTGCAAATTCCTTACTAATGAATTATTAATACCTCAATAATGAATTATTAATACCTCATGGATTTTATGCAAGGTGGCCATTGTGGTAACAGTAACATAATTAATGAACACCTAAATTCAAATACACCATCATGGCACGAATGCGCTATTATAGGCCTACAAAAACCTAGGCAATGTAAATGTTGTACCGGTATACTGTTATCAGAAAAAATAAAAACGTGTCATTTCCCCCTCTTCAAATTATGTAGGCTATTAACCATTAGCAGGAATACATTATTATATTTAATGGACATGGGGGTTTCCCTGATTATATTTTCATATCAGCCATAAATTTATTAACACAGTGATCATGATGACCTATCTCCCTAATTCTCATCCACAATGGACCGCCTTTTAATTAAAACCGAACATATATTTTATCCAATGCGGATATCTGACAAAATCGTGACACACCTTCTAAAAGTTCTATTTCATCATTATTGTATATTGCAACACCACCGTGACAACAGCCATTACAGCAACAAAAACACCACTTTGCATGTACATCATAATATACCCTGTACATGGTCTGTGCAGTATTCATATCTCACACAACAACAGAATATTTATATGCAAGTGCATGCAGAAAGAAGGCTGTGTGGTGAATTTGCTTATTTAGCTTTAGGGCATGCTGTAACCTCCTACATGTCAGGCCTCTCAGAATTATAAATCCTCCCTGTGCCCCCCTACTGGCAAGAGGCCATGTATGCTCTACAAGGAATGCGGATATCTGGAAAAGCGCTGCGTGTACAGGTTAGGTTATCGAGCTAGACAGGCAGGGCCATGGCATCAGGTTTTCTCTCCCAAGATTTTTTTCTCTCCCTCTCCCTCTCTCTCTCTCTTTCATACTTTATATCCAGCCAAGTATGGGATTTAAAGGGAATCAAGATACAAACCACATTCTCAATTTGAACCTGAAATATGAAGGTACATGCCTACACTCATATCATGAGGCGATTTTTGTTGTTGTTGTAGATGTGAGGTTCATAACGACAAGCAAATATATAGTTCTCTAAGAATTATCACACATCAAAAGAAAGACTGTTCTGCTCATGACTGATGAAAAGGAAGTCTTCAATGAAATGTTTTCATGAAAGACATGTACTTATAATTCATAAGATTTCTGAGAAACATGTAATTAAAGCCAAAGTGTATGGCTAACGGGCAGACAGTGTAGCTGATTTGTCCTAAAATAGAATAGGATTAGACTTACAATCTTTGGTACGTTTCAGAGAAATACTTAACATACTTGACTAGAAACCAATATAAATGCTTCCAAGGCCACAGAACTGTACTATTCAGAATATGACCTTAGCTAAATCTGTGTGAGCATTTGATAAAGATACCTTTTTTTATAATGAGACAGAACAATAAAGGGGTATTTCCAGTTTCAGTTTCTGTCACTGCATGTAATGTAAGCCTATTACAACCCTGTGATTGATAGCCATCAAGAAAAGAAACATCTTGGTAGAATCGCTCAAATAATTTAATCTTTTACTTCAATATTTCTATGCTAGATGTTTCATGAGATATTGGAAAATGCTAAAATGTCACTTGACAAACATAAACAACATTGAGAATCTATTATTGTGCTTGTCTCAAGAAAGAAATATGGAGAGATAGAGTTGTAGACAACTTGTATGTTCAACAGCTTTTCGCATAAATCTGAATACATTGTGGCACATTTACTACATCAAAGTCATAGCAAGCAATGACTATACATATCTGACCTTCTTTCTATAACACAATAAGCAGATCAAAACTATTGTGAAAATATCTAAAATCATCAAGGATTAATAAATGTACCCGGTAGATAACGTCATTTCTTTTTTAAACTTATGACAACTTAAAAAAAAAACCTTGAATGATATATTTTCAAAAACCAAAGAAGTGTCCTTTGTAGGTAGAAATATATGCATAGTTTTACATTGAAGGTCTACCATCTGTACGTGACCTATTGCGGGAATACTTCTTCATATGTTGCACTCAAGGCCTTTCACACAAAGCAAATTATATAAAACACATACAACTAACATATAACAAAGGGGAAGAAATATGATACTATAGGCTGCAGAATGATTAAGCCTATAGATCTGTAGTAGTGGAAAGAGTGTATGGTAGGTGTTTTCAATTCTAATAATTTACAACATTTAAATGACAAATTAACCATATTTCTTTATCAAGTTATCATACAAAACGTGTGTAGTCTTTCAGCGAACATTATCCGGTGGGGAATAGGAAATGCCCCAAGTAACAGAACATTTGAGAAAGTATTACTGCACCTTCATTCAAACTTGCATAGCAATCAATTCCAAATTGTGGGGGCATATGGGAATGTGATGCAAGAAAAGTGATGCCTTGCATGTTCGCTTGATGCACTGCTGCCTGAATTAAAAATAGAAAATGACAAGATCGAAGGATCTGGAAACATTATGTGCATGCCATTAAAGATTCATCTATATGCACAGCGCACTAGGTGGTACCATGAACCTAGGAATATCACATACTCTATCAGCATAGCTTGCACCTCATTATATTCTGTCTATTTCAAAGTTTCACCACCATAATTCAAAACAAAACCATTACAGCAGTTTCCACATGTCTTTACACGTTCATCGTAAAACATGCAGACTTACGGTACCTAGAGATGCAGATTACAAGATTTCCATACGATACCCTGGTGTTGAAATTCTTTCTATTCTTCTTGTAAGCTGTGGTAGGTGTGGCTTTATTTAGACTGATAAATGACTTATACCCTTGATTTCCTATTCCAAAACAAATATAGCCATGGTCTGCTAATGTTAATAAGCTATTAGTGTTAGCTTTATAAATTGTAATTGTTCAGGGATGTTTCAGATAGAGGGAAACCATCTGAGATTATGTCTAAAAATATAATGTTACAAACTTTTTTACATGTGATTAAAACAGCAAGATGCCAAGGGTTTCTATGGAGAAGAAGAAAAAAAAGGGGAAAAATATTATGGTTAGACTATTTACCTTCCTTCTTAGTTGAATTTAAACACAGTATAGGCTAATGTAGGCTTATGTTTTAATGAATTTTATTCTATTACATTTTTGCATAAAAATCCTCATACATTCATATGACATTTCCCCCCCCCCCCCTTTGTATTGATGAGAATGCATTGTATTGATGAGAACGCATTGTATTGATGAGAACGCAAGGCACCTCAGCTTATATTTAAGGTCACAAAATGCATGAGTGGTTGCTTTAAAAACGTTGCCATATGGAGCTAACTTTGCACTCAGTGCCATGAGCAACTGCCATTACCACATGTAGTCATATAGCATGTCAGGGATCGCCTTCAACTTTCATATATAGCACCAGCCTCCTATTCAGGGATCAACATCTGAAGTTTTATATGTGCATCTCCAATCATTTTCTTTCGTTGTTTAATTATTCT